CGGAATTTGTAGTATTTTTGCATATTTTTCCAGATCGAAATTTGTCAAAGCTCTTCGAGGTAAATTTATTTGGACTTTTTTTTTCTCTTTTGGGTATTTTTCTCCTTCGACACAACACCGCCCTTATATGGTTTAATATAAAGACCTTTTCCTTCACTTCTACTGTTTTTAAACGGTTTTACGTATAGTCCTTCGCCTTGGGCTTCGATGGCTCTGTTATGACGTTCTTGCTCTGCCAACTGCTCTTTGGCCGCTTTAGCATCGTTTACTGCTTTCGCGATACCTGCCGCTCCTCCGCCTAGCGCGCCAAGTGCTCCCAATATCGGTAGTAAAAGAGGTAAAAATCCACCAATTTTATTAGGTGTTTTTATAATACGCTTTTTTTTGCTCGCTTTCATTTTGCTTGCTTTTTTAACACCCATTCCCAATTTTCGCTTTCTTTTCATTACACCTGTTATGCCTAAAGCGGCTGTTTTTTCTCCAAACGAAGAGTCCTTTGCTTTAATTCTCTGCCAAGCTTTATCTTCTAAGATCTTGTCTGCTTCGTGTCTCTTTGTTAAATTGTTAGACTGAGAGTATGCTATATCGTGCTCTTTACAAGCAGCGTCTAAGGGATTTATACCTGGATCACCTCTATTTATTCTCTTTTGTAAATGAGTACCCGGTCCGCAGAATTGGTAACCAGGAATATGCAGTTCGATAGGAAGTTTGTTTATAAGTTTATTTACCAATCCTGAACCTTTCGCCCTGTTTCGATGTACAATCATGAGAGTGTTTGGAAATACTGTTTAAATATTTAGGAATTATGCTATAAATACTTTTGCAGGTTCTTGTTAATGCCTCAGTCGAAATGAAAGTTGTTAAGCAAGCCTTTTCTTTACCCGTAAAAAACCACGACGCAAGCTTGGTCCGCGAATTTCAAAAGCACGGCGATCTCTTTGGAGGTAGTTGCAAGAGGGCACTAATTGTACGACCCTCAAATTCGGGTAAAACCAACGTCATGTTATCATTGCTCGAACATCCTAATGGAATTAGATTTGAAAACGTTTACTTATATTCCAAATCCCTGCAACAGCCAAAATACGTGTATTTGAGAGAACTGCTAAAGCCTTTACAAGAGATTGGCTTTTTTGAGTTTGAGATCGATGAGAATATCGTTTCTCCTCAGGAAATTAAACCCAATTCTGTTATAATATTTGATGATATTCCTTGTCACGACCAAAGTGTCATTAGAGATTATTTCACTCACGGTAGGCATAAAAACACCGATTGTTTCTTTATTTTTCAAGGATATTCTTCTATACTCAAGCGACTTATCAGGGAAAACGCCAACCTTCTGATTTTATTCAAGCAAGACATGATGAGTTTAAAGCATATATATAACGATCACTGTATGTTGGACATGTCATTTGAACAGTTTAGAAATATCTGTGTGTACTGCTGGAACGAACCTTATAACTTTCTTGTGATTGACAAAGATTGTGAGTTAGATAAGGGCAGATATAGGAAAAACTTCGATTCCTTCATTTATATATAATATCCCAAAATGGATAAACGCCTAGCGACGGAGCTAATAAAATCAAGAAACGCAGTTAGAGAAAAATATCAAAGGCTAAAACAAGCCGCAAGTGAATCCCAGACGCAACTCGAACAAACCTATAAACCGATAACTCAGCTTCTGCAGCAATTAATTTCATCAATAAATAAAACGGATATCAAACAAGAGCCGTTTGAAGAAAAAGAAAATATTAAACATGAAGTGTTAACCTCGACGCCTACCAAAATAAAGGAGAAAAGAACCGGAAAAACCCCAATCTTACCTTCAGAATTGCCCTCATTTTTTGATACCTCCTTTCCGTCGATCCAACAACAAAGCAATGTTGTAGCTGAAAGTACGGGTCTTTCGGACAGCGATACTACGTTGGGAAATCTGTCAGATATTTTAGAACAAACTAAGCAAGCTATACAGGATTACGTCGACACTCCCGCTTACGAGCAATGGTTGAATGACTTTAATAAATTCCCACGAACATACATTGATGACAGCGTAAAAGATACCCAACATATATTTGACCATAATTATGGTATCGTTCATGACATAGAAAACGATAAATTTTTTCTGGGCTTAACCCAAAAAGCTGTGGAAATTGTCGGTAAAGATGTGAAGGTACAAGGTATTACATACCCTGGGACTGTGGGTTTGTATGAGTTACTTTTCAAGAAGGTGCCGGTCGGTTTCAAATCGCAAGATCTAGATAATTATATGGATATACTGAAAAGAACAAACGCGTATCGGAGAAACCATGACCCTAATGAACAAGTGCAAGGAAATGCATCATATAAATATATAAATATAATTGGACCTTATTTACAGGAGCGAGGAATAACAAAAACAAAAAACCCGGTGAGACGACTAGCTGACGCATTTTCTAAAGTGCCTCCGCCTTATAGGACAATCAAAACTGGGACGGGGTTAACTTTAAAATCAAATAAAGAAAATACAGATTATATTTATTGGGATAATGTTAACGAGCTTGTCGATAGATTAAGACTGTTATTGGCATCTACTGCTGCGGGGCACACGGGACATGAGAACGAAATAGCTTCAATTATTGAAGAACTAAGAGAGGGAAAAGTTATCTTATAAAAGCACGACTGAGAGTTAGAAAATTATTTGAGTAACAACCGCTGTCATGACTATTAATAAATTTGGTACACACATTAATCACCACCTTAACGAGAAATACGATAATTCAATGAAGGAGTTGGAAAAACATTTATCCAAAATAGAAGAGCTTGAGAAGACATTTAAGAGCTATCAGGCAGATATCAATTCCCAACTTAATAAACTTTTGCCACAACAAAACCGATATACACAATGGGTGAACAAATACAATACGAGTTTGGACCAAATAAATCAGTTAGCGACAACAACTAATGAATGATTTAAAATGGTGTTTAATTCAAATTGACGGGCAATCGACAAAGTAATGAGCAGTGAGAAAGCACAACTCGTCCGAGAGCTGCACAAGCCGGCACGCAGAAATTACGCGCGTCGCAGAACTATAATACGAGGGCTGGATGATTTGTGGCTCAGCTAGACCGATATGTGAAACAAAATAAAAACTTTAAATTCATACTAGTCGTGATCGATTGCTTTTCAAAATACGTGTGGTGTCGACCGTTAAAAACAAAAACCGGTGTTGAAGTTACCAAAGCGTTTACCCAAATTCTCACAGAAGGACGCCGGCCGCAAAATCTGCAAACTGATCTCGGCAAAGAGTTTTATAATATCCATTTTAAAAAAATGACGGGTAGGTTTGACATAAATCACTACAGTACATATAGCAACGTGAAAGCTGCCGTAGCCGAGAGAGTTATACGTACTCTCAAGGAAAAATTATTTAGATATTTTTCGTTAAACGGCACCTACAAATGGATAGATGTTTTATCCTCTGTTGTCGAAAAATATAACAGTAGCGTGCACGGGACCACCGGAATGAAACCTAAAGAAGTGAACAAAGATAACGCGCCTAGTTTGCTGAAATCAGCGTACAGTCACTTGAAAATTGTAGGACCATCTAAACTTAAACTGGAGGACGTTGTAAGAATCAGCAAGACCAAGCACGTGTTTAGCAAAGTTATACTCTCAACTGGACCACGGAATTGTTTAAAATCGTAAAAGTGCAGATTACAAATCCGGTAACTTATCTGTTGGAAGATATGAAGGGTAAGCCTGTAATGGGCGCTTTTTACCAGGAAGAATTGCAGAAAACCGTTAACCCTGACGTCTATCTCGTCGAAAAGGTGTTGCGCAAACGAGGAAATAAGGTTCTCGTGCGCTGGTTGGGCTTGGACAAGTCACATGATTCATGGATCGACACCGCGAATATCCTATAAATTTCTTCTATTATTTTTGATTTTGTGAGCGTCCGAGACAGACATGGAACAAATTGTGTTGCCGGATAATTTTTTAAATTTATTGCAAGAGAATGGTTTGATGGGTCCACCGCCTTCGCAGCCACCAACAGATATTCCAAAACGTAAGCGTACTGCTGCAAATTCACGAGTTAAGAAAATAAAAATTGAATCTCTACCGCAAGCAGAAGGAGAATGGTTCGAGGCGTTCAAAGATGACAACGAAAAAAGGATAGTTTGTGAGGCGTTCAATTTGAAAAACAATTTGGAAAATCAGCTGATGCAATGTGAAGAAGGTATCCAGCAGCTCGAAACTCAGATAGCAGTTGTTCAGGCCGATCTCCAAATACTGCGCTTACGTGCGGAAGAATACAAAGCAAAAATCGGATATTTCCAAAATTTGGCTCCAGGACATATTGTATAAAAATGAAAAAATATTCAGTAACTGTATTTTGATATAAAAATTAAATCGCGTTAAAATATTTTCATTTTATTTCAAATGTTAGCCAGGACGCTTTTGGTCAGATTTAAATTAGGTCTAAAATATCTATGGAACAGCTCTCGAACAGGTCTAGGACAGCCTTAATCAGACCCAAAACCTCTACGGAACAGGTTTCTACAGGTCCGACACAGATATGGACCATTTTGCTTCTTTAAACAGGAATGTTTATTTCGCATTGCGATCGAACAATTATTTTTGGTGACGCAAAGTATAACATACTGACAAAATGAAATTACGGAGTGAGATTTTTTTTTTTCATTTTTGTTCGCGTCGAAGGAAATGCGACGATAAACTCGATGTCGAAGGAAACGCATGCGGTAAGAATATCAAACGTTTCGATTAAACCATTTCTTGTGTCGCAGGAAAACACGTATGCCGTTCCTAAGCGGTCTAATATGAAAGTCTCGTTTAAAACATTTTTTTTTGCGGCGAAGGCAGGCGACGCGATGATCTCACCCGCCAAAGTTTAGTTTAAACATTTCGCAAAGCGATGATGTCATGCATCCGCTGCCGCACACCGGCGACGCGGCGGGCCATGATATCAGCCAGTTGTCAAACGCGACGGCGGCGGTACGCCTGAGTCATCGTACACAATCGCGCTGCAATTTACATTCACGCCGCGACCAACGGTCGAGTTTCGAAGCGAAGCGGCCCCATACGACGACGGTTTGGTTAGGTTAGGTCGCTAACTACGACCAATTTTATCAGCGGGTCGCGTTATATTGCGCAATTCTCGCCAACACAAATCTTAATTATTCTGAAGGAACGTTCTCGAATGTAATTTTAAATTCATTACCCCAGAAAAATTGGCTTAATTAACAAGTGACCGCCGCCATAGTGAGACTTCATTCTTTGGATTTTTGTTTGTGTTTCACCACTTAAAAAAGGTAAGTGTCAAGTAGAGATCTGGAACAGTTGGAGAGTGAGACGCCTATTCCTCGCAGCAAATAAAAATGTTCACCTGCGAATATTGCAACCGCTCGTTCAGCCGTAAAGACCACCTGGCGAGGCACGGGGACTGTCGCGCAGCAGTACAAATTTGTGACGTTTGCGGCGGGATATACAAATCCGAGGGGGCTCTCCGACGCCATAAACGCGAGAAGCATGAGGTTCCCAAGGCGAAAAGACCCGCCGCCGCCCCTATTGCTGCAGACGAACCCAAGCGCCCGAGACTTGACCTACCGGAAGGTAAGGATTTTTGATTTTATATCCCAAACAATTCTCATATTGTATTTTATAGCTTCGACATTATCATCATCACCATCATCCACGCGCCATTGTACGCAGTGTAACTTGACCATTCCTGCAATGAGATGGCAAGGACACTTGCGTACTTTGGCTCACCGCCAAAAATGCAGCGTGGTGCAGGAGCCAGGAGTAGAAATGATACGGACCTCCTTCCGTAACCGCATAGTTACATACCGTCTGGCGTCCACCGTTAACCCTACCGACGTTAAGGGCTTCTTGGACCACCTTAGGTCCAAAATCCTTACGTTGGTAGAGTCGAACGTCCGACGCTACGGCAACGTAAAAGTCGGTATGGAGCTATTCGGAAACTTCCTCTTGCAGACGAAGGAACAAGAGGAGGTCAAGTCCTTCAATACCAAATATCGGCTGGTGAGCGGAAACACCGATCTGGAGGAGCTATACGTCCAGTTCGTCGACATCTTGGCTACCAAAGCGTCCGAGTTTCAGGAAAGGGACAGCGGTATGATTCATAAAAATGTATATTTCCGAACTAATTTCTTTCTCTTTTTTACAGGCTGGGCGTTGGAGGAACTTCTCCATTTAGAAATAGGGATTAACAAGTACAATCCCCTAAGGGCGTCGTCCTATGTTAACCTGCCCAAGGAAATCGAAGCCAAAAAAGCTGTTTTGAACTTGCAAAATACGGACGAAAAATGCTTTATGTGGTCGATCTTGGCTGCTCTTCACCCAATTCACTGGACAAATAACGCTAACAGGGTCAGTAACTATGTAGAATTTCAGAACGAGCTGGATTTTACAGGTATCGATTTTCCCGTTAAACTTAAGGACATATCCACTTTTGAACGACTTAATGAAATTTCGGTCAATGTCTATGGCCTCGAGAGAGTCTATAACAAAGTCCGTAATGATGTTGAGGTCGTTGGTCCTTTGCATTTTACTGAATCTCGTAAAGAGAGACATGTAAACCTATTATTAATTAGTAATAACTATGTAGAAAATCATTATTGTTTAATAAGAAGTATGTCTCGGTTGGTTTCAAAACAATTAACTAAAAGGTCCTCTACAAAGTTTTTATGCGATGGGTGTTTGGTTTATTTTTATAACGAAGAAAAACTAAAGCGTCATAAAGAACACGACTGCACTCACATTTCCATCAAACTTCCGACCACCGAATTGCGCAAGGATAAATACGGTAAAGATGTTCCCGCGAATAAGCTGAAATTTGAAGAATTTGAAAAGAAATTAAAAGTTCCTTTTGTTGTGTACGCGGACTTTGAAACAGTCATGACTCCTTTACAGGTGGAAGGCGAACCGAATCCCGACAAATCGTTTACCGTCAAAACTCATATTCACGAGCCTTACTCTTTCGCCTACTATGTCAAATGTGACTTTGACGATTCCCAGTCTACTTTTAAACAGTACAGAGGTCGGGGCGCACACAAAATTTTCATTGAATGGTTGGAGAGCGACTGCAAAGCGTTCTACAACAAGTTCATGAAAACTTCCGTGCCCATGACCACTCTATCGTTTGAACAAGAGACCGGCTTTCGAAACGCTGTGCTTGTCACATTTGCGAGAAGCCATTTAATGCAGAGGACGAAAAAGTAAGGGATCATTGTCATATGACGGGTGAATTTCGAGGTGCGGCTCACTTCACTTGCAACTTGAATTTCAAAGTTCCGCGGCACATCCCTGTCTTTTTTCACCATTTAGGTTTCGACAGTCATTTATTTGTAAAAGTTATGGCTGAAGAAGGGGAAAAGATCGATGTCATCGCCCAAAACAAGGAACGTTACATTTCCTTTACGAAACATGTCCTAGTCGATAACATTGAGTCGGAGAAAGGAGGCAAAGGGAAAAGGGTATTTTTAAAACTCCGATTTTTAGATTCATTTCGATTTATGGCATCCAGTTTGGACAGATTGAGTCGAAATTTGAACGATAGTCAGTGTCGGGAAGTCAAAAAATTTTTTAAAAATGAACAAGAATTTCAACTTATTCGACAGAAGGGCGTTTTTCCATATACGTATCTAGATTCTTTTTCAAAATTAGACGAAACCAAACTGCCATCGCACGAGGACTTTTATGACTCCATGCGAAAGAGCAACATAACCAGGGAGGATTACAAGCGTGCCTGGACTGTGTGGAATTTGTTCAAATGTAAAACTTTAGGCGAATATTCAGATATTTATTTAAAATCCGACGTTTTACTTTTAGCCGATATTTTTGAAAACTTCAGAGAGGTGTGTCTGAAAACGTACGGTCTGGACCCGAGTCAGTTTTATACGACACCGGGTCTATCATGGACGAGCGCCCTGAAGGCGACAAAGGTCGAACTGGACCTATTGACCGACGTGGACATGATACACTTCTTGAAGCACGGTATCCGCGGAGGAGTCAGTCAGTGTAGTGTGAGAAAGGCCGCGGCTAATAATAAATTTTTACCTAATTACGACCCTTCCAAACCTATTTCTTACGTCATGTACTTGGACGCTACCAATTTATACGGGGCGGCCATGTCACAATACCTCCCAACGGGAAACTTCGAGTGGTTGGAGGAGGGCAAAATTCAAAATTTAGATATTACGCGTATCCCCAACGATTCACCTAGGGGCTATATTTTCGAAGTAGATTTGGACTATCCGGAAGTGCTGCATGACGCACACAACGAACTGCCTTTTTGCCCGGAATCCATCGTTTCGCCAATCGCGAAAACCAAAATGAGAAAACTTATTCCAAATTTAAACAATAAACGTAATTATGTATTGCATTATAGGAATCTGCAACAGGCTTTAAGCAACGGTTTAAAGCTTGTTCGCATCCATCGCGTTCTTGTTTTCGATCAATCTCCCTGGCTAAAACAATACATAGACTTGAATACGGCGATGCGTAATACAGCTAAAAATAAGTTTGAAAAAGATTTTTTCAAACTTATGAATAACGCTGTGTTTGGAAAAACGATGGAAAATGTGGACAAAAGGGTGGACGTGCGACTCGTTTCCCATTGGGAAAATATTGGGAAAAGGTTGGGGGCAGAAGCGTTAATCGCGAGACCTAATTTTAAAAATGTCGCCATATTTAGCGAAAATCTAGTAGCTCTCCAGATGGAAAGGACTAAAGTCGTATATGATAAGCCTATTTACGCCGGATTTTGCATTTTGGATATATCCAAGACTCTCATATACGACTTTTTTTACGGCTATCTAAAGGCTAAGTACGGCGACAAAGCCGTCTTACTCTACACCGATACCGACAGCCTCGTTGTCCAAATTTTTTGCGAAAATTTCTACGAAGATATGAAAGAAAATTTGGACAAATTCGATACTTCTAATTACTCGGAGAACAACCAACACGGCATTCCTGTAAACAAGTCCGTTCTTGGTAAAATGAAGGACGAGTACGCAGGACGGCCGTTGTGGGAATTCTTGGGTACGGGAGCGAAAGCTTATTGCGTAAATGTAGACGGCAACGAGTTGACCAAAAAGGCCAAGGGCGTTGCTGACTCGGTCAGCCAGCGCGAACTTAGTCTCGACGACTATAAGCGCGCTGTCCACGAGGAAGGCACGCTAATCTTGCGCCAAATGTCTTCGTTTCGCTCACATTTACATGATATGTACGTCGAACTGAAAAATAAGGTGGCGTTGTCTTACGCGGATGACAAACGACATCTTATACCCGGCTCAGAGTACACGCTAGCTTGGGGCCATCGAAATTTAGTTGGTTCAAAGGACAGCGGGAAAATCACTGATTGATCGACCACCAGATATTTCTTTTGGCAAACTAATATGTTACGATTCCTTTAGATGATTGTAGTTTATATTTGTGTTTAATTTATGTATCTATTTATGTCCATATATGCTATTTATATAGGTATATCGTTCGAATATATTTATTAATATGTGTCTATCCTGATGGGGTTTTGTATATGATTAATAAAACAATTTGTTCGATATTAGTGTCATTAAACGTCTTTTTCCCTGTTGCATTTTATTTAATCCGCAAAAAAAAAATGTTGTCAATAAATTATTATATTTTAAGCGACCTTTTATTAGTTGAATTCTCTTATCGTCGACGCCGAAATCGTCGTCGGCTAGGCTCGGCTAGGCTCGACTAACGTAGCGCGCGGGGTTCGAGGTTCGAATCCCCCTACCGCGCGCGACACACCGGTCGCTTTTTTCACCTCGCGCAAAAATACGTCAAAACAAAAAGGCACTAAAGCAAAAACTACCCCTAGCGGGGCGAAATTGCCAAAAAGGCACTAACGCGAAAACTACCCCCTACCCCCCATTCAGGGTGACATCTGGCGATCGAAACCTGAGCTCTTAATGGGTGGCGACATCTCTCGTAGAATGGACAAACTATTTTTATTTTTTTTTTTTCGGTTGCTTGGGAATCTGTAAATTTGCAATCACAAAATCTCCCCCGGGTGACGGGGGATGGTCAAGTCACGAATAATTACTACTTATGTCCGTAGGATGTTTGTTAGGACATACTAAGGATATCCAGTTATTCTAGTTGAGACGTTGTTAATATATCCGACTGTGAGAACATAGGATCTTACATAGGTGTACCAGTGGGCCTTACTTATTAGGTTATTTCCAACAGCCTGTGAGAAATACTGGAAAGGTAATGTCCAGTGGTCCAATTGGCTGTACGACTACAAAAATATTATCCCAGTATTTGGTACTCGCTTATGATGGAATTAACCTATTGGGTATGATTGGTGAAGTCATCACAGGAATAGCAAGCAATATTTGAAATGGACAAGTTTTTTACAATGATCTTTAATTTTGCGTTTAATAGTAAAAGTGAAGGACTGCCGATTGATAATAAAACACATTTTATACGCATTTTTTTCTATTGTAAATACGAAAAATAATATAGCAAAAATATAGAACAACTTAACTTAGAGTAATTTTATATATTATATATCTTGAACTAAACTCTAAGAGAATAACTAATTTTTGACAGGTTTTCTGTCATTCTTTGGTGAAAGTAGCTCTTTTCATCCAAGCAGCTATTGAATTCTCACATTCTTTTAATGTTTGTGATGTATTTGTCTTCTTATCCGCATCTGAAAATATTTTGGTATTGAGAAAGACAGATTTTATATATCTGTACTTTATTAAAAAAAATAAAAAGAAAGAGACTGGTATATTATATATTTAAAAAACAGATTAAAAAAATTCCTACATCCGCCTTCTACGTAAAGGCTTGATTTGATATGTATTGTATATATACATTTATGTATTTCATTTAATTAAATACAGAACTCATTAAACTTTCATCGGTAAGGTTTCTTTCATGAGAGTAGATACTATCGAACGCAAAAAAAGCTAGGACAAATATGACTTTTCAGTTTGACAGTAATAGCCAATTGTCATGCAATATTTTTTTTCAATCTAATAATTTTCCTAGTTTTTTTTTGCTCGCAATGGCAAGCCTTAAAAAATACGAAAAACGTTTTCATGAATTAACCCAACAACCATTTTAATGTGAAAGTTGTACTTTATGCAGGATGATTCCTAAAATTAATACTTCGTTTTTGGTGGATGATTCTTGCATCCATTTTAAGAAAAAAATATACTGACTATAGTATAGTATACATAATAAAAATATAATTTTATTATGGGCGATTTTCTCTAACATTGCTTACTTAAATAAAAAATTAGTTTAGTTTTGTATGCCTAAATTTAACTGCTCAAAAAACATGAAGAGAAGTGGATTTTATTTTTGTTTTCAAAAACAAAGCAATAAGATACGAAAAGAAGTCGAGAATCAAAAAAGATATGTAATCTAAAAGGTATAATATACGTAAATAGGTTACAAAAAAGTCAGTTTTATCTCAACTCAGTCCAACAATCACTCCTTAGAAAAAGTCAACTAAGCAATCGCCATAATATATATTTTATTAAATTATTTTTCTTATACTTTATTTATATTACATTTACGTATTATTTATTTTTAAAAAACATAATATCTACTTACCAAATAATAATTTGGCCAATTTTAATTTTGAAAATTTCTCCTTGTTCTTCATGCCCAACAAATTAAATTTAATTGCAAGTTCATTTGAAATCAGCGGGGTCAGAGCTTGTTTTACAAACTCACAACTGCCGCCGCCGCTTGATCTTGTTATCTCATTGACCTACTACACAACAATGGTTTTTTGGCACCATTAGAATGGTTAGAAGTTATCAAATCTTATGTTACATATTACCATAAAGCTTTACTTACATGACTTATTAGTTCTTCGGTAATAATAATACCATACAAAAATAACTGAAATGAAAGCAGTAAGCACGGCACACAAAATACTCAAAATAGACGCCAAGTCAACCACAACAAGGCTGAAAAGATGGCGGACGACGAGACGGAGGAGAAGCCCACGAGACCCGAGTGAGTCCGGCACTGCACGACCGCGAGTAGTTGCGTCATTGGTTGTAGCCGAACAGTGTTGTCAAATAGGATCTTATAAATAAATATCTTATTTTTACTTTTTTGTATTTTTTTTACTTAAATAAATCCGTATTTACTGTGGCATTTTTATTTAAAAAGCGTTTCTTGTCTCGTTTGTGTCCAAAAAGAATAAAAACAAGTTGAATTTAAAGGTTTGGTTGACGTCGATGTAGATGTGCAACAAAACGTTGCCAATAAAATGTCTTCCAAAACACCATAAATCTAAAAAAAACTAAGTATTTTCCTTCTCAGTAGTTGAAAATTTAACTTTTAGGTTTCATTTTGTTTCACAGTTTTTCACCTGTTTCCCCTATTTCTATTCTAATGTTGCCATTATGGCGCCATTGGATATCCTCAGGCCATCTATTTAGAGGATCTGTGGTATATTGTATACAGTAAATCCGCAAGCTATACATTCAGAGGATATCCCTGGGATGTATTTTACAGTATATTCTTAGTATATATGCTATATATCCTAAGAATATCCTCGAGATGCCCGGGACATGCGACTTAAATGGGACATTGATCGGATATACTGGGGATATTGTGTGATAGCTGGGTTGCTGCTGTTTCGCTAATCATCCTCTTAGTTTCATTAGAGCTAAACTGGTGAAACTGGCTCACATTCTATCTCTATCTCTTATTTCAACTCTAAATAGTGAAAATTATCTTTTTACAAATCTTCGTGAGATTTTAACTAGGCAACAGTTGTTTAATTTATACTATCTGAAGATGGAATCTCTGTTTTTTTATTGTATCAATTTGTGGGGACCATCTGTATATGCCGATATAGTATATTATGCAACAAATGCGGTAAAGGTCATTTGACTCACGAGTTTTTAATAAACGAGTGAGTTAAAAAGATTGCCGAACGTGTTGCATACTATACTTTTTCTATGACCGTTGGTTTTTGGGTACATTTTCGCAAAACAACACGAATACTTTCACTGACATGACCGTCAGAATTGACAAACGTCAAAATTCAAAGCGTGGGAAATAACTCCGAAAACATTCGATTGCTCCCAAACCCGTGCGGTAAAATCCCGGAAATGTCCGAAGTGGCGTGGTAAAGTCACGCTTCCCGCACGCTAGGTCGGTGGGTAATTAGGTATTTTACAGACGGGAGTAGAAAAAAGTATTTTTAGCTCAAAAATGTATATTAATTAGTAGTGCACATATTTCCAAGTTGCAGGAGTTTATTTGGCCAGTACAAAATTTTCACACTGGCGAGTGTATTGATTTTTGACATTTCATTTATCGAATTTTAGGTTAGTTGGTGGCGTATATTCTAAGCATACAAGAGAAAGCGGTAAGCTGCATGTTCACTACTGTGGGCGGTCGACGATTTCGAGGTCACCTCATTATTTGGGTGTTCGCATTTTTAACAATTTACCATTGCAGTTAAGAAACAAAAGTTTTGAACATTGTCAAGTTAAAAAACGATTTAAAACATTCCTGTTTTCAAAAATATTTTGTAGTCTAGAAGAATTTTTTTGAGTAAATGTTGTACCTTAGATCCAAACGATATTCTGGTTAGTTTTGACGTAGAATTTATCTTGCCTAAACTCCCTATATATTTCTTGTAACGGTAAATTTATGAATAAATATCAATAACAGCTATCGGTTTTCCATAATCACCAGTCATAGCAAATATATTTAAAATCAAAATTTATAAAAATACTTTTGTTATTTGGCGTCAGATTTTCTTATCCATTTAAACTCTATACCCCATGAACGCTATTTTTTAATGAAGGACGAAATAAACACCGATTTATTCGCAAGGCAAGTATATTGCCAATTGCTGACCGATACAGAAAACGGAAATGATTATCGTTCGGTCATAAACAATCCCAACAACCCTTTATCGTCGGCAGGCTGTAATGTAATAAAACAGGCGCCCGATGGCCGTCGATATATGAGGTTACACCCTGAATATACGTTTTGCCATTGAATTAGAAACTAATAATAAACTACCATTTTTGATATTCTTACATTTCACCACAACTGACTCAAATATTAGCATAGTATTAGCATATTTACAGGAACCTGCTTTTTCATAAATATTCCACGAATTAACTTAATTCAATTTGTTTACATATCGTCGTTAAAAATATATTTATTAAAAATAAATATTTTATTTGAACTGAGGTGGCTTTTACTTGATGAAAATCCATTTATCAAAATAAATAAAAACTAAGAGTTCAGATTTTCACGAAATTATATATTATGACATGACAATTGTTTCGACAACACCGTGCCTTTATCAAATGTAATGTTTACAAACTACCTGCCACTATATATACCGAAAAATGACAATAAAACCTTAATTAATGTTGTTGTGAGAATTTAAGTTCAATAAATGATAGGTATTTAAATTTAATTGAGCGTTAAGCAATACATTTGAATGTGTCATTTTGTTAATCTCCATGGCTTCCAATAAATTTATTTTTCTACGTTTTATGGTTGTATGTAATATATAAAAATTGTCGTCAAAAATGTGTTTTTCTGTGTTTAAGTGTATAGCATAATTAGAATCAAGACTATTGTTTTTAAACGCTCTTATATGTTCGTTAATGCGTTTCTTGAAGGATGTACCTGTTTGTCCAATATAAATTTTAGGACACGATGCGCATTTCAACCTGTAAACACCTGATTTTTGGGATTTTAGACATTTCGTTTTATTGTTTTTTAAATATATTCCTATTGTGTTGTTAGTTCTGAAAGCTATTTTTAATCCACATTTTGACAAATGTTTTGAAACTTTTTCGCTAGATTCTCCTATGTATGTAATTGTTTTAAATTGTTCGTGTTCTGTATTAGGTTTCGCACAAATAGAGTTTACTGTTGTCTGTATTTGTTTTTTATTTATGTAGCCGTTGTTCAGTGCAATTTGTTTAATGATATTAAGTTTTTTGTTGTAATTTTCTGTTGAGAGTGGCGTATTAAGAAGTCTGTGTATAAAAGAGTTAAATGCAGTCATTTTGTATGTATAAGGGTGATTTGAGCTGTTATGTATGACTGTGTCCGTGCGTAAAGGTTTATGATATATTGAAAAATCTAATTTGATTTATACTTTCGTAATAGTTAAGTATAAAAAATTACTAGAGTTATCCTGTTCAATCTCGATAGTGAATTTTATACGATTATGTAATGAATTAATGTAATTTATAAAAGAATTCAATTGTCTGTCCGTTCTAACAAAGCAAGCAAAGACATCATCCACGTATCTATACCACCATAAAAACTTTTACTTAAAGAATGTTGAATGAATCTCGGCTAGCAAAGGTCTAAGTGGGTTTCCCATAATCAAACCTTCTTTAAAGAAAAGGAATCTGTCCATTAAATTCAAAATAATTCTGGTCTAAAGATACTATTAAGCAATCTAATAAATCTTGTTTCACCAATGCATTAACCTGTTTTTTTAACCTGTATTTAACTCTTTTATACACAGACTTCTTAATACGCCACTCTCAACAGAAAATTACAACAAAGAACTTAATATAATTAAATTGCACTGAACAACGGCTACAATCCGTTCATTATAGATAAAATTATAAATAAAAAACAAATACAGACAACAGTAAACTCTATTTGTGCGAAACCTAATACAGAACACGAACAATTTAAAACAATTACATACATAGGAGAACCTAGCGACAAAGTTTCAAAACATTTGTCAAAATGTGGTTTAAAAATAGCTTTCAGAACTAACAACACAATAGGAAAATATACAAAAAACAATAAAACGAAATGTCTAAAATCCCAAAAATCAGGTGCTTACAGGTTGAAATGTGGATCTTGTCCTAAAATTTATATTGGACAAACACGTAGATCCTTCAAGAAACGCATTAACGAACATAGAAGAGCGTTTAAAAACAATAGTCTAGATTCTAATTATGCTACACACTTAAACACAGAAAAACACATTTTTTACGACAATTTTTATATATTACGTACAGCCACAAAAAGTAGAAAATTAAATTTATTGAGACATTCAAATGTATTGCTTAACGATCAATTAGATTTGAATCCCTCTTCTTTATTGAACTTAAATTCTCACAACAACATTAATTAAGGTTTTATTGTAATTTTTCGGTATATAAACAATTGTCATGTCATGATATATAATTTCGTGAAAATCTTTTAAATAAATAACAACTTTTAGTTGTTATTTATTTTAATATTTTATTTAGAAAAATCATTATGTAATTGTAATTAATTATGTAATAAAACATATTATGGGTTACATTAAATAGGTTTATATTGATGTATTAATATAATTATTGAAATAGGAGCTCTTTACTTTTACGTTTTCATTACATTAAAAACTGTGTAGTGAAATTCAATATATACTAGTACTAACTATAACAGAAGGAGGTCTAGTTATTTGTAAGAAGACGACACGCTCGGTAACTCAGTAATTAATTTTAGGCACGTTTATCGCGATTAGAATTTCACATTTTACATCATGCGAGATGGTTTATCGCCTAATCTGGACGTGGCATATATATTTGGCACGTATCACTTCGAAACGGTCATAAAATTTTTAACTTTACTTTTAAATATTCGTCACTCCCCCTGAAAAAAAAAACTGGGCTGGCAATTCACGTTTGTTCCGAGAAATGAGCATTCGGATATCACTTATTACATTCGCAGTTATTTTACAAATTCTATCGGTTAGTTCTAACGGTAAATAAAATATTCGGCGTTGTATAAAACGGATTTAACATTTCCTGCTAGGTCTGGACTCTCATCCGAATTGGATCTATTTGCCAAAAAAACATTGCGGATCCGGCAGACCGATGCATAAAATAGTTGGAGGAAGGGAGGCAGCCCTAGGTCAGTTCCCTTGGATGGTAAGGTTGGGATACCAGAACAATCCGTTCAAGAGCGAACTGAAATTTTTGTGCGGCGGCTCACTGATAAGCAGATACTATGTGTTGACAGCCGCCCATTGCGTAGATAAATGGTACACTTTTATTTTGTAAGTATCCTGGTTTCCATGTTGGATAAACTGCCTCCTTAGAAGTGACAGACGAATTATGATTATAGGGCGGTGGCGAGGCTAGGAGAACACTTGGTATACCGCGACCCAGATTGCGAAGGCAAGGTGTGCGCTCCGAGGGTGCAGGACATACCGTTCTCGAGGTTCCAGAAATACGAAATGTATAATTACGACGGGAATTCCGAGGGTGACATAACTCTTTTGCAACTCAGAACTCCGGCTCGCTTAAATGGTATACCCGCCCCACGATTACGATAGAGTAGAAAATGCGGAACAGATCAATCGCATTGTCGGCATTTTTTTTGGACTTAAAAATAAAACTAAGTTCTGCATTTATATGAAATCTGACAGCAAGGTTAAAAATTATTTAATATTTTATGTATAGTCCTGGCAACTACTACGCGGTCATCGCTGTCTCAACTCATTTTAATGCCCATAGCGTTGTTCTTTTCTGATTCACTTAGTACAGTGCCACATCAATAATCCGGATCTCCATGATTCTTCAATAATTTGGACAGAGGTTTCAATAGCAATTTGTATTTTATAATTCGTATTTGATAGTGTTTAATAAGCAAGATCTGCGATACGTGCATCTTATGACGTCAGAAGATTAATTGCATAACGCTTTAGTTGTTGGTTTAAAAATCTGATATATTTTGTAGTGAAAGTGGAAAAGTGTTTTCAAATGAGTCCGGAGTAGTAACATCAACAATTTCGGATACAAAAACGAAAAAAGAAAAGTAAAAAGGTGCGTATTATTTATTTTGAAGATTATTTTGGACATTTACTATGAACTTCTTTTAGACTCATTGCCAAACGTGATCTGCCAAAGCAAAACTGTTTTATACTGAAACCTACGTCGGTTATTTCCTGATTGCGTTCGCAAATAAGATTAAGCCTCAAACCTACGCATATATAATGCAGATGAATCCGCTCTGTCTTGGAAAATGGTGTCTGAGAAAACGCTGGTTCGTTCTCAGGAGAAGACTACACCAGGTCGGAAAATAAACAAAAAACGCGTTACCTTTCTAGCATGTTGCAATGCAGAAATTGAAGCTGTGAGTGATAGGAAAGGCAAAAAATTTGAGCGTTTTTAAAAATGCGAACATACCTGTTGAATATAAATCATCTTCCAATGCGTACAGCAATTTTCGTAGATTGGTTTTGTCACTCTTTTGTTTGTCAGGTCACAAGTCAGAGCTGACGAGCGAGGATATAAAATTTACCACCTTATTTTTTCCACCAAATTGTACCCCATTTTTGCAGCCTATGGACTAAAATATCATCAGACTGAGCAAATTATTTTTTCGGAATGCTCTTTATACCCATAATTTATCATCTTCCAAAATCCATTAACATGAAAGACGCTGTATGAACACCATGAAATGCTTGAGAAAAGTCTCCCAAGAAGTCTTGGAGAAGAGCTGGCATAATATGTTGGCTCACGTGGCATATACCAAACCCAAACATTGAATATGACGCTGATGATCTCACTTCTCTTAGTCAATTGCGACGTCATCTGCTTTCTTCTAACGAAGAAGTAAAAGAGTTTATGTAAATTTTGATTTTTTTTATTACCTGATTTTTTTTTGTTAATTCGTGGTATTTAACAGAAGTTTCAGATATGCTGAATGTTCCCACAGTGCTGCAGATGAACAACACGGCGTGACAATGAAGACACAGAATTAAGTCATAGAAACCAGACTCTTAAAAATCATGCGACAGTTAAAAGTTGTGGATGTGTGCATAAAGTGAAACAAAATAATAAAAGCAGAAGAAAGAAGAAAATAATATTCCAAAAAATTATGTTCTATTACCTCATTGAACAAAAGAAACAGCTTAACTAACAAATTAATTCACAAATTAATGTTCAATTCAATGAAATATGCTTTTGTTTTGAATATTTTTTTATGTTTGTACTATATTTTAGATGTTTTACATTAAATGTTTTAGTTATTAATACAAAAGTTGTCTTAGTTCACTAATCCCAATTATTTACTTATCCGCATTACACAGTAATATTAATGTAATATTTACGTTTACCTTTACCAATTCAAGTCAAAACAGAAGGCAATGTTGGAAATTCATATGATGTTTTCTATTTGCGAGTAAAATTCTGAGTAACTTTTTTCTATGTCTCTGTATTTCCCTTGCTTCGAAAAAAATTTTTTTTGGAAGAAAAACATGGTTTTAATAAAGATTAATAACATCTTTTTCCGTAAGTGAGCTATTTATTAGAAAATATAATCAATAATTAAGGAATTGTAGGCATTTAACTCATGTTCATGATTTTTGTATCAGGAAAATACTTTCAGTGATTTAAGATAATTTTTATGTTCAGCTTCAATGTAGTTTTCCTGAATTTCTGAAAATTAAAAAAAACTTATTGATATAATGTAGGGTGTCCCGCATAAGATGGTACAGTACAGGAATATTGGCAAGTATACAGGATGGAAATGTTATTAACAGGGAAAAGTTTTAAAAAACTTAATTGGTAGTTAAACATTGTTAGATTTTTTTTCAGTTTTTGAGTTGTTCAAAGAACTAAAAATATCAATCAGTAAAAAAGCGCAATAAATGTTATTAATCAAAATAATTTGGAAAACTGGAAAAACACCATTCAAGCAACTTTCTGCAGTCTTACGACTGGGCTATTCAATTCCTTAGTTGGATGTTTCCTTTCGGAGATAACCTTTCCATTTTTTTTATTATGGATAAAATCAAAAGGTTATTTTTTAATCAACTGGCTTAGATATTTTACTTTATAATAATATTATCATATTTCTTTTTTTAATTCAATATTTCGATAAATTTCTTGATATAGATATACTTAGGACAAACTGCATAAAAAAAATAATATTCAATTTTTCTAAAAGTGAAAATGAAGATCTGATTCCATGTATCACAACATATTGAAATAATTGCACGTAAACGTCTAAACCTACGTTGATTTCGCATAAAATCAAAATATAAAAATAAGACAGGAAATTATTTATCAGGTTTGTTCATTACAAAATTTTAGAAATGATGCTTACTTTTGGATAGCTAGGTTTTGGGTTTTTCTTTTTGTATGTATAAGATTCCATGAAGTTTGTAACATCTTTCACTGTTTTGCAAACTCTAAATTAAACAAATAAATAATTTTGAAAATGATGTCAAATGATCTTACCACATTGGTGCAGATTTAATGGTAGAAATTAAACTACATTCCAATTTGCTCAATATTAATAAATGGTTCCAAATTTACACAAATGTGAGATATGGTTTTCTACTTGCCGCAAATTGGCCCGCGGTATAGAACAGATATTTGTGAGTCCTTAATTGTAAATAAAAAAAAAATCTTATTGGGTACAAAATATCCGTGAAATGTCCATAGCAAAGCGGCATTTTTTCCACCTATAAACAAATAGTAACATATCACCCAAACCATTTTAGAGCGATAAGTCTAAAAAATTACTCATTTTAATGACGTTTCTTTCATTTATGCCCTGAAGAGTTCCCTTTGCTTGTTTGCCTTTCATATTTGTTGAAAGGAACTTATGCATAATAATCATAATTCTCATTCCATTTATTTATTAAATGTTTAAATTTTAAATGTCACCTCAAAATCGAACAGTATCTAAAACATAACCGTTTATTATATCTCACTGAAAACACTACGATTTTGAGTCTGTTTACTATGCTTTCAGCTGAATTTCCCAATTTTTCCAATTCGATACGGTATATATTCCTGACGGGATATTTTAATACATAAAAATCTCAGTCAATGCAAAAATACAATTAACAAATAAAAAGCATTTTTTGCTTTTTAAATTATCTATTAAGTATATATTTATTACTAAACAATTATCTGCACATCATTAAAATCTTTTCGTTTAAATCTTTAATCTGCATGAACAAACTTTGTCGCAAAAATTGTATATTTTGCAACAAGTGAGGTAAACGGCATTTGACTCACGAGTTTATTTGAAAATTTCCGGGATATTACTACACGGGTTTGGCAACAATCAGAGGTTTTCAGAGTTTTTACAGCACGCAATTTCCACTTTTGTAAATTCTGAAGTTTATGACATTTCCGAGATTTACGGCACTGATTTGGGAGCGCCAGGATGTTTCCGCGATTTCACCCCACGGCTTGAATTTTCAAATTTATCATTTCTGACGGTCATGTCAGTAAATGTATTCGTGTTGTTTTGCAAACATGTACCCATGATCCGAGCCACTTCGGACATTTCCGGTATTTTACCGCACAGGTTTGGGAGCAATCGGATGTTTTCGGAGTTATTTCCCACGCTTTGAATTTTGACGTTTGTCAAGTCAAGTCATGTCAGTAAATGTATTCGTGTTGTTTTGCAAAAATGTAACCAAAAAATTTGCGGTGGTAGAAAAAATACAGTATGAAACACGTTTGGTAAACTTTTTAAGTTACTCGTTTATTAAACACTCACTCCGCTCGTGATTCAAATGCCGTTTTCCGCACTTGTTTAATATATCTAAATATTATCACATTTATTGCATTGCGTGTTCATACTAGGGTGGAAAACAACACGAATTCATTCACTGACATGACCGTCAGAATTGAGAAATATCAAAATTCAAGCTGTGGGAAATACGTCCGAAAACATCCGATTACTCCCAAACCCATGCGGTAATATTCCGGAAATGTCCGAAGTGGCTCGCATCCGTGAGAAATGAAACGGAGGTGGTAAAATGACACTTTCCGCATGCTAGATCGGTGCATAATTAGGTATTTTATAGCAAACTTTATTTTCTTTGGTGTTATTTTAGAACAATTTCTAATTAACTGATTTATATGAAATCTTTCAAAAAAAGTCATAACAAACAATTTTTACTCTTCTATCATTTTCCCGTCTCTCAATCCAAATTTGTTGAAATTCTTTTTCTGTATGAAATCGAAAATGATAAGTTTATTACAAATTTAAACGTACATATTACTGCAAACAATCATTGCCTTTATTACAGGCATATCTTAAAGTTAAAATCGTCAGGTATTTGTGCCATAAATTTAACAATTATTTTAAAACAATACATTAGTTGGATGCTGCCAAAGGGTTGAAATTTTTCAAACAATATTTATCTTCTATACAATTTCATTTTAAAAACAATTTATTATAAAACATTTAGGAAACTAAGCAAGACACTCAGGGGAAAACAAAAATGCAATTTTAATGGTAAGATTCAAAATTCCTGCTTTGCGATGGAATAAATGCATTCATGCTGTTTTGCAGACTTATCATAAAATGCATATCGGACATTTTTACGTTTCACCATTATAGGATTAAGACTATTACCATCGAACAACTTATGGTTGGATAAGGTATATATTTTTGATTAAATTAGACGCATTTTGCATTCAAACTAACCGAGCAATGTCAAGTAAAGCAATAATCAGAAACGCCTTAAGAAATGACAGCAACCCACTTGTTTGTTTGTGTGTTTTATCTAAAACTGAACGAGATAAAAAGTTTCTAAATTAATAAATAAAAATTTATAAATAAATAAATTAAAATAAATATATTTTTTATATCTTTGTATATGTTGCTCCTTAAATTTAAAGCTAAAGCTAAGAGTCGTCACCCAATACGATCAGCTCCACTTTTTAAAAAACAATCAGAAAATGTGTTTTTATAATAGCAATACATTTTAATACATTTTAATGTTGATTACTCTAAACAAGTACTCACACCCTCAAGTTTTTTGTATTTGTTTTAAAATGCCTTCATGAGATACTATTTATACCTAAAGTCTGTTCATATATATAAGAAAGTGACTAACTAATACGAATTAAGGAGATACTCGGGCAAACTGTAAGAATGAAATATGGCCGAACAGGTCCGTACTTTGCTTAGTATTGAATTATTTCGGGTTTTGTTAGGAAAGATACTAAACAATATTTATTTATTTATGTATGTATTTATGTTTAAATCTAAAATAAAATTACAAATTATTTTTATTACCTACTTAAATTACTTAAAATTGTTCTAATTATTATTTGTTCTATATTATTTGCAATATGGATATACGATTGTTCTGCTTTTTATATATGTTTAACAGAATTTGCCCAACTTTGTGGAGGGATGTTAAAAACTTCGGTTTCTATAAGTTTGAGGACATTGGAGTTAACACGGGGAAAAACATTGTTACGACGAATGGCAGATTTCAGTTGGTGCCAAACATGTTCAATGGGATTAAATATACAGTGGTAAGGTGGAAGGAAGTCTTAAAACTGTATGACCTAGATTTTTTGCATAATTATCACAGATGTATTCCTTTTGTCGGTTCAAACTTTGTAGAATCTCAATTAATTGCTTTTTGGTATAATCTTCGTGAAAATAAATGTCGTTATTATACATATAGTTTTGGATTGTTGATTTTGTGTCACATGAGGAAGGGGTTTTAGTCAATGACGCTATTTAGAGGAATGTCTGGAACTAGTTTGTTTTTAAAGCAACTTTCAAATAAATCGGCGGTGGTGTCTTCATGGTAATCCAGAGAAGATTCTTTAATATTTTTCGCAGACAGAGAAAGTCCGTTTGGAATCCAACCATCCTTAGACCCAGCACGCAAAATAGTTATTCTTTTACCTCTTTTTGATGGCGCGTTTGTTTTACACTTATCAGTTGAGTCAATCCGGGGTATCATAAGGGTCGAACCAGGGTTCATCCAAGTAAATAACTAGCCTTTGTTGTTCTCTGTAAATCCAAATTTTTTCTAGATATTACTGTCGCCATTTCCGAATTCTAAAAGATTCCATTAAAACTTGCCTTTTGTCAATTTTTTTAAATCTGAAACCCATGTGTTGAATACACTTCCATAAGGTAGCTCTGCCACATTGAACACCGGTTTAATCTTTTTCAAGCCTCCTAATTAAGATATCAAATGTAGGGACACTTTGTTCCTCGTAAATTTTACGCCGTATTATATCTCGATCATTTTCCTCTACACTCGAGAAAATGTCAGCGTCCCTTCTTTTTGTCCTCGCTGAAATGGGATTAATCACAATTTTCCATACAGTTGTAATTTTCGTCAATGTGGCCGTTTTTTCTAAAGATGCTTGCTTGCTGGCACCACGTTCAATGAGAGTCAAATAAACATTGTTTAAAACTTCCTTAGTCTCAATAGAATAGTGTTTTCTACATTTGGGCAGGAGCATCTCTTGAGATACACTAGACTCGCACATATTTTGCATAATTCGCACACGATTCAACACACGCTGCATTACAGACGAAATAAGAATGATTACTAATAAACTTAAAGTAAATATGTAGTATACCAAACCAAACAATATTAAACACATTTAGGTATAAAATTATTTTCTATTACGGACCAAAATTTTACCTGAATTTAAATTCCGAAATTTTAGGTAATAATCTTGTTGCATTGTATGTTAATGACCCCCATTGGATAATTCCATTCAAAAGCAATTGGTCACTTTCCTATATCTATGAACATACCATACCCAGTTTACTGAGAATTATTAATTGAGAAATAAATTTCCACCCCACAACTTCTTTTCTAAAAGTAAACTTGACAAATGACAATGGCGACAATTTAGGTAGCTAAAATTAATGAATCAACCTCTGTTCCATCTTTTGTCAGATTTCGTAAAACCAATTTGTTTGCCGCGCGGCGACATCATGGAAAATCAGCAGAATTACTTAGGAGCAGGATCGGACGTAATAGTAGCTGGATGGGGAGCGACGGACTCTTCCAACCGGCAACAAGCTAGGAAATTGCAGTTTACGAACATACCGGTTGTAGATTTGGACGAGTGTAGGGCAGTGTATACGAGAGAAGTGGACGAGTCTCAAATTTGTGCAGGAGGTAAAGTACATGTTTAGTTTTTATTAGTCGTAAAACCCTTAGCGTACGTGTTTAGGTACGGATGGGCGTGATTCGTGTTCCGGTGACTCCGGTGGACCCATAGTTCAACTCATCTCGCTAAATGGAACTCTGCAGTACTTCGTTTTGGGCGTGGTGTCTTATGGGAAATCGCTGTGCGGCTCTACGGTCGCTGTCTACACGAACGTAGCATTTTTCATGGAATGGATTTTAGATAACATCTACAAGTGATTGTAACACTATAATAAACCTGAGCTTTGAGAGTCATTGAACATGGTCTTGCATAACAATGACTGAAATTAAGTATTTTCGCCACCGTGTTATTTTGTTCACATTCCTTGGGTATCTCGATCCCCACCATATTGTTTTATTAACTGCTGCACGAAACAGTTCCATTGAAAACTTTCCATAATCACGTAGTCTCTCCATTATAAGGTGCAGTATGGCCTATTTCTCAGGGTGATGCATAATGTGACCAAAGTATTCTAGCTTACCCTGGTCTTCTTTATGTTATTGCTGTAACCTTAGGATTATATTGATAACTATCTAAAACAATCTAAATTGTTGAATCCCTCTTTAATATATTACTTGCACCTTGCCTCTTTAGTACATAAAATTAAAGACATTGCGAGCCCTCTTGTTGATTTAATAAATTGTTAAAATGGTCCAACATCCACTAATGTGTTACACGGCACTGCGAGTTGTACATAAGTACATAAATAATTAATCGATTTTCTTTTTTTTTTAAATTATGTATGACTGTTATCCCCACATTACTAATAATGACATTTTGAATTGAACTGAATTGAATTATCCGGATGTTTTTCAATCTATCCACCCATCTGATTTTCAGTAGACGACGGTACACATTTCGAAGGTTTCTAGACCCCTGGTTAGTGAGTCAGTGAGGGTCCAAGGCTCCGTGCCATAAAGGAAAACAGAAATCCCGTAACATTCAAGCATTTTCATTCGCAGTTTCCGTTTTAAATTATGGGTGTAAAGAACTTTTTTTACTTTTACGAATGTTGCGATTCTAATTTTAACTTTAATTATCGTTGCTGCTTCTCAACTTGGTCCAGATGTGCTCCCTCCACATGAATGTCGCCATCCTGAGGTGAGACATGTTTCCTAATAATCGTATATTTAGTGTTATTAATATTTAGTTTAAGTACACACTAAACACACGAGTTAGTAATCTGATTCATCAACAGTATTCTCAATGTTTCAAATGTCATCGCCATATGCGATGTTATTCATAGTTTTTCCATTTATGATCACTCCTGGAATGCTAAATACGGGTTGAACAACAAAGGTGACAGAATACAATCCTGATGTACCTACTCTTGATCTCTGTATGATAGCTGAGATGCGGTTCAATTTTTACCACGGCCTTACAATTTCAATCCAGTGTTATATACAATGTTAAAGAGTTTTGTCATTGCTTCTGTTACTTTATCTTCTAACAATTTCAATATTTCCTTGCTAATTTCCAATCTCAATGAATTTCAATTGTGGTCAAATAATTCTTGAACGTATGCTTTTCATTTTTGAAGTTTTTGATGAACATCTGTGAGTCGCTTTGATCGTCAATAACACTAAACAGTCTGTATTCTCCTATATTCTGTTTCGTTCTTGTTTTTGTATTGAATTCTCTGAACCATAAGACGCAGTGTCATCCATTTTTGTTTTATCTGAGATTTTTCTGCGGAAAGCTTATTCTTTTGAATTTTATTCTGAAAATTATTTTCTGTAATGCTCAGCGTTTGCATCAGATCTTCTTCTTCTCCTATATGCAGTTTGTTTATTTCATTTTTTCATTATGCCTGAGTGGTACGTCGATGCCAGGGCAATAGAGATTTTGAATCTCTTGCTGATACAAATGTAGTCAGTTTGGTTGGTGCAGGTGAATACCAAGTGTACAGGGTCTTTGAGGAAGCTTAAAGAATGCATTAATGATTACCATTTGCTGCTCTCAGCAAAAGGGAATTTCCGATATTTGCACGACTATGGTTACTATGGTTTTGACTTTGCTAAATTTAACCAAGGTATTTTTATTAATGTTAGATATTTATTCGCTTTTACTTGGGTTGACTATTTAACGTCCCTATAATGAATAATGAATTTTGTATTTCCTTCCTTGTTTTTAAAGAAAGTTGGTGGCAATCAAACACGTAATTATTTTGACAGATTAATATATGCCTATGATAGTAATTCAGGCACCTCTGAAGCCAATATCAAAAAGTCGCTTTTTACTAACGGCGTCTTATAACGACTAATTCGACAGTTTTCAGTCAAGAGTGTCATTGTTTTCTCAAAATGTGTAGCAGGTCATCTTGAATTTATCGTTGGATCGCTTTTTAGAAACAAAATTGAGCGAAATTAGCTACATGGGTAAATATCAACTATCCAGAGTTTAGAATTAGTTTTATATATGGTGTATCGAGATTTGACAGTTGGGAGGTTAGCATCTATAAGTCAGAAATCAATCAATTTTTAAGGGTTAATGTGATTAATTAAACATAAATTTTTATTGCAAATCATTGTTACAATCTATTGTCGAGACTTTATGCTCCATAAAGCAGAAATCAATCAGTGCTTTTCGTGTTTTATTGCAATTCCATGATTTTTACAATTTTCGGTTTATTCGATTACAGAAGAACGAAATGTGCAAGTCCGTTTTGATTCTTGTGGCAACGAGTTTCCTATGGATTTTACAGGCGAAATCGACGGGTAAGGAGATAAATGAGGAAAATAAATGATTGCCGTTAGAGATATGGGAAAAAGTTGTTCCGAATATACTATTCTAATCAAATTTCATGACAAAATTCGAATTTTCGGTTTTCTTTATTATTATTAGTTTATTTCTTATTAAACAAACACGTGTTTCATGAAAAGTAATAATTTGACAACTTGTGAAATCATTAATGTACATCAGTTTTATAAATTGAGTTCTATTTAGTAAGCAGTTGCTTTTAAATGAAAAAAAAAAACAAAAACAAAATATCCACTATACAGTTTAACAGAAGACATCTACAACGTCTTCTCATTGCACGAGGAAATGCTTTTTTCAATGAAACTAAAAAATGAATATAAAAAAACAACTTTTAATAAAATAACGAAAAAACAAAAAAAAATGGAACATAGGGTTAGAATAATATTCAGAATAACATTTTCAAATAACTTTCTCTGATATCTCAACTCTAAGTAAAATATCGAAAATTACCGGTTTTTAAATTTAATTTTCAGTTGAATCTCTTAAAAAATGTGAACCATCAATCTGTATGACTGCTAACTAACCAAAACTTCAAATCTGTATCTATTTAAATTTGAGCGATTCAGTGAGCTTAGCAGCTTTTAAATGAAAAAAAAAACAAAAACAAAATATCCACTATATAGTGAAACAGAAGACATCCACAAAATATGGCAATGCTTTTTTTCAATGAAACTAAAAATCGAATATAAAAAATCAACTTTTAATAAAATATTGAAAAAACAAAAAATTTGTTACATGAGGTTAGAATAATATTCGGAACAACTTTTTTAAATAAATTTCTCTGATATCTCAACTCTAAGTAAAACATCGAAAATTACCCATTTTTAAATTTAATGTTCAGTTGAATCTCTGAACCATCATCTGTATGAGTGCTACTTAACCAAAACTTCAAATCTGTATCTGTTAAATTATATACAGTGATGTAAGAGCAGGTGCTTTGTCGCTATATTTTCAAGAATACGGTGTTACCGCTTCTATATAAACGTGGCAACATCTTGCTTAGTTTAAATGGAACTCCTGTGTATATAATTTCATATACTTAAATGTCTTACTGTTATTAATAATAAAAAAAAGTAATTCCAAGAGTTCTTCTAGGAACTGTCAGTTATTTTGTACGGGAGTTCTAAAAACTATCAAAAATAATCTAACTATATTTTTCTTTTTCCGTCTTTGAAACCAAAATAAATTTTTATGATATTTACGTAAGTCAATGGTCATTTCGAAGAAAGCTTCGCACATAGATAGGACGAAATGCGTAAAGCTTCATTTTTATTAAAAAAAGCGAAAGACATCTTCTACATGCTAATGCTACTTATGGAATTATTTCGTTCCACTTCTTGTGTTCCATTTCTTTGCTTCTTATCAATCTCTGTGAACAGGGTAATAATTTAAATAATCACACTTGGTTTGACAGAAACTAAAATTAAATGAAAATGAGACTTTACGAAATTAATTCTGACCATCTGCTTAGCTATCTTCGAAGGCTTAGTGTTACTCCAAAGTGTATTGCAACATAAAGAAAAAATGCTTAAAATCTATCCTAGCATTCAAAAACGAAAGAATGTACTTAATAAATCTTATTTTTTAAACGCCCAAGAACTGTTTGGAAAAGTTTGCCTTGCCGTGCTATTGGGATTTCTTTAAGGGTCCAACTTTCTTAAAACTCTAGGAAATAATTTCTATAACGGTAAGACATGGCTAACAGGGAGACGTGAACAAAATCTTCTTTATTTTTGGAATAGAATATAAACATGAACTGATATACCTAATTGTGATTCAATTTCCTTATATATATCTTTGTCCGTCTTTGAAACCAAAATAAATTTTCATGATATTTGCGAAATACATTAAGTCCTTTCGAAGAAAGCTTCTCACATAAACATAGACACATTTAAAAATAGACAAAGACATCTTCTATGTGTTAATGCTACTTGTGGAATAGAATATAAAAATGAAATGATGCACTGGGGGTGCCTTTTAAAATAAGCAAGATGTTGCTAAGTTTATACAAAAGCGGCAACACCGCATACTTCAAAATATTTGAAAGCGATAGAGCACATCATCCTAGATCACCCTCCATAACTTAAGGTAAATCCGCTGGTCCGTTCACCAAATATTTTGCGCACCACATTGAAACAAAACGTCATATATCGAGAAAACGCGGTCGCAGTCAGCAGGCACCTGATTTGACTATCATGAGTTAATCAAATTAAGCAAAAACAGAGTATTAAACATCATCATCAACCTTTTTCTCTTGTCGATTGCCGAGCATAAGCCTTCTAAAGTCTTCTCCATTTTCTCCACTTTTGTTCTACGATGAATTTCTTCGTTTCTAATTCTATCTTGATGCTTTTGTGAGTGTTAGCCTTTCCGCTCCATAGGTCGGACAAAACGCACTGATTGAAAGCATTTGTTTTAAGAGTAATAGGCTTTGAAGATGTCTCAGTCAGATATCCTAGTCTGCTCCACTGTTTGTTTGTCTCTCCTCAGTTTCACTTCATGACCGCTTTCGCATCTATCGCTATCTTCTCCTCTATAACTTATATTTTCTCTTGTTGCATGTATTATCAGGTTTTCTAGTGCGTTTAGATTCAACCATTACTCTTGTATTGCCTCTATTTTTTTGGTTAAATAAAATGTGTTTTTGTTCTGCAAAATCCTCACACTTCAGTCAAAACTGACCAATAAATTTGAAGGTTACAATTCTTTCCTTACGAGCCAGTAATTCAAAATAATAAATGACCGAAAGTTTGGGTTTCTTCTGCTATCTTGCGCCGGGACTATATAGATTACAGAGATTGTTTAAGCAGATCTTGATAAGCACGAGAATTGGAAACATTTACCCACTGAGGATTGCGGAAAGGCGCCTCCAACGGATAGAATCATCGGTGGTAAAGAGGCAAAGCTGGGTCAATTTCCATGGATGGTTTTCATAGAATTTGACGGAGCGTTTTGCGGTGGGGCCTTACTCAACAAATATTATGCGTTGACTGCTGCTCACTGCATTGGTGCTAGTGTTGACAGGTATACGCGAACTGCAATTAATAGTATGTAATACAAAAGTTCTTTAGCTATATTGGCTATAGCAAAAAAACAACATATTAATAAAAATTAGTACGGCTTTGCTGCTGATATTGGGGTTTCGCAAAAAATATTGTTACATGTATTGCAGAAATACGGTATTAGAGAAAAACTTTTATAGAATTACATAACAGATAGGTACAATATGCAGTTATTACTGAACCAAATATTGTAAGAATTGGAATACTGCTAGGTACAGTACTGGGCTCACTGCTTTTTAGTCTCTATATAAACACAATAAATGATTTAAACCTTTTGAATAGAATGGTGCCATATGCTACTATGGCATGCATATGGCACCATGCAGACTCTTCAGTCATAGTATTTGCGGGTGATACATAACAAAAAGCAATGGTTAAATTACAAGAGGGGCTATTTCGCATTAAACAATATTGTGGATCCTATTTCTAGGAGTTCAAATACACAAAAACTTAAAGTTGTAAATTTAGGTACCTTCACATGCCGGAAAAGATAGAAGCACAATAGAACCTCTGTTAAGACATAGAATATTATTATGCAGTGGAACATATAAAAACAACCTTAAAAATCTTAAAATAACACAAAACGCCATGCTGCGCTCATGTACATAAATTCTACGAGAGGCAAAACACCTTAAACCATCAAGTGCAATACAAACCTAAAAACGAAATTGTAGCAAGCGAAAAGAAGGTACTGCAAATTATAGAAGAAATAATTAAAAAAAAAATTCTAATTCATGGATTTGAAAAAATAAAATGCCCATACAGTCGGTTTATTCAAATACAACCGCATTTTGAAAAGACTCACAAACACATAGATTTTTTTTCAATTCTACTCCACAGGTCCGCACAATATCATTATATAATATTTACTATAAAAGATGTCCAGTATAAGATAATGTAAATGAGGATACTGGAAACTGTAAGAGATACAGCCTTCTTTAAATGGAAGAAAAGTAGCGTATGTAATGCTAAAAAATAATCTAGTTTTCATTAGTTTATTTTAAATCGTAACCCTTATATAGATACAGGGTGAAAAAAGAAAATGTCCAATTTTTTGAAATGTTCCATATTATAAATGTTCAAACCACGTGGGTGTTATTTCTATCAAAGGAGAGAGAAAACTCCATCAATATTTTTTGCTGTGAACAAAAAAAAAAAGCTAAAATACATCGTGAATTATATTTTAAAAGTTATCTAATACCAAAGCAGCCTGACAGTTTTTAAAAATCGCCGACTGATACAAATCACAATTTTTAAAACATAAATACTCTAACCTCATATCTTCAAAAAGCAATGGTTAAATTACAAGAGGGGTTATTTCGCATTAAACATTTTTTAGATAGTTGTTTCCATAAATGACGCAATTAAACCGAAGTATCAAAATGTAAGTGTTAACAATATTGTGGATCCTATTTCTAGGAGTTCAAATACACAAAAACTTAAAGTTGTAAATTTAGGTACTTTCACATGCCGGAAAAGATAGAAGCACAATGGAACCTCTGTTAAGACATAGAATATTATTATGCAGTGGAACATATGAAAACAACCTTAAAAATCTTAAAATAACACAAAACGCCATGCTGCGCTCATGTACATAAATTCTACGAGAGGCAAAACACCTTAAACCATCAAGTGCAATACAAACCTAAAAACGAAATTGTAGCAAGCGAAAAGAAGGTACTGCAAATTATAGAAGAAATAATTTAAAAAAAAATTCTAATTCATGGATTTGAAAAAATAAAATGCCCATACAGTCGGTTTATTCAAATACAACCGCATTTTGAAAAGACTCACAAATACATAGATTTTTTTTCAATTCTACTCCACAGGTCCGCACAATATCATTATACAATATTTACTATAAAAGATGTCCAGTATAAGATAATGTAAATGAGGATACTGGAAACTGTAAGAGATACAGCCTTCTTTAAATGGAAGAAAAGTAGCGTATGTAATGCTAAAAAATAATCTAGTTTTCATTAGTTTATTTTAAATCGTAACCCTTATATAGATACAGGGTGAAAAAAGAAAATGTCCAATTTTTTGAAATGTTCCATATTATAAATGTTCAAACCACGTGGGTGTTATTTCTATCAAAGGAGAGAGAAAACTCCATCAATATTTTTTGCTGTGAACAAAAAAAAAAGCTAAAATACATCGTGAATTATATTTTAAAAGTTATCTAATACCAAAGCAGCCTGACAGTTTTTAAAAATCGCCGACTGATACAAATCACAATTTTTAAAACATAAATACTCTAACCTCATATCTTCAAAAAGCAATGGTTAAATTACAAGAGGGGTTATTTCGCATTAAACATTTTTTAGATAGTTGTTTCCATAAATGACGCAATTAAACCGAAGTATCAAAATGTAAGTGTTAACAATATTGTGGATCCTATTTCTAGGAGTTCAAATACACAAAAACTTAAAGTTGTAAATTTAGGTACTTTCACATGCCGGAAAAGATAGAAGCACAATGGAACCTCTGTTAAGACATAGAATATTATTATGCAGTGGAACATATGAAAACAACCTTTAAAATCTTAAAATAACACAAAACGCCATGCTGCGCTCATGTACATAAATTCTACGAGAGGCAAAACACCTTAAACCATCAAGTGCAATACAAACCTAAAAACGAAATTGTAGCAAGCGAAAAGAAGGTACTGCAAATTATAGAAGAAATAATTTAAAAAAAAATTCTAATTCATGGATTTGAAAAAATAAAATGCCCATACAGTCGGTTTATTCAAATACAACCGCATTTTGAAAAGACTCACAAACACATAGATTTTTTTTCAATTCTACTCCACAGGTCCGCACAATATCATTATACAATATTTACTATAAAAGATGTCCAGTATAAGATAATGTAAATGAGGATACTGGAAACTGTAAGAGATACAGCCTTCTTTAAATGGAAGAAAAGTAGCGTATGTAATGCTAAAAAATAATCTAGTTTTCATTAGTTTATTTTAAATCGTAACCCTTATATAGATACAGGGTGAAAAAAGAAAATGTCCAATTTTTTGAAATGTTCCATATTATAAATGTTCAAACCACGTGGGTGTTATTTCTATCAAAGGAGAGAGAAAACTCCATCAATATTTTTTGCTGTGAACAAAAAAAAAAAGCTAAAATACATCGTGAATTATATTTTAAAAGTTATCTAATACCAAAGCAGCCTGACAGTTTTTAAAAATCGCCGACTGATACAAATCACAATTTTTAAAACATAAATACTCTAACCTCATATCTTCAAAAAGCAATGGTTAAATTACAAGAGGGGTTATTTCGCATTAAACATTTTTTAGATAGTTGTTTCCATAAATGACGCAATTAAACCGAAGTATCAAAATGTAAGTGTTAACAATATTGTGGATCCTATTTCTAGGAGTTCAAATACACAAAAACTTAAAGTTGTAAATTTAGGTACTTTCACATGCCGGAAAAGATAGAAGCACAATGGAACCTCTGTTAAGACATAGAATATTATTATGCAGTGGAACATATGAAAACAACCTTTAAAATCTTAAAATAACACAAAACGCCATGCTGCGCTCATGTACATAAATTCTACGAGAGGCAAAACACCTTAAACCATCAAGTGCAATACAAACCTAAAAACGAAATTGTAGCAAGCGAAAAGAAGGTACTGCAAATTATAGAAGAAATAATTTAAAAAAAAATTCTAATTCATGGATTTGAAAAAATAAAATGCCCATACAGTCGGTTTATTCAAATACAACCGCATTTTGAAAAGACTCACAAACACATAGATTTTTTTTCAATTCTACTCCACAGGTCCGCACAATATCATTATACAATATTTACTATAAAAGATGTCCAGTATAAGATAATGTAAATGAGGATACTGGAAACTGTAAGAGATACAGCCTTCTTTAAATGGAAGAAAAGTAGCGTATGTAATGCTAAAAAATAATCTAGTTTTCATTAGTTTATTTTAAATCGTAACCCTTATATAGATACAGGGTGAAAAAAGAAAATGTCCAATTTTTTGAAATGTTCCATATTATAAATGTTCAAACCACGTGGGTGTTATTTCTATCAAAGGAGAGAGAAAACTCCATCAATATTTTTTGCTGTGAACAAAAAAAAAGCTAAAATACATCGTGAATTATATTTTAAAAGTTATCTAATACCAAAGCAGCCTGACAGTTTTTAAAAATCGCCGACTGATACAAATCACAATTTTTAAAACATAAATACTCTAACCTCATATCTTCAAAAAGCAATGGTTAAATTACAAGAGGGGTTATTTCGCATTAAACATTTTTTAGATAGTTGTTTCCATAAATGACGCAATTAAACCGAAGTATCAAAATGTAAGTGTTAACAATATTGTGGATCCTATTTCTAGGAGTTCAAATACACAAAAACTTAAAGTTGTAAATTTAGGTACTTTCACATGCCGGAAAAGATAGAAGCACAATGGAACCTCTGTTAAGACATAGAATATTATTATGCAGTGGAACATATGAAAACAACCTTAAAAATCTTAAAATAACACAAAACGCCATGCTGCGCTCATGTACATAAATTCTACGAGAGGCAAAACACCTTAAACCATCAAGTGCAATACAAACCTAAAAACGAAATTGTAGCAAGCGAAAAGAAGGTACTGCAAATTATAGAAGAAATAATTTAAAAAAAAATTCTAATTCATGGATTTGAAAAAATAAAATGCCCATACAGTCGGTTTATTCAAATACAACCGCATTTTGAAAAGACTCACAAACACATAGATTTTTTTTCAATTCTACTCCACAGGTCCGCACAATATCATTATACAATATTTACTATAAAAGATGTCCAGTATAAGATAATGTAAATGAGGATACTGGAAACTGTAAGAGATACAGCCTTCTTTAAATGGAAGAAAAGTAGCGTATGTAATGCTAAAAAATAATCTAGTTTTCATTAGTTTATTTTAAATCGTAACCCTTATATAGATACAGGGTGAAAAAAGAAAATGTCCAATTTTTTGAAATGTTCCATATTATAAATGTTCAAACCACGTGGGTGTTATTTCTATCAAAGGAGAGAGAAAACTCCATCAATATTTTTTGCTGTGAACAAAAAAAAAAGCTAAAATACATCGTGAATTATATTTTAAAAGTTATCTAATACCAAAGCAGCCTGACAGTTTTTAAAAATCGCCGACTGATACAAATCACAATTTTTAAAACATAAATACTCTAACCTCATATCTTTAGGTTGTTGCTAATCGGTTCTTGTCTCAATAGGCTTATGGAAATTTAATACTGCTTGTTGCCCTTTTTTGTAGCATAACGGCGACCTTAGGAATTATTTTCAATAAACCTCCATATTGTGAGGGTGATGGTTGTGTCTCCACGGCACAAGTCATGAACATCAGTGAAGCTCACAAATCTGACGATATTGACTTAGGTCTGCTTCAATTTTCGCAACCAGCTGAATATAACGGTAAATAAAACCTATTTTATTTATCTCAGTTCCCTTATCTAGGTTATTGACTTAAAAGAGCAAATTTCATCTTTGAGTATGTATGCTCGCACAACACTTTCTGATAATTTTCATGACTTATTCATTAATTACGGATAATACCATATAATTGCAGATAAAAATGGTACGCAACCAACATTTTTTCAGGTGCACCGTACCTAATTTCGCAGCAGTAGCTAAAACCTAACCTATAAAATATTTTTAATAAAATTTGTTGGAAATTATATCCTTTACGTAGTCGCATGAATTGAGTTTCACGAGAGGTAACTCATTCGCTGTATTAAATGTTAGGTGACGTTTCATTCACCATTTTTTATTATTCCTATAAGCAGCCCTATAAAGCTACCGCCTACACAGGGTGCTTAAAAAATACGCGGCAATATTTAAGGGGTTTATTCCTCAGATTATTTTTACTTTATAGTATGTTTTACAACAAGTGTGGTAAAGGGCATTTGAGAGAGAGCCGCTATTTAACGGTCAGCTCAGAACTGGCACGGACCGGGGGAATCCGACTGTCTAATTAAAACAAAGCATTGCGATGGTCTTAACGTGATGTTGACGCAATGTGATTTCTGCCCAGTGCTCTGAATGTCAAAGTGAAGAAATTCAATCAAGCGCGGGGAAACGGCGGGAGTAACTATGACTCTCTTGACAACCGCTGTCACGTGCGGACGTGTGTCGGTGCGCTCCCAAATAATCGTGCCGTGCCAACCAACAGTTCCGGAACAGTCGCGTGTATCGTCCCTCTATATTGTGTATGTTCGCGACTGTCCTGGGAGACATTTCGGGCAGTTCGGGTTTGCTCTATGTGATGGGCGATTGACCTTGGCTAGAAGAAGCGCCTGGCCCTACCACCCCTTAGTTGACGGGAGCCCCCCCTTTTTGCTTATGTGACCGTCGACGCGGCCGTCTCGGCGCGGACGTTTGGAGAGCGCTTTCGTCCTACCGTTCGCGGTTTAGTGTTTAGTGTCTTGTCGATGCTTCCAGTCATAACCAGTTGGGTCCCTACATTCTAAGGGACCCTGCCGACCGACACGTACTTTTGTGTTACTTTGTCTTTCGCGCGCGTGGTGCGTGTGCGTGGCACATGACGTCTCAGAGTCGCTTCCCCTGCGAGGGGTGCGGCCGTGGTTATCTAACGGCGGCCAGCCTCGCCCAGCATCAGAGGCGGTACTGTCGCGGCCCTGTTGAGGAGGGCTCTAGTGGGTGCGGGGAGTGTGGCCGGGCCTTCGCCACATATGCTGGGTTGCGGCAACATATACGCCGTGCCCACCCGGACTCCTACAACAGGAGCGTCGAGCTGGACTTAAAAAGTTTACCAAAAACTTTTTCTGCGACCATTAATACACGGATACTTTTACTGACATGACCGCCAGAATTGACAAATGTTAAATAACACTTTCTGCAAGCTAGATATTATTATAATTAGGTATTTTAAAGAATGGAGTAGAAAAAACATATTTTTATGGTAAATGGTGTCCCGCAAGCGAAGCAAGATATGACAAAACCCAAGAGACGAAAAAGTAGTAGTTTTAGTTCCTATGTCTCGGGGAAGTTTTGAGATTAAATTAAAGTCAGTGACGTACGTTTTATCAATAAATTTTATAAGGTGACCCCCTCCCCCAACGTCCCCTTTATATAAGAATCAGCCCCTACAAGGAATGCTGCCAAACACAGAATATATTTGAATCTATTATGAGGGAAAACACCGTGTATGGGAATTTCTTCGACAGTTTGACAATTTGACAAATAATATATGGGAGGTGAAAATTTGAAAGATATAGTCATTCATAAAAAGCGAAACGTGGCAATATTTTCATGTTCAATGCTTGCTTCCAAAATAAACTTTGGCCTTCTTTATGGTATATATAAAAATTGATAGATCATAAATCGGTGAACTCGTCTTGGAAAGTAGTCTCCGAATGTGTAGGGTGCTTCAATTAAAATAAAAAGGTTTGTGCTTGGCCTGAAAACGTTCTGTTTACATGAAAACTATGCACTTAAGAAGTTTGAGCACTATAAGAAGCCTACATAACAAACAAAACTCGGATGACCTCATCTTACATCCACCAAGCTGCACGAACCTATAGGGGTTAAGAGAAGTAACCGAGAAAAACTTGTAATTGAATTGAGGTGGCTTTTACTTGATGAAAATCCATTGATCAAAATAAATAAGAACTAAAAGTTCAGATTTTCACGAAATTATATATTTTTATACAACAATTGTTTCAACACCATTGCAACGGTGTTTTGTAAACAATTGTGTAAAAAAAGTTCTTATTTATTTCGAAAACTTGTAATACAAAAATGCATTTGTGCAGTGCATGGCAAAGTTGAGAAACATTACCAAGTTTTTTATTTTTAATTGAAGCAACCAAAGTAGTTTCTGTTACGATCAAAGATCTTATTCACATGATTTCAGGTGTCGCTTTACTTTAAATCGAAACACTCAGTTAAGAAAAAGGGTTACTCAGAACGAACTACTGGAAGAGAAGCTTCAAGTAGTTCTTCTTTTTTATTTCAGCAATAATACTAACTAAACTGAGAGCCGTTGTTAGAAATGAAGATGACGACATGAATATTTCACTTTCTTTTTTAGTAAATCCTTTTAAAAAGAAGTAAAATTCAACGGTCACAATATATAAATGAGGATTCCGATTTTTGGGAAAAATTATTTTTACTGATAAAACCACCTTTACTATGACAGGTATATTAAATCGAAAAAGTAAGTATTTTTGGCAAATGAAAACCCACATAAAATTCAACCAGTGAAAATACAGGGTTCGGTTCCTGTGTGGAGCACAGTTCCACAATACCGACCCAGTTACTGAATGACAGATATGATCATTAACAGTGACCGGCTAATAGGCCGGATTTAAACCCTCTCGATATTTTCCTATTGGAATTTTGGAAAAACCGAGAACACAATGACAGACCTCAAAATATACGAATTTTGAATCAAAAAATTTATCAAGAAAAAATCATTCTCAATAGAAAACATGCAGACTTTATTTTGAATTGCGACTGGATATATAGAAAACACGTAACCATTTACTTCACGTTATATTTTCATTATTGTTAGTTAGTAATTTTTAGAATTATTGGTTAATTAATACTTACTGCAATAAAAAAGACGAACTACTTGAAGCTTTTCTTATTCTGAGTAACCGATTTTTCTAATCGAACGCGTGGTCAACTCCATCCACTTCTGTTTAGGTAATCCAACATTTAAACTTAAACAATATAAGAACGGCTTATTCAAAAAAAGAAGTGAATTAATGACACATAAAAAATAGATTAACTTGGGATAGTTCTGAAGGCCAACAACTTATTTTACGGTAACAAAGATTAATACGACAATGAGCTTTATAAACTGTAATTTATTCGGTATTTATTAAAAAATTAACTATTCAAATCAGTAGATGTTTTTTCTTCTGCTTTAGTTAATTGCGGTTCCGATTACGGTTTTCAAAAAAAATTATGGTTCACTTTCCAGGACGAGTAATTATTAAATATCTTCAGAAATTGTAGTCCGACAACCCGTTATTAAATAAATTCGCTTTATTGAGTGAAAAAATGTCTTCAAACGTTTGACCTCATGTCTAACTGAATAAGAAACAATTGCATTAAGAAACAAAAGCAAAATCGCCTTCGCAAATTTGAAACAATTTCTTAGAAAACTCTATCAACTCAATTTTAACTAGTTGTTTACGGAATAGGTTAGGGTTTTGATCAGAACTTTCACGACGAAACGTAGGTATATTTGGATTTGGATTCGGATTTGCAAATATTACAGTGGACCAGTTCGTTACTTATCATAATTAAAAAAACATATTCCTGTGGACATGCTGGGTATGTAAGCATGGAAATATTGTAAGGGGGCCCCCAAAAACCATATCCAATGTTGCTATTACAGAAAATATCCCCTTTTTTTTAATTTAATTTTAAATTGATTAATACTTCGCAATATCGAAAAAATCAAACGTTGTCCCAGAGATTCAACCAGACCATTAAAGAGCTACTTAGGAGAGCTTCAAAATGATGTATTACTCAACCACCTTGAAACCACCGGGAATATATAAAACTACCCCAATTATGAAATATCCAAAAGTTCGTTATATTTATTTCGCAATCTCAAAAAAATCTGGCGTTGTCCCAGATATTCAATTAGACCACTAAAGAGTCACTGACATTAAAGATCCACTTAGAAAAGGTTCAAAATGATGTAATGCTCAACCACCTCACAACGGTAGGGAAATTTTCTTGATTTTATTTGTACTTTTCATTTTTATATTTATTTATCCGTTCATTAAAAGTTTTCTTAGACGACATTTGCGCACAAATTTGAGTTTAGAAAAACAGAGTGTCCCATTTAAAGATAAAATCGTTGAATCGTTTCGGGATTAGGAGCAATAGTTATCATGCTCATGCTCATCAATTTTTTTCAAATAATTAAAAAAAAAACATGATAAAATATACAGGGTGTGCAACTTAACATTTTAAATATGACAACCATTTGAAAACGAATTCTAGGGCATCTCATAATTCATTTTGAAGCTCTCCGAAGTGGCTCTTTAATGGTCTGGTCGACTTTCTGGAACAACGTCATTTTTTTTTGAGATTCCAAAATAAATAAAACGAATATTCGGTTATTTCATTATTGGTGGTAGTTTTATTTCTTCCCGACCGTTTCAAGGTGGTTGAGCAATACATCAATTTGAAGCTTTCCTACGTGGCTCTTTAATGGTCTGGTTGAATCTCTGGGACAACGTAATTTTTTTTTGGAATTGCGAAATAAATAAAACGAGAATTTGGTTGTTTCATTATTGGAGGTACATTTATATCTTCCCGACCGTTTCGAGGTGGTTCTAAGTGGCTCTCTAATAGTCTTGTTGAATCTCTGGGACAACGTCAGGTTTTTTCATTATTGGGGGTAGTTTTATATCTTCCCGACCGTTTCAAGATGGTTGAGCAATACACCATTTTGAAGGTCCCCGAAGTGGCTAGTCTGGTTGAACATCTGGGACAACGTCAGATTTTTTCGAGATTGCGAAATAGTAATAAAATTATTATTTGGGGTGATGCGAACGGAAAAGGAGTTATTTTCCCTATAGCAACATTGAATATAGTTTTTAGGAGTCCCCTTACAATTTTTCCGTGCTTTCTTTAACGGCATTTCCATAGGAATAGGTTTTTTTAATTAAGGTAAATGAACTGGTCCATTGTAATATTCGCAAATCCGAATCCAAATCCAAATCTTCAAAACTTCAGGCACATGACAACGAGGTGTGGAGTAATTTTTTTTAATCCAGAACACGTTCAACCGATCTGCTTGCCTCGTGGAGATATCGTCAACCATCCGGAAAACTACTTAACGACGGCCAAAGATTTTCTAACTGTGTCCGGATGGGGTGTCGTAAATCATAGAAAAAGAATTGACTCACCATATCTTATGTATGCGAAATTTGCTCTTGTTGACATTGATGGTTGTTCAGATTGCTGCGGCCCAGATACAAAAACAGTATGCGTTGGAGGTAAGTACAGTGGATCCACGGCTTGTTTGGAACTCGACTCTTATCATTAGGATCTTGGATCCAGTAACTTCAATTTTTGTTGTTTACTTCTTCTAGTTTCAAAAATTCTAGGTATTAGACCAAATAGTAGGCTTTGAGTTTTTCAATTTGCTACTTGCGTATGACTACTATAGAAACCGCTCTTTAAAAATGAAATGGCACAAGGTGCAGGTTAGTGAGTGAAGTGTAGTTGGGCCACATCGCATTCTTTTGAAGAAGAGTGGCACAATTACAAAGCTCAATTTTTCTGGAAGGCTATTTTAAACTTTCAATTAATTGTAATTCCCATTGTCCGGTTGTAATAATCAATTTGATTATAAAAATTAGAGGTATTATTGATACAAGTCCACTAAAATGTATTCCATTAATACACAATGAACGTAAAAAAATTAACAATTTCCTTTTTAAATGTGTCCTTTTGCACCAACAGAGGATTTCGAAAACAGACATAAGAAAAATACACAACGATTATTCCAAAACGTATATTTACATTACTATGTAAAAGGCACTAGGCAAGCGTTTATGGAACTCCACTGGAGTGAAAGTCCTCCAGGAAATATTAATAATTAATCAGTATTGCAAAAACAATTGGCCAAAAAAGACGTAATTTACTTTACATAAGAAAGATATGCTGAAAATAACGTACTGGAGATAGTCAATTTGAATAAAACTCTTTGTTGTGAAGGAAATAGCTTTACAACTACATTTAATATTTGAAACGATATTTCCCAAGTTTTCTTAAATATCCAAGCATTAACAGCTGAACTCAATGTGATTTTACTATTTTCTGACCAATAAAGAATCAATTTACAACCTTTTACGAACTTAGTAAGGTGTTTTTAAAAAAAGAATACTCTTATAAATAACTAATAAAAACAATTTACCAAAAAAAAAATCGTTTTACACATTTTCATAAATGTTTTAATAATCGGAAGGAATCACTTTTGACTTAAACAGAAAGAGTCGTACCTTGCTTTTTCTTGTAAGCACTTTTTATGGCAACTTTGCCTATATTCCTATTATGTTTCATATTAATCTTGGAGAAGTTTTCATCACCGAATGATTTTTTATAGAAGATGCTTAGCTCATGTTCTTTTTCAATTTTAAAAGCTCTTGCTCCGCTTGCCAAATCTTTAAATTCACCGAATCTTGATGGTTCATTTCTAATGGGTGTTTTTTTTTCGATGTTTAGAACTTTAAGTTAACATTACTGTTCAATATGGCGACCGATTTAACAGCTGTCAAGTGATTTATTCTCAGTTTGGTTTGGCAATTCATCATGAATGGACTCACGCCTGAACAACGCTTGCAAATAGTGCAATTTTATTTCGAAAATAATGGTTCTGTGCGGATTACGTATCGCGCACTACGTCCATTTTATCGTCGACAAAATGGTCTATCAGAGCAGTTAATAACGATTAACCATGGAACATTTTCGCACCACGTTTACTCTTATTGACAACTCGCATCCCCAGAGACGCCGTACGGTGCGTACAGAAGAAGCTATTGCTGCTGTAGAGCGCAGCATTAAGGAAGAAGACCTAAATGTCCATCCACTTTATGGAAGATTTTGCGGAAGGATCTTGGTTTACGTGCTTACAAAATCCAAGTCGTGCAAGAACTGAAGTCAAACGATCATCAAGTAATTCGTAGATTCGTCGAATGGGCCCAAAACCAGATTGCCGTTGTTCCCGATTTTCATAAGCGAATTTTGTTTAGCGATGAAGGGCACTTCTGGTTAAATGGATACGTCAACAAACAGAACTGCCGCATTTGGAGCGAAGCTAATCCTCAAGTGTATGTCGAAACACCGTTACATCCAGAAAAACGGACTGTTTGGTGCGCTTTATGGGCTGGTGGAATCATTGATCCGTACTTCTTCAAAAACGATGATGGCCAGAAGGTTACAGTCAATGGTGATCGGTATAGAGCTATGATTACTAACTCTTTCATTCCTGAATTGAATAACTATGATGTCCAGGAGATGTGGTTTCAACAACACGGCGCAACATGCCACACAGCTCGTGCCACAACCGATTTATTGAAAGACACGTTTGGTGACCGTCTAATTTCACGTTTTGGACCTGTAAATTGGCCTCCAAGATCTTGTGATTTAACACCGCTAGACTACTTTCTGTGGGGCTATGTAAAATCATTGGTCTATGCGGATAAGCCACAAACGCTTGACGATTTGGAAGACAACATTCGCCCTGTCATTGCCGATATACGGCCACAAATGTTGGAAAAAGTCATCGAAAATTGGACGTCCAGATTGGACTACATCCGCGCCAGCCGTGGCGGTCATATGCCAGAAATCATATTTAAAATGTAATGCCACAAGATTATCTTTCGGATAAATAAAATTCATGTCAATCGAATAACCCATCATTGTTTTATGCAACAGGTTTTGGACCTGTGAATTGGCCTCTAAGATCTTGTGATTTAAGACCGCTAGACTACTTTCTGTGGGGCTATGTAAAGTCATTGGTCTATGCGGATAAGCCACAAACGCTTGACCATTTGGAAGACAACATTCGCCCTGTCATTGCCGATATACGGCCACAAATGTTGGAAAAAGTCATCGAAAATTGGACGTCCAGATTGGACTACATCCGCGCCAGCCGTGGCGGTCATATGCCAGAAATCATATTTAAAATGTAATGCCACAATATTGTCTTTCGGATAAATAAAATTCATGTCAATCGAATAATCCATCGTTGTTTTATTGCAACTTAAAGTTCTATACATCGAAAAAAAACACCCCTTATAACTTCATGGTGTATGAATAAGTGTTAAATCTAGTGTGTAGATTGGACCGTTTCTCCTTGATTTGATATGTCGTTCAATGACAGAGTGGATATTATCACCTTCGTTTTGGTTGTACGTCTTGTGTCTTCCAAGTCCAGAATCGTTCCCATCACGTCACTGTCACTTCCAAAATTAGAATTATGTGCTATGTTGCTCCTAGCCCAATTAAACTGTAACAAACTAGACACTTTTTCAGCCAGTCTTTGGTCAGATTCCTAAATTGCTCTATTTCGATGCAAGTCGCATGCAGGCTGCAGCATCAATCGCGTATGTCAAATTGAAAAGTTAACACAGGGTTATGAGTGGAGACACTTATCTATCTATAGACAATCCTGCTTATATTGCTTCGAGCAGTTTAGCTCCTCAAGATATTCTAAAATCTAACCTTTGGTGGAACGGCCCTAAGTTCTTATTAAATCCCGAGTTAAAGTTAAAAGAGTTTGATATTGGTTGCAAGATATCTGATTTGACAGAAGAGGGAAAGTCGCTTTAAAAGAAGAACTCAAATTTTTAGTAAATGACTTTTGGCACCAAATATTTACAAAATTTTCACGATTTTCTAAATTACATTGCACTTTTGCATTTTGTTTGTGCTTTGCTAACAATTTTCGAAACCAAAGTAAACTCGTTAGTCCTCTCACTCTACAAGAATTAAATAGTGCATTAGACAAAATAATAACCATTCTTCAACAACAATACTTCTCCAAGGAAATTTCTCATATTAAATCTGGACAGTAAATGTCAAATAAGCCAATTTTATCATTGAATCCACTCTTAGATAATTATATTCTGAGAGTCAGTGGCAGACTAGAAAAAGTTGAAATCTCTTATGAGAGGAAACATTCAGCTCTACTACCTTCTAAAAATTATTTAGTCAAACTCATGCTTTTTCAAGAACATACGAGGGGGCACCCAAAAAAAACCGGAATCATTTTTTATAAACTATATATTGTTTTGAAAATCACAGAACGACCTTATCCCCTTCAAAATACCCTCCATTACAACTAATACATTTGTCCCAGCGATGCTTCCACTGTTGGAAACATTTTTTATATTCATCTCTTCAATGTTGTCAAATCGCTGTCCTTTCATGTCTCTTTTCATACGTGGAAATAAGAAGAAGTCACACGGAGCGAGATCAGGCGAGTAAGGTGCATGGGGCAGCAAGCAAATCACCATCGTTTTGATGTTTGATTTGACCTGACGACATTTTTTTGGACTGGGAGACAGTGACGTCTTCCATCGGCTGGACTGTTGCTTCGTTTCTGGATCGGAACCGTAGCACCATGACTCGTCACCAGTAACGATCTTGGAAAGAAAATCTGGATCCGTTTCAAGCTGTTGATTCAAAGCACGACATGTTTCAACTCGATGTTCTTTTTGCATGTCACTCAGAACACGAGGAACAAACTTGGCAGCAACTCTTTTCATTCCCAAATCTTCGGTTAAAATTCGCTGAACCGTGCTTCAAGACAACCCACTAATCTTTGATAATTGTTCAATTGCCTGTCGACGGTCTGTGAGCACAAACTCTCGAATCTTTTCAATATTTTCGTCGATTCGAGCAGTTGATGGACGTCCAGAACGAGGTCGGTCATCAAATGACTCGTCGCCATTTTTGAAGCGAACAAACCACTGGTACATTTGGGTTTTTCCCATCGCATCGTTTTTATAAGCTGTTTTTAACATTGAAACAGTTTCAGCAGCACTTTTACCGAGCAGAAAACAAAATTTCACAGCTGCACGTTGTTCTTTTAAACTTGCCATCGAAAAAAAACGAAATAACAAAAAAACAGCGTTAACAGAAAATGGCACTGCAAGTGAACAAAACAAATTAAATTGAAAGCGTTGAACTCGCAATAAGTTGTACTATCTACCACTTAACGGCAGGAAGGTGTACTATACAAGTTCTGCGCGCGGCAATTCAATTCCTGTTTTTTCGCTTGGGACATGCCGGAGCGCAGAATGTATTGTCCAATTTTCGACTTCGATTCTGGCCATTAAATGCACTTAGAGAAATAAAAAAGGCTATCAGGAGCTGTCTGATTTGCTTTCGTTTTAGAGCTCAAATAGCCTAGCAAATTATGACTAACTTGCCCAAGATTAGATCGCAAATATATCGCCCTTTTCAATAGGTTTGCATCGATTTTGGTAACCCTATTAAGTCGTCGTCTCTAAAAAATCTCTCCTCATTAAAACTTACATCGAATTAGTTAGTGATCTATCTACACCTTGACTTACTCTAAAAATATTTATATCACGAAGAGGAAATCCATATGTAATATTTAGCGAGAATGCTACTAATTTTACAGGATACAGAAACAATCTTAAGGAACTTTATTAACTTTTCAAAAATAAAGATAACTTAAACTGTATTCTAAATATTTTGACAAAAGAAACTGGAGATTCATACCTCCAACTTCCCCCATTGGGGTGGCAATTGGAAAAGTGCCCTCAAGTATGCTAAATACCACATTAAGCGGATGGTCGGAAACTCAGTATTTACTTTCGAACATCTTTAAACAGTCTTGGATCAGATTGAAGCCATAACGAATTCAAGGCCCTTATGCCCGATCTCCAATGACCGCGATAGAGATTTGTGTAGTATATCAGAAAATCTCCTAACGTTCTGGCAAAGATGCTCTAAAATACAACAATTTTGGATCTGATGGTCAATTGAATATCTCAACCGACTGCAAAATCGTCCAAAATGGCTTCGCTCTTGTGAATATGTGTAAATCAATGATCTACTTCTGCTAAAAGATAATGGATTGCCTCCATTCGCAAGATAAATTGATGTTATTGAAAGCTCTGAAAACAAGATTCGAGTTGTTAAACTCAAAACCCTACTGGTGAGTTAATCAGACCAATAACGAAGATTTAAATTTCTTTTATTTATCAACATTTCTCCTTTTGAAGTGCAACTTCAACATGTTTGTTGGATTTGGATTTGGATTCGGATTTGCGAATATTATAGTGAACCAGTTCGTTATTTGCCGTAATTAAAAAAACGTGTTCCTGTGGAAATGCCGGGAAATTAAGCACGGAAACATTGTAAGGGAATTCCCAAAAGTCATATTCAATGTTGCTATCCAGAAAATAACCCTTTTTTGGCTCGCATCATCCCAAATAATAATTTAATTAATATTTCGTTATTTTAACGTTGTCCCAGATGTTCAAGCAGACTATTGAAGAGACACTTCGTGAAGCTTCAAAATGATGTATTACCCAACCACCTTGAAACCGTTGGCAATGTATAAAACTACCCCCTATTATGAAATACCAAAAAGTATTTCGAAATCTCAATAAAAGCTGACGTTGTCCCAGATATTGAATTAAACCATTAAAGAGCCACTTAGAAAAGCTTTAAAATGATGTACTAATCAAACACCATGAAGCGGTCGGGAAGGTATAAAAATTATCCCCGATAATGAAATAACCAAATGTTGGTTTTATTTATTTCGAAATCTCAATAAAAGCTGACGTTGTCCCAGATATTGAATTAAACCATTAAAGAGCCACTTAGAAAAGCTTTAAAAGGATGTACTAATCAAACACCTTGAAGCGGTCGGGAAGGTATAAAAATTATCCCCAATAATGAAATAACCAAATGTTGGTTTTATTTATTTCGGAATCTCAATAAAAGCTGACGTTGTCCCAGATATAGAATTAAACCTTGAAGAGCCATTTAGGAGCACTTTAATCATCATCATTTTAATCTTTCCTAAGTGTTCCTTTAATGGTCTAATTGAATATCTGGGACGTCAGCTTTTTTTGAGATACTGAAATAAATAAAACGAACGTTTGGTTATTTCATTATTGGGGGTAGTTTTATATTTTCCTGACCGCTTCAAGATGGTTGAATATTACATTATTTTAAAGCTCTCCTAAGTGGCTCTTCAATGTTCTAATTCAATATCTGGAACAACTTCAGCTTTTATTGAGATTCCGAAATAAATACAACGAACATTTGGTTATTTCATTATTGGGGGTAGTTTTATAGCTTCCCGGTGTTCTGATGGGCCCCGCTTGTTGTGTGATTGTGATTAAGGCGATTAAACTGATTTGATAAATGTCTTAACTTTGTACCGTCGTCGCTGTGTAACTGAATACAATTTGTGTTGTGTTCAACGGCTATTATTCCAAAATAAACCAGCCCTATACGAATACAGTTTACACTCTCAACAAACACCCCGTTGAATGGCAGCGAAGCAAATGGAAAAGTTTCTTCCCCTTATTTTATACTGATCTATCTTTATGAACGAGTCATAAGATTGTTGTGTTCCTCTTGCTCCGATGCTTTCATGGTTTGCTCCAAATTTATCCAAAACGTAGCCAATAAAATTTGGGGAGTTAAAGTTATTTAAACTAGTACATATTTAACTAAAAAATGAATTTGTACAATTTAACCAGCGCCGTGCGTATGGGTTACTTAAAACAAATTCAAAACAAATCCTGAGCGGACGTCTTTTTCTTTTTTGATATATAATTACTATTAGTGGTACACTCGCAACACAAAAATTGAATATGAAAAAGCAAACACTTGATAATAAGTGGTTCAGTGCAAAATTCCCTTATTATATTGCAACAAATCTATTTAGAAATATAATCCGAAATATACCTACCTAGATTTCTGATTACCGATTTTGCAAATTTCCAGTAACAGGTGGGAATTTTTTTTAATTGCGTCACGTTATGTACTTGTACTACCCAAAACTTCGATTTTTTATATATTGGAAAGTAGCTATTATCGAACGTGCAAACATCTCTAGTTTTATTTTTACGTGAGGAATCTCCACTACAGTAATGGCATACGTTTTTGAAACAACCAACATATAATATAATACAAGACCTATGAAGTTTCAGCATTAATTGAAGTCGCTCGATAAGTGCAAGAACAACATGTAACTACACATATCTATATAATATTTTACATAACTGGGGGAATAACGAGTAACGATAAAAGCAGGTTTTGCAGTTTTTTAAGAAATTGGCAACTCTGGCATCTCTCACTTTTTCCGAGATAACGAACTTGGGTATATTTGATAATCTATTCTCTTAAAAATGTTTTTTTTTTTTGAGAGAACGGAACATACGTTTGCTTCGGAGATTCCGGATCGCCAGCGGTGCAACTGCAGAAGTTAGACGATGGTCCTGAAAAGTACTTTATTTTGGGGACCCACTCTGCTATAACCGGGAATGGGACGTGCGAAGAATCGGTCGGCATCTTCATAAATGTAGTTCACACGTTGAAGTGGATATTGGATAATGTCAATAAATCGTAATACAAAAAAGAATTTAATAAAAACACACAATAATATATGTTCTCTTCTTCCAAAAGAGATAATATACATAAACGAAATAGACATTAAAACCCCAAAAAAAGAGCTCCTAATTTGCTAGCTTTGTTTAGCATTTTCATATTCCGTATTGGAATATGAGGATTCTAAATTTACTATGTACAGTTTTTATATGAGAATTTGCTGAAGTCGATGCAATCCGGTGTTTTTTAAATTTTACATTTACATAGTAAAATCGACTAGATAAATGAAAAATTCAACCATTTTTTATTTAAATCGTAATTGCGAAAGTTTTACACGCGTCTTCTTGGCGTCTTGAGGTTACATTGGACTCATTCGTTTATAGGATCTTTTTGAAATAGTAATAAAGAGATAGTAAATTAACTTAATTGCGTTTTTTTCCTATATGACCTATCGCGACATTACCTATTATCACGAAGTTAACCCAACCTTTCTTTTCTTTAGAACAAAAATGCCAAAATACAAACCTATAAAGTTTTAGCATTAAGTAAGCAAAGTTGAACACCATGTTACTTTATAGCCTTTAAAGCCTTAAAAAAAAATGAGAAAAAATTAGCCTTTCGATCTGTTGGCGGCACCATTGGTTCTATAACAAATTCTCTAGCAAAATAACTAGCTCCTTATATTAAAACCATTTACCCAGAAAAGTGGTTGTTTGGTAATTAATTTTCTTTCAGTTCACTGAACTATCAAAATCCATGACATTAGATCCTAAAAATATTTTGAAGAATGCTTGTCTGCAACATAATTTTTTTGTAATGGTCAAATTTATGGCAAATATATATTATTATAAACCTTTGAGAAGAAACTTGAACTCAAGGTCAAACAGACTCGTCGAGACTATCTTACCAATTTGAACTTTATAGAGCCGAGTATACGTTTTACTATTGAATTAGAAGCTAATAATAATCTCCCAATTTTAGATATTGTTATTAATAGAAAATCAGACCTAACTTTGGGTTTTTCTGTTTTCAGACACACAGTTGGTTTATTCAAGTGTTTTGTAGTACTATATTCCATTTTTTACACAAAATTTTATGCAAATTCTTTGCTCTCTTTTCTTTGACAGCAGAAAATTGCCAAGCACACAAACACGCCTAACGCTTCTGTCTCACAAAAAAAAGGAACATGCAAACTGGCTGAAACTGTGAACATATATTAGGGACATGTGTACCAACATAACCAAAAAATATTGAAGATCGAATGTACATAGCCCGCCCAGTCACAAAAGTCACCTCACTTTTTGAACGTATCTTGTATTAAGCGTTCCATCACAATGAGTGCGACAGCCACTCCATACTTCCCACTGTTATGATTCTGACCCCACGTCAAATGTTCTTAAGAAATATTAAGAAATATAACTTTTAAACCACTATATTTCCGTATGCCTCAGATATAATTCCAAACTTGAATTTTTAAAACAAGGAACAATTTTTCTTCATTGAAATTAAAATTCACTTTCAGGTACGAACTATCCCTTCATAGTGGTGACAACCCTTGCTTAACCAAAACACATTTCCTATGTGAATAATAAAAAACAATTTTTTAATTAAATTATCTACGATATTATTATAATTAGTATATATTCATTACTAAACGATGTTCTGCACATCATTTTTACCATAAAATTTCTTTTTATAGTTTTTCGTTTAAATCTTTAATCCTTATGAACAACCTTTGTGGCAAAAATAGTATATTATTATATTATATTATACTCGTTTATTTGAACATTTTACCGCTCGACTTGAATTTTGACGTTTACAAATTCAGTCGTTTATGTCAGTTTTGCAAAAATATACCCAAAAACTAAATGTATAATATGCAACACGTTTGGTAAACTATTTAAGTCCCTCTCCTTTATTAAGTAATGCCCTTTACACTTGTTGCACAATATACTATAATAGTATTGCATTGCGTGTTCATACTATACTCTTACTACGGCCGTTAGCTTTTGGGCACATTTTTGGAAAATAACATCACATGACAGAATTGACAAATGTCAAAATTGAAGCGGTGCTGGATCTCAATAGCAAACTGTATTTTCTAAGTTTTGTGTTATTTTGGAACAATTTTATTGGTTATAACAAATACGAATTTTTATTCTTCTATCATTTTCCCGCCTCTCAGTCCAAATTTGTTGAAAATTTTAATGTCTTTATTCTGCTGTTACTGTAAGCAGTCATTGTCTTCTGTACCAACATTTATCAATCATTTTCTATATAATTTCATTAACTAAGCAAGACACTTAAGGAAAAGCAAAAATTCAATTTTTATAGTAAGTGTTGAAAATTCCTGCCTTGCAAGGAGTTTCGGTTTGCAGGCTCGCGCATGAAATGCATGTCTGCTATTTATACGTTAGTGTAATTCATTATTATTGGATTAAGACTTCCTATTGAACAATTTATGATAGGATTAGGTATATATTTTTGATTACATCAGTCAAATTTCCTCAGCAAACCCGTAGTTTCAGTTTGCAGGGTTGCAGATCCATCAGTCCTGCGCTACCAACCGAGTGGACAAGGATAAGTACCCCGTAGGGGAATAAAAAGACAGTTTGCGGATCAACAACTGTGTATTCTCAATGATTCAAATGTCATCGGCATATGTGATGTTATTCTCAGTTTTTCCATTTATGATCACTCCTGGAATGCTAAATACAGATTGAACAACAAAGGTGACAGAATACAACCCTGATGTACCTCCTCTTGATCTCTATATGATAACTAAGATGCGGTTCAATTTTTACTACGGCCTTATGATTCGGATTCGGATATCTTGAAGTTGAAACAGTTTGGCACATCATCACTCAAGTCCTGACATCTCTCAATCAACCCTTTTACGAAACCTCTTCTGCGATTCACCAATTCTATGTTCCAACTTACTGGATATGGTTTCGTGTATTATGCGCAAGAATAATTTTAAAACGTGGCTCATAAAGCGATAGTCCGATGGTCACTGCATTTTGTTCTATTCTTCATTAGATGCACAAAAAAAAAAGATTTAAAGCAATCTTCTGGCATTATTCCAGTGTTATATACAATGTTGAAGAGTTCTGTCATTGTTTTAATTCGTGCATCTTCTAACAATTTAAATATTTTCTTGCTAATTTCAACTGGATCCGGCTAGATTGAAAGCGGAAAGCTTATTTTTCTGAATGTACTTAAAAATATTTTTCGATTTATTCCATAATTCTTCAAAATTATTTTCTGTAATGGTGAGCGTTTGCATCAGATCTTCTACTTCTCGTATATGCACTTTGTTTATTTCATTTTTCATTATGCCTGAGTGGTACGTCGATGCCAGGGTAATAGAGATTCTGAATCTCTTGCTGATCCAAATGTAATCAGTTTGGTTGGTGCAGGTGAATGCCAAGTGTACCGGTTCTTTGAGGAAGCATAGATAATGCATTAATGACTACCATTTGCTGCTCTAAGCAAAATGGAATTGCCTCAGACTATGCTCTGCTATAATGTCTTTCTGTTCTCTCTTTCCGATCTTTGCACCACTATGGTTACTATGATTTTGAGTTTGCTAAATTTAACCAAATTGTTTTTTATTAATGTGTCAGATATTTACCGCCTTTTACTTGCGTTGACGATTTAACGTCCCTATAATGACTTGATTACTTTCAGGTTAAATTTTATACTTCCTTCCTTGTTTTTAAAGGTTTAGCTCACAATCCGACAGTTTGTTTTCTAAATGCTGGTGGAAATCGAACACTTAATTATTGTGCCTATGATAATAATTCAGGCACCTCTGAAGCCAATATCAAAAAGTCGCTTTTTACTAACGGCTTCTAATTACCGATACGGCCGTTTGTCAATTCGACAGTTTTCAGTCAAGAGTGTCATTATTTTCTGAAAATGTGGCTCAGATCATCTTGAATTTTTCCGTGTTAGTATATGGATCGCTTTTTAGAAAGAAAAGAGCGCGAAAATAGCTACATGGGGAAATATCAACTCTCCATAGTTTAAAATTGGTTTCTTAACTGTTATATATGGTGGGATTCTAGCCTCTATAAAGCAAAACTCAATTAATGTTTAACCGATAATATAATTGCTTATACATAAATTTTATTGTAAATCAATGTAATTTTATTATTTTTACAAGGTATATCTGTCGGGATTTTATGCTCCATAAAGCAGAAATCAATCAATGTTTAAGCGATAATGTAATTAATTAAACATAAAGTTTTATTGCAAATCATTGTTACAATCGACTGTAGAGACTTTATGCTCCATAAAGCAGAAATCAATCAGTGCTTTTCGCGTTTTATTGCAATTCCATGATTTTCACAAATTTCGGTTTATTCGATTGCAGAAGAACGAAATGTGCAAGACCGTCTTGATTCTTGTGGCAACGAGTTTCCTATGGATTTCACAGGTGAAATCGACGGGTAAGGAGATAAATGAGGAAAATAAATGATTGCCGTTAGAGATATGGGAAAAAGTTGTTCCGAATATACTATTCTAATCAAATTTCATGACAAAATTCGAATTTTCGGTTTTCTTTATTATTATTAGTTTATTTCTTATTAAACAAACACGTGTTTCATGAAAAGTAATAATAATAACTTGTGAAATCATTAATGTACATCAGTTTTATAAATTGAGTCCTATTTAGTAAGCAGTTGCTTTTAAATGAAAAAAAAAAACAAAAACAAAATATTCACTATACAGTTTAACAGAAGACATCTACAACGTCTTCTCATTGCACGAGGAAATGCTTTTTTCAATGAAACTAAAAAATGAATATAAAAAAAACAACTTTTAATAAAATAACGAAAAAACAAAAAAAAAATGGACCATAAGGTTAGAATAATATTCAGAATAACATTTTCAAATAACTTTCTCTGATATCTCAACTCTAAGTAAAATATCGAAAATTACCGGTTTTTAAATTTAATTTTCAGTTGAATCTCTTAAAAAATGTGAATCATCAATCTGTATCACTGCTAAATAACCAAAACTTCAAATCTGTATCTATTTTAACAGCCAAAATGTAGGGTGTCTTCATCTTAAATGAGACACAATGTATATAGACTGGATCAAAATTAAGTGCAAAGATTTCAATGAGATGAAAATTTTACACTAGTTTCATACACGAACTCTATGTTCTAAAATTCTACTTTATATGTCTGTAATGGAAGTCGATTATTTTGAACTGTACACCATTTTTCAGTATTTTCTACCACAGTATACTGGGTGGCGCACAATGGATAGTCTACTAGTAGTATCTGGAGAACGGATTATCCAATATTCTTTAAATTATATAGAGTGATGTAAGAACAGGTGTTTTGTCGATATATTTTCAAGAATACCGTGTTACCGTTTCTATATAAACGTGGCAACATCTTGCTTAGTTTAAATGGAACTCCTCTGTTTTCAATAATAAAAAAATTATTTCATGAGTTTTTCCAGGAACTGTCAGGCATTCTCTCTTCTAAAATTTTGTACGGGAGTTCTAAAAACTAGCAACCTGTAATTGTTTAATTTTCGAATTTTAGGAAAAAAAAAGTTAATTGTGATTCAGTTTCTTTATACATATCTCTTTCCGTCTTTGAAACCAAAATACATTTTCATGATATTTGCGAAACACATTAAGTCTTTTCGAAGAAAGCTTCTCACATAGACAGAATGAAATGCGTAAAACTTCGTTTTCATTTTAAAATAGACTATCTTTTATGTATTAATGCTACTTGTGGAATAGAATATAAAGATGAAAAGATGTACTGGGGGTGCCTTCTAAAATAAGCAAGATGTTGCTAAGTTTATACAGAAGCGGCAACACGGGATATTTCAAAATATTTTAAAGCTTATAGAGCACATCATCCTAGATTACCCTTTATAATTTAAGGTAAATCCGCTAGTCGGTTCACCAAATATTTTGTCGTCATATATCTAGAAAACACAGTCGCATTCAGCAGGCACCTGATATTTTGACTATCATTAGTTAATCAAATTAAGCAAAAACAGAGTACTAATCACCATCATCAACCTTTTTCTCTTGTCCAACGTCGAGCATAAGCCTTCTAAAGTCTTTTTCATTCTAAAGTCTGCATCCAATTTTTTCTTTATACCTTTTTTATCCATAGATGTCCCTTACCCATCTGCCGTCCTGTAGTCTCGCAATGTGTACTGCCAATTTCAACTTTACTTTTGTGATATATTCTATTATATCTTCCCACTTTCGTTCTATGACGAATTTCTTCGTTTCTAATTCTATCTTGACGTTTTTGTGAGTATTAGCCTTTACGTTCCATAGGACGGGCAAAACGCACTGATTGAAAGCATTTCTTTTAAATGCAATAGCCTTTGAAGATATCTCTCAGTCAGATATCTTAGTCAGCTCCACCGTTTGGTTGTGTTTCTCATTACTTTGGTCTTCAGATAGTTTATACGTAAGCCGACTTGTAATATGGCTTGTTGTAATTTCCGAACCATGCCATTTCTGCAAAGCAGAGATGACAATAATACGCTCATCTTTTCCATGCAGGTTGATCATTTTAAAAGCGTACTCCAATTCCATTGTGCCGGCTTGTCTTTTAACTTTCTTGGTTGGAATCTACCTAGCATCTTCGTGTTGGTTCGTGTGGTTGATGTGGGGTTTTCCAAGATGTTCCTGATCAAATCTGAATATCTATGGTATATTCTACTTTGTTCCGGTGCTTTGAGAATAACAGGTTATTCAACAGTGTCGGAAGCATACGAAAACAAGAACTTGCGGTCTGTTGTCTTTTAGAGTCTATTCAATTAACGCTTTTAAACACAGTAGTTGATAGTTAGTTTGGTATCCATTGCGAATAACCGCCTGGTCCCTGGGCTGGAATAATTGCTGGAATAGACTGTTCCATCTTCTCCTCGATAACTTATTTTCTGAATCTCTTGTTGCATGTATTATTATGTCTTTTAGTGCGCTTAGATTCAACCATTATTCTTGTATTGCCTTTATTTTTTTGGTTTAATAAAATGTGTTTTTCTCTGCAAAATTGTCTCACTTCAATCAAAACAAAGTTTGAAGGTTACAATTCTTTCCTTATGAGCAAGTAATTCGAAATTATAAGTGACCGAAAGTTTGAGTTTCTTGTTTAAGCAGATCTTGATAATCACACGAATTGGAAACATTTGCCCACTAAGGATTGCGGAAAGGCGTCTCCAGCGGATAGACTCATCGGAGGTGAGCAGGCGAAACTTGGTCAATTTCCATGGATGGTTCTGATAAAATTTAATGGAGCGCTTTGCGGTGGGACATTACTCAACAAATATTACGCGTTGACTGCCGCTCACTGCTTCAATGAAACTGTTGAATAGTATGTAATACAAAAGTACTTTAGGGAAAAAACAATATATTATTAAAAAATCAGTACGGCTTTACTGCTGGGGTTGATACAATTGATGCCATGTATCAGCCTCTAACCTCATATCTTTAGGTTGTTGCTAATCGGTTCTTGTCTCAATAGGCTTACGGAAATTTATAACTGCTTGTTGCCTTTTCTTGTAGCATAACGGCGACCTTAGGAATTATTTTCAATAAACCTCCATATTGTGAGGGTGATGGTTGTGTCTCCACCGCACAAGTCATGAACATCAGTGAAGCTCACAAATCTGAGGATATTGACTTAGGTCTGCTTCAATTTTCTCAACCAGCTGAATATAACGGTAAATAAAACATAATTTATTTGTATCAGTTCTTTTATCTATTTTATTGACTTTCTTCTATCGATTTAAAAGACTAAATTTCACCCTTGAGTATGTATGAAGTTTCGTTTGCTGCTAGCACAACACCTTCTGGTAATTTTCATTACTTATTCATTAACTACGGATAATGGCTTATAATTGAAGACAAAAATGGTGCACAACTAACATTTCTTCAGGTGCACCGTACCCAATTTCGCACTAATGACTAATACGTAACACATATTTCTTAAAAAGGTTGCTATATTTATTGACTTTATAGTATTAATATTAAACAGATTTTTAATAATATTTGTTGCAAGTTATCTCCTTCACGTATTTGTATGAATTGAGTTTCATACGCTGTCTTAATTGTTAGGTGGAGTTCCATTCACTATTCTAGGGGATTAATACCTTCGGGCATGCATAGCGTGCTCAACGTAAGATTATCCACTAACCGGTCTGAAAATGAGAGGACCTACCAAAAAGTTTAATGCAAAGGTTTTTTATAACTACATAAATGATTTCTGTTTGTTTTTTCTGGTCAAATACAAATATTTAAAATACAATATTCGGAGCATTTGGTCCGTTCTGGCTAAATGAAGTTAGTGACTAAAATCGCGTTTGTTGTTAAACTTGTTCCATCATATATTATGGCCAAAAATTCAAAATGGAAAACTAGTATGCATTGCTTTTAGATTTTGGTTTTTTGTTAATTTAAATATTATTTATAGTATATTTTGCAACAAGTGTGGTAAACAGCATTTGAGAGAATAATTCGACAATTTGACAAATATTATACGGGAGGTGCCAATTTGAAAAATACAGTCATTCACAAACAGCGAAACGTGGCAACATTTTCATGTTCAATGCTTACTTCCAAAATAAACTTTAGCCCTCTTTATGATATATATTAAAATCGATCGATCATAAATCTGTGAACTCGTATTGGAAAGGCGCCTCCGAACGTGTAGGGCGCTGCAATTAAAATAAAAAAGTTTATGCTTGGAATGGAACACCCTGTTTACATGAAAACTATGTAATTAAGAAGTTTGAGCACTATAAGAAGCCTACATAACAAACAACACTCCGATGAGCTCGTCTTACGTCGATCAAGCTGCACAGGGATATTTTTTATATTTGCGTACCAACCTACAGGGGCTAAGAGAAATAACCGAGAAAAACTTGTAACACAAAAATTGCATAATTTGTTCGGTTCATGGCAAAGTTGAGAAACATTACCAAGTTTTTTATTTTTAATTGAAGCAACCTAAATATTTTCTGTTACAACAAAAGATCTTTTTCACATGATTTCACTGAAACACTCAGTTAAAAAAATGGGTTACTCCTTTTTTATTTCAGCAATAATACTAACTAAACTGAGTGGAAAAAAGAGGGCCGTTTTTAGAAATGAAGACGACACAAATATTTTGTTTTCTTTCTTTTATGAAAATTTACTAAAAATGAAATTAATTTTATTACTTTTTAGTAAATCTTTTTAGAAGGAAGGAAAATTCAAGAGTCACAATACATAAATGAGTATTCCGATTTTTGGGAAAAATTATTTTTACTGATAAAGCCACCTTTACTATGACAGTTATATTAAATCGAAAAAGTAAGCATTATTAAAAATACAGCAATGGCCGGATTTAAACCCTCAAAATATACGAATGTTGAATCAAAAAAAAATCATTCTCAATAGACTCTATTTTGAATGCGAGTGGATATATACAAAACACGTAACCATTTACTTCACGTAATATTTTCATTGTCGTGCCTTTAATTATAGTTGTTATCGGTTTTATTATCGTTTGTTGTTGATGTTATGTTCTATAACATTTTTAGAAATATTGGTTAATTAATACTTACTGCAATAAAAAAACGAACTACTTGAAGCTTTTCTTACTCTCAGTAACCTATTTTTCAAACTGAATTTGCGCAACGCCTGGCCAACTCCATCAACATTTGTTTGAAATTTGCAAAAAAAAATACCGAAAAAAATTATACACTGGAACTTGATCTATCACCTCTTCAAGCATTCTAGGTAATTCTCCTAGGAGAAAATGTAAATAAAAGTTTTCGCCACGGTCGCAGGCTGCGAAAAAAGTGAATTAATGAAACATCAAAAATAGAATAACTTAGGATGGTTCTGAAGGCCAACAACTTATTTTAAGGTAACAAAGGGTAATACGACAATGAGCTTTATAAACTGTAATTTATTCGGGATTTACTAAAAAATTAACTATTCAAATCAGTAGATGTTTTTTCTTCTGCTTTAGTTAATTGCGGTTCCGATTACGACCTTTATCTATTTTATATACAGTGACTGAGAGCTTAAATGATGCAGTAGCTACAACAAAAACAAAATGTTTTCGGCACCTATTTATTTATTTGGAAAAAAACTAGTTTTCGAAATTAAGTTGAGAAAGAGTCTTCAAAAAAATTATGGATCACTTTTCATCTTAAACATGCATTGCCATGACGAGTAATTATTAAATTTTTTTCAGAAATTGTAGTTCCACAACCCGTTGTTAAATAAATTCTTTTTATTGAGTGAAAACCTGTCTTCAAACGTTTAACCTCGTGTCTAACTAAATAGGAAACAATTGCATTAAGAAATCAAAGCAAAATCGGCTATATAAATTTCAAACAGAACTGAATTTCTTAGAACACTCTTTACCAACTCAAATTTAATTAGTTTACGCAATAGGTCAGAGTTTTGATTAAACCTTTTACGATGAAACATAGGTAGGAGGTTTGGAGTAATTTTTTTTTTGTCCAGAAAACGTCCAACCGATCTGCTTGCCTCGTGGAGATATCGTCGACCATCCAGAAAACTACTTAACCATGGGCAAGCATTTTTTAACTGTATCCGGATGGGGTTACGTAAATCATAGAGAAAAAATTTTATCACCATATCTTATGTATGGGAAATTTGGCTTTGTTGACAATTACGATTATCCAAATTGCTGCGGCCCAGATAAACTAGTAGTAAGCGTTGGAGGTAAGTTTGGTAGATAAACGGAGCGTTTATATATATATATATATATATATATATATATATATATATATATATATATATATATATATATATATATATATATATATATATATATATATATATATATATATATATATATATATATATATATATATATATATATATATATATATATATATATATATATATATATATATATATATATATATATATATATATATATATATATATATATATATATATATATATATATATATATATATATATATATATATATATGATGACACTATATTCCGGGATATCATCCGTTCGCTCGTTGAACTCCGACTGGAATCCTGCAAATCCTGCATTCGACTGGAATCCTGCAGACGTTTCGCCAAAATCTCACTTGGCATCTTCAATGCTCGCGCTCCGAAAACACTTCGAACACGAACAGTGAGCGAACGGATGATATCCCGGAATATAATGTCATCACATTTTTCCATCCGTGAATCAATACGTGAGAATATATATATATATATATATATATATATATATATATATATATATATATATATATATATATATATATATATATATATATATATATATATATATATATATATATATATATATACACAAACAAACTGTTAATTATTGGGATCACCCCAACTTCGATGGATCGCCGTAAAGGGAGCAATAAAAGATGTTGAAGCTCAAAGCAAACATCATCTTTTATTGCTCCCTTTACGGCGATCCATCGAAGTTGGGGTGATCCCAATAATTAACAGTTTGTTTGTGTGTTACCAGTAGCCCCGTTACTGTCCTTCGCTTCTTATATATATATATATATATATATATATATATATATATATATATATATATATATATATATATATATATATATATATATATATATATATATATATGATGACACTATATTCCGGGATATCATCCGTTCGCTCGTTGAACTCCGACTGGAATCCTGCATCCGACTGGAATCCTGCAAATCTTGCATCCGACTGGAATCCTGCAGACGTTTCGCCAAAATCTCACTTGGCATCTTCAATGCTCGCGTTCCGAAAACACTTCGAACACTGGGAGGTTATCGGCGGTGCGTGCGGTATTTATTATATTTATAAATACCGCACGCACCGCCGATAACCTCCCAGTGTTCGAAGTGTTTTCGGAACGCGAGCATTGAAGATGCCAAGTGAGATTTTGGCGAAACGTCTGCAGGATTCCAGTCGGATGCAAGATTTGCAGGATTCCAGTCGGATGCAGGATTCCAGTCGGAGTTCAACGAGCGAACGGATGATATCCCGGAATATAGTGTCATCACATTTTTCCATCCGTGAATCAATACGTGAGAATATATATATATATATATATATATATATATATATATATATATATATATATATATATATATATATATATATATATATATATATATATATATATATATATATATATATATATATATATATATATATATATATATATATATATATATATATATATATATATATATATATATATATATATATATATATATATATATATATATATATATATATATATATATATATATATATAGTAGCTATTATCGGACCTACAAACATCCCCTCTAGCCTTAATTTTACGTGAGGAATCTCCTTTACAGTAATGTCACACGCATAATACCCAGCACATAATATAGTTTGCATACCTGGGAGAATAACGAGATTGTTTGATGGTGGTTTAAGGAAAACAAATGCTGAAGACAATATTATGTTTTGCAGTTTTTTAGTAAATTGTAATGAATAAATTTAAAAGTTAATTAATGTAATTACACTTCTTAGCGTTATTTCGAATCACTCCGCATCTCTTACACTCTCTCAAAATGTTTTTTTTTTGAGGGAACGGAACAAATATTTGTTACGGAGATTCCGGATCGCCGGCGGTGCAACTACAGAAGTTAGACGAAGGTCCTGAAAGGTATTTTCTTCTGGGGGTCACATCTGCCATAAGCGCGGATAGGACGTGCGAAGAAACTGTCGGCGTTCTCGTAAATATAGCTCACGTATTGGAGTGGATACTGGATCATGTCAATAAATCGTAATACAAAAAGGATATAATGAAATAAAAACGCACTATAATATTTGTTTTTTTTCTTCCAAAAGAGCTAATATACATAAACTAATTAGACACTAAAATCTCTAAAAAATGAGCTTCTAATTTGCTAGCTTTGTTTAGCAAATTCTTATTCCGTATTGGATACCAAGAGAAGCTTCTTAATTTACTATGCTCAGTTTTTATATGAGAATCTGCTGGAGTGGTCCATGCAATCCGGTGTTTTCTTAGCGTCTTGAGTGTACTCATTCACTTATAGGGTCTTTTTTAAATAGTGACGAAGAGATAGTAAATGAACTTAGTTGCGTTTTTTTCCTATATGACCTATCGCGACATCACCTACTATCACGAAGTTAACCCGACCTTTTTTTTCTTTGGAATATAAATGGCAAATTACAAGACCTATGAAGTTTCAGCATTAGTTGAAGCCGCTCGATAAGTGCAAGAACAACATATAACTATTTATAGCAGCAGTAAGCAACGTTAAATATCATGTTGCCTTATAGCCTTTAAAGCCTTAAAAAAAATTGAGAAAAAATTACTCCTTCAATCGATTGTCAGCACCATTGGTTCTATAACATATTCTCTAGCAAAATAACTAGCTTCTTATATTAAAACCATTTATCAAGAAAACCGATTGTTTCGTAATTAATTTTCTTTCAGTTCACTGAACGATCAAAATCCATGACATTATCCTAACAATATTTTGGTTAGTTTCGACGTAAAATCGCTTCAAGAATTCAGAATCAAACCTTCTCATGTTAATTGAAGAATGCTTGTCCATGAATTGTTTCAACACCATCGACGTTTTCTTGGCCATCTTGGAACACCTTGCATCACTTATAAACATTTTTTTTCTCAAAGTATATTCACCATATGCAGTTGTCAACATTTCAAGTGTTTTGGTTAGTGTTGGTTTGTTCAAGTGTTTTGCAGCACTGTATTCCATTTTTTACACAAAATTTTATGCAAATTCTTTGCTCCATTTGCTCCAAAAAATATTATAATTATAAAAGTCACCTTACTTTTTCATCGTAGCTTGTATTAAGCGTTCCATCGCAAAATACTTTTCACCACAACCTTCCAAAAACAATGAGCGAGACAGCCAATCCATACTTCCCACGTCAAATGTTCTTAAGAAATATTAAGAAATATAACGTTTAAACCTACTACTACGATATTTCCGTATCCCTCAGATATAACTCCAAACTTGAATTTTTAAATCGAGGGACAATTTTTCTTCATTGAAATTAAAACTAGTACAAAGTACTTAACGAAAAAATATAAGTAACAAATAACAAATGTTTTTTGCTTATTAAATTATCAATGTTATTATTATTAGTATATATTTATTATTAAACAATGTTCTGCACATCATTATTACTATAAAATAATTTTTTATATGTTTCCGTTTTCTACGACTTTTCGTTTAAATCTTTAATCCGTATGAACAACCTATGTCGCAAAAATAGTATTCATGCAGGTGTGGTAAACGGAGTTTGAGTCACGAGTTACTAGTTTATTTGAACATTTTAAAGCACATCAATTTTGACGTTTGTAAATTCCGACTTTTATCTCAGTTTTGCAAAAATATACCCAAAAACTAACATTCTTATAAAAAGTATAATATGCATCACGTTTGGTAAACTTTTTGCATAATATACTATAATAGTATTGCATTGTGTGTTTATCTTACATCTAGATCGCAATAGCAAAGTATGTTTTCAAAAATTTTGTCTTATTTTAGAACAATTACATTGGTTATAACAAATACGAATTTTTACTCCTCTATCATTTTCCCGTCTCTCTATCCAAATTTTCTGAAATTCGTTTCTGTAGAAAATTGAAAATGATACGTTTTTTATAAAATTTAATGTCTTCATTCTGCTGTTATTGCAAACAGAAATTGTATTTTGAGTCAACATTTATCAATCATTTTCTATATAATTTCGTAAAAAAAAGTAGTAAAAAATATTTCGTGAACTTTGCAAGACATTTGAGGAAAAACCTAGCAGGCTCCTGCATTAAAAGCACATCTACCATTTATACGTTAATGTAATTGATCATTATTTGATTAAGACTCTTCCTATTGAACCATTTAGGTATATATTTTTGATTTTGCATTCAGACTTAGCGTGCAATGTCAAATAAAGCAATATTAAGAAACGCCTTAACAAGTGACAACAGCTCATTTGATTTTTTTTTGTTTTATCTAAAATGTATAGTTTTTTTAAATCAGAAACGGTATATATTAAGAAAAAAATGAATGAGATAAAAATGGTGCTAAATAAATAAATAAAAAGTTATAAATAAATAAATTAAAATAAATATATTTTCTGTCTTTCCATAAGTTGCTCCTAAAATTTAAGAAGTGTCGTCCAATTCAATCAGCTCCACTTTTTAAAAAACATTGAGAGTGTGTTTTTATAATAGTAATACTTCCTGAATATTTTAGTGTTGATTATTCTAAACAAGAACTCACCTCCTTAAATTTTTCGTATTTGTTTTAAAATACCCTGCTTACATACCATTTCTACCTACCTAGTTCACTAAGAATTATTAATTGAGAAATACATTTTAGCGACCCTTGTGTATCTAAGATTAATGAATAAAACTCGGTTCCATCTTTTGACAGATATTGTCAAACCAAATTGTTTACCAAGCGGCGAGATCATAGAACACCCACAGAATTACTTGGGAGTAGGATCGGACGTAAGAGTAGCTGGATGGGGTGCGACATACTATTCGAAACGGCAATAAGCTAGTAGATTTGGACGAGTGTTGAAAGACAATTTGCGAGTCGTTCTTATACTTACTATGCACTCGGTGGAGATATTACCTATTCATATTTTCTTTTGGATGGTCCGTGATATTATCAATATTATTGAATTAAATGTAAACTGAACTTCATCGACCATTTAATTGCCCACTGCATAGCGTAATTTCCAATTCCGAGCGAGATTTTTAGAATCTTTAAAATACATTTTAAAATAGTCGAAAGCATTCCATTCACTGCGGTCTTAACTGTGTCCCTTGCTTAAGGCTCCTCGATATGTGGTGCTTGAAACTTATTCGCGAGTCTTCAGAACACTGAGAGGTACATTTATTTATGTATTTAGACAGCGAGACTAGGCATCTTAGTAAGGGGTGCTTTTTTTCGATGTATAGAACTTTAAGTTGCAATAAAACAACGATGGATTTTATTTATCCGAAAGATAATCTTGTGGCATTACATTTTAAATATGATTTCTGGCATATGACCGTCACGGCTGGCGCGGATGTAGTCCAATCTGGACGTCCAATTTTCGATGACATTTTCCAACATTTGTGGCCGTATATCGGCAATAACATGGCGAATGTTGTCTTCCAAATGGTCAAACGTTTGTGGCTTATCCGCATTGACCAATGATTTAACATAGCCCCACAGAAAGTAGTCTAGCGGTGTTAAATCACAAGATCTTGGAGGCCAATTCACAGGTCCAAAACGTGAAATTAAGCGGTCACCAAACGTGTCTTTCGATACATCGATTGTGGCACGAGCTGTGTGACATGTTGCGCCGTCTTGTTGAAACCACATCTCCTGGACATCACGGTTATTCAATTCAGGAATGAAAGAGTTAGTAATCATAGCTCTATACCAATCACCATTGACTGTAACGTTCTGGCCATCATCGTTTTGGAAGAAGTACGGACCAATGATTCCACCAGCCCATAAAGCGCACCAAACAGTCAGTTTTTCTGGATGTAACGGTGTTTCGACATACCCTTGAGGATTAGCTTCGCTCCAAATGCGGCAGTTTTGTTTGTTGACATAGCCATTCAACCAGAAATGCGCTTCATCGATAAACAAAATTCGTTTATGAAAATCGGGAACAACGGCAATCTCGAGTTGGATTTTGTAAGCACGTAAACCAAGATCCTTCCGCAAAATCTTCCATAAAGTAGATGGACACAGATCCAATTTCTGTGCTCGATGGCGGATGGACTCATTCGGGTCTTCCTCAATGCTACGCTCTACAGCAGCAATAGCTTCTTCTGTGCGCACCGTACGGCATCTCTGGGGATGCGAGTTATCAATAAGAGTAAACGTGATGCGAAAACGTTCCATGATTAATCGAATTAACTGCTCTGATGGTCGATTTTGTCGACGATAAAATGGACGTAGTGCGCGATACGTATTCCGCACAGAACCATTATTTTCTAAATAAAATTGCACTATTTGCAAGCGTTGTTCAGCCGTGAGTCTATTCATGATGAATTGCCAAACCAAATTGAGAATAAATCACTCGACAGCTGTTAAATCGGTCGCCATCTTGAACAGTAATGCCAACTTAAAGTTCTATACATCGGAAAAAAACACCCATTATTTGTAAAAAGTTTTTCTCAAGCGCGTCTTTACCAAAGGTTTAGGATTAGCTTAATAATAAATTAAAAATAGAGGGTCCATTTAAATAGATGCTGGATTTGAGGAGGTTACGGCGAGAATGCTTGTTGACGTTATTGCTATAACCTCAGGAAATATGATCTTATTACTGACTATCTAAAACAGCCTAATTGGTTGAATCTCTCTCAAACGTACTACTTATACCTTGTCGATCTAGTACATAAAATTAAAAACACTGCGCATTAAAATGGTCCAACATCCACCAGATTGTTACACGGCACCGCAAGTTCTACCCTAATCCCGAGAACAATACTGTCAGATTTCATAGATCCTATAATATAATGCTATTAAATTTGAAAATGATGAACTGTTAAAGCCTGTCCATCTGATAAGTAGTTTATAAATAATTTCAAAGATGAATTCTTAATGAGGAGAGGATCGACTTTTTCTTTAATTTATATGTAAGCGTTAAAGTATAATTCTTACAATGTCTTCTTAGAGGTGGTTAGATGAGAAGGTATGATGGACCCCCCTAAGTATCTTCCTCTATGCATTACATACCCCTACAATACAGTGGGGTTCTGAAGCGTCTCAATTAGACTCGCCTACTCAAATGCCAACCTCGCCTTTACTTGGCGAACCCTGTTTTCACAAACAAGGCTTTGACGACCGAGTATAGGCGGTATAACCTAAGGATAGCACAGAGCAAATGCCGTCGCTATATGTGGAAGAAAGAGGGACCCCACTGCATCACGTTACATATAAAGACATCCCAAGAATCATCATGAATGATGAAACAATCATGGGCATTAGACAATTTAACAAGTCGGACGATCCAACAAGCAATTGGCGCTGCTTGGGGTGCGGGCCTGACAGTGTGAAATTGGCTACCGGCCATATGGGTGTAGGAGACCAGGCATCTCATGGAAAGAGGGCTACTGGAATGAAACTGTACACTACAACGAAGAAATCCACCTGAAATTTGTCATATCATGTCTGATAGTTGGCATCGCAGAGACACATTGGAAGGGATAGGGCTATTTCACTAGCAACAACAATAACACGGTGTACTATTCAGGTCATGAATCGGCTGCAAGAAACTGAGTTGCGGTGATAGTAGGTACGCACAGCAATAAAGCTGTTAAAGAATACATAGCAGTGAGTGATCGAATCATAGTGCTTAGATTCGAATCAAGGCCCTTGAATCTTAACATCATACAAGTCTATCCACTGACAATCGATGCAACAGAGGAGGTTGTGGATGCATTTTACGAAGATTTGGGAAATGGGCTCGAAAGACTACCAACTAGAGACATGACCCTGACTAATACCAAGGTTGGTTCCACCATGGAAAATAATGATATAAGAAACACTGTTGCCAAGTATGGTCTAGGGGAAAAAACCAAAGAGGAGAACGACTAATCGATTTCTATGCTGAAAATAATCTATTTATTTCAAATACTGGTTTTTAACACCACCCAAGGCGTTTGTGCACGTGAAGGTCACCACGAGAGATCTACAGAAATCAAATAGATTTGATACTTATCGAAAGCCGCTTTAGATCATCGATTAAAGACGTAAGAACATTTGCAGGCAACGATTGTGGCAGTGATCCACAGTTCCTGGCAGCAGAAGTCCGCATGAAAATGAGATATAAAATGAATAAAAAACTGAACACAGAAATTGGTCACTAAAGGAAAACACCGTACATAAAGATGTAGCCAAAAACAATCTACGGGAAATCACCGCCAACACAGATGACACTTCAAACTCTAAATGAGAAAAGATAAAACGTGCAATTACCGATGCAAGTGAGAAAGCTAAAATCGAAAGGACTGACCATCGAAGAAACTATAAATGAATGTGGTAAGTTCTATAAAAAGATCAAACGAACGTGCAGAGACGACAAAAACAAAGATCTAAGCAATATATGCCAAGAAATCGAAGCATACCAGAACAAAAATGAGACCAGAGATCTGTTTATGAAGACCAAACAACTAACGCGAAAATTAGCCCCAAACCACAATAGTATAAGATCGGAAGATGATAATTCTAAGGGACACAAATAAAATACTGGAACGATCAAAATCATATTGTCAGCAACTCATGCCTCATCCGGAAGCTACAGAAGATATTGCAGAGGAGATAGCAAATGTTTTAGATCTTGAACCTGGCGTCTTACCGCACAGGAGAGAGAGGTATAACATTACTTCATGAACGGTGAAAGAGCATTTGGTGCACATGTACATGGCCAGAGGACTGGACAATCTCTGTGTACATACCCCTACACAAGAAAGGGTCAAAAGAAATTTGCGACAACTATCGCAGCATCGCGTTAATACCTCATGCGAGTAGATAGTGCTACAGCTAATTCTGGAGACACTTAAGGTACACCTGCTGCCTGATATACCCGAAGAACAGGCCGGGTTTGTTCCTGGTCGTGTCACCAGAGAGCAGATTGTTAATATCAGGCAAATAATAGAAAAATCACGAGAGTTTAATGTTTGCTGCCTATATCTGTTTTATAGACCATAGCAAAGAATTAGATGGCAGGATGTATGGGGGTATCTCTCCCAAATGGGTACCCCAGAACACCTCATTAAACTATTAAAAGGTCTATATCAAAATAACACTGTGTTGCGAGTCCACTTGTGTTTAACATGTATGGCGAGTGTATAATTCGTAAAGCCACAGAAGGTTGGGAAGGAGGTATCTCTGTGGGTGGTAGAACGATTAATAATCTTAGGTATGCTTACGATACTACTTTATTTGCCGGCACGAGCAAGAAATAATGGAACTGTTGCAGCGAGTCGAGACTGCTAGTAGCGAGGCAGGACTGACCATTAACAGATTAAAGACAAAGATAATGATTATCGATTAAGAAAATTAATGGTATAGATGTCGTTAATCAGTTCGTGTATCTTGGCTCTGTCACAACTAATTCAGGAAATCAAAAGGCGGTCAGCAAAACTATGATATTCTCAGTCTTCCTTTATGCATTGGAGTGCTGGACACTCAAGGAAACAGACAAAAGTACTAACGATGCTTTTGAAATGTGTTACTCATGAAAGATACTGCGCAGATCATGGGCACAAAGAAGAACGAACGAATTAATTTTAAACCAGTTAAAGATTAAAAGAAGACTGCGCACCATCGTCTCCGAACGAATAACATCCTTTTTTGGAAATATCGTTAAAAGAAACGGACTGCAAAAACTCACTATTCAAGGGAAGGTGCAAGGAACGAGAAGCCGAAGAAGATCTCCAGTCAGATATGTGGACCTCATTGTCAAGGAAACCGGAGTACAGCTCTGTTTAGAATGTTTTTGAACCGCTGAAGACGGGTGGAAATGGAAAGACCTCACAGATCATAGATCATGATGGTTGATCGTCCGAAACGGGTGACCAAATAAGAAGAACAGTACTAATAAGGACATTGTGAAATAAATTGAATTATATGGATGTTTATTCATTTCTAGCACTACCGAGTTTTTCATTCTATCCACCCATCTGATTTTCAGTAGACGACGGTGCATACACATTTCTTATGTTTCTAGATGCCTGGTTAGCGAGTCAGTGAGGGTCCATAGCTACGTGCCATAACGGAGAATAGAAATCAAGTAACATTTAACCGTTTTCATTCGCAGTTTCCGTTTTAAATTATGGGTGTAAAGAACTTTTTTTACTTTTACGAATGCTGCGATTCTAATTTTAACTTCAATTATGGTTAATATCACTGCCCAAAGACGTCAGCTTCTCAACTTGTTCCAGATTTGCTCCCTCCACATAAAAGCCTAAAGCCTAACTCATGTTAATGACTACCATTTGCTTCTCTAAGCAAAAGAGAATTTCCTTTCTTACACTCATTCCTCTCATCAGTTCTCCCTTTCTAATTTTTTCACGACTTTGGTTACTATGGTTTGGCTTTGCTAAATTTAACCAAGGTATTCTAATTAATGCGTCAGATATTTATTGCCATTTACTTGCGTTGAGGATTTAAGGTCCCTATAATGACTTGATTACTTTCGGTTTTAATTTTATACTTCCTTACTTATTTTAAAGGTTTCCCTCCAATCTTGAAAGTTGATGGAAATCAAACACGTAATTAGCCAATATCAAAAAGTCGCTTTTCCCTAACGGCATCTAATAACCGATATACCGTTTGTCAATTCTACAGTTTTTAGTCAAGAATGTCATTATTTTCTCAAAAATGTTCGCTTTTCACAAAGAAAATGGGGCGAAAATAGCTTCTTGGATTAATGTTTTCTTAACTGTTGTATACGGTGTATCGGATTTGGCAGGATGGGAGGTCAGCCTCTATAAAGCAGAACTCAATCAATGTTTACAAGGTATATCCAACCGGCTGTCGAGACTTTATGCTCCATAAAGCAGAAATCAATCAGTGCTTTTCGCGTTTTATTGCAATTCCATGATTTTTACAATTTTCGGTTTATTCGATTACAGACAACCGAAATGTGCAGGACTGTTTTGATTCTTGTGGCAACGAGTTTGCTATGGATTTTACAGGCGAAATCAACGGGTAAGAGGATAAATGAGGAAAATTAATGATTGTCGTTAGAGATATCAGAAAAAGTTGTTCCGAATATACTATTCTAATCAAATTTCATGACAAATTTCGAATTTTTAGTTTTCTTTCTTATTATTAGTTTATTTTTTATTAAACACGTTCGCTATGAAAAGTAATAATTTGGCAACTTGTGCAATCACTAATCTCCATCAGTTTAAACTTGCAGTTTTTTAACTTTAGCGAGCTCACTATGCAGTTTAACAGAATACATCCACTGTTTTTAAATTTAATTTTCAGTTGAATTTCTTTAAAAAATGTGAACCGTCAATCTGTTTGACTGCTAACTAACCAAAACTTCAAATCTGTATATATTTAGACAGCCAAAATATGGGGGTCTCTTCATCTTAAATGAGACACACTGTATATAGCCTGGGTCAACATTCAGTGGTAGGAATTCAATGAGATGAAAATTTAACACTTGATCCATACATCAACTCTATGTTATGTTCTAAAATTCTACTCTATATGTCTGTAATGGAAGTCGATTATTTTGAACTGTATTTTCTACCACAGTATAGTGGATGGTCTACTAGTAGGATCTGGAGAACGGACTAATCATTTTTCTTTAAATTATGTAGAGTGTGTAAGAGCAAGTGCTTTGTCGCTATATTTTCAAGAATACGGTGTTACCGCTTTTATATGAACGTGGCGACATCTTGCTTAGTTTAAATGGAACCGCTCTGTATATAATTGCATATACCTAAATGTGTTCTTGTTATCAATAATAAAAAAGTAATTCCATTTTCATTCCATAATTCGTGAATGCCATTTTACACGCAGCATCAAAACTTAAAAAAAATGTACGAGAGTTCTAAAAATATGTAGTTTTTTTTTAAAAAGCGCAACTTGAAATTCTTCAAATTTCAAATTTTAGAAAGAAAATAACCCAATTTTGATTCATGCCTATCTCTTTCCGTCTTTGAAATCAAAATAAATATTCATGATTTTTACGTAATATATTGAACATAGTCATTTCGAAGAAAGTTTCGCATATAGACAGACCGAAAAGCGTAAAACTTTTCATTTCAAAAAAGACAAAGACATCTTCTATATGTTAATGCTACTTGTGGAATTATTTTGGTCCACTTTAATTTTGGAGCTTGATAAAAGTTCAAAATCAATCAAGACAGAAGATTTCTTAGCTTCCTATCAAGTGCTAAAGCCTTTTCTGTGAACAGGGTAACAATTTAAGTAATCACACTTGGTTTGACAGAAACTAAAATTAAATGAAAATGAGACTTAACGAAATTAATTCTGACTATCTGCTAAGCTTTCTTCGACAGGACTGCGTTTAGTGTTACTGCCAATTAGTAAGTATATTGAAACATTAAGAAAAAATGGTGAAAATATATCCTTGAATTCAAAAACGAAAGCATGTACTTAATAAACAGTGTTTCTGGAATTCCCATACACAAAATCCTATTTTTAAAATGTCCTATATATTTTTTCTAAAACAATATGCCACTATAGAATGGCTTAGCCCTCCCAAGAATTGGGAAAGTTTGCCTTGCCGTGCTATTAAAAACTAGTAGGATTTCTTCAAGGGTCCACATTTCTTAAAACATTAGTAAATAATTTCTATAACGGAAAGACATGGCTAACAGGAAGATATGAACAAAATCTGCTTTATTTTTGGAATAGAATATAGACATGAAATGATATACTGGGGGTGCCTTCTAAAATAAGCAAGATGTTACTAAGTTTATACAGAAGCGGCAACACCCCATATGTCAAAATATTTTACAGCGATAGAGCACATCATCCTAGATCAGCCTTCATAATTTAGGGTAAATCCGCTGGTCCGTTCAACAAATATTTTGCGCACCACCATTATTTAGACAAAACGTCATATATCGAGAAAACGCAGTCGCAGTCAGGAGGCACCTGATATTTTGACCATCATTAGTTAATCAAATTAAGCAAATACACAGTATTAAACATCATTATCTACCTTTTCTCTTTTGCATTGTTGAGCATAAGCCTTCGAAAGTATTTTCCATTTTCTCCTATTCTGTGCTGTCTGCATCCAATTTGCGTCGTCGGTCGATCTCGCAGAGGTTTTCTCTATACCTTTTTTATCCATAGATGTCTCTTACCCATCTGCCATCCTGTAGTCACCCAATGTGTACTGCCAATTTCCACTTTGCTTTTGTGATATGTTCTATTATATGTCCTCACTTTTGTTCTATGAAGAATTTCTTCGTTTCTAATTCTATCTTGACGCTTTTGTGAGTGTTAGCCTTTGCGCTCCATAGGACGGGCAAAACGCACTAATAGAAAGCATTCTTTTAAGAGCAATAGGCTTTGAAGATCTTTCAGTCAGATATCCCAGTCATCTCCACAGTTTGTTTGTTTCTTCTCAGTTTCACTTCATGGCCTCTTTCGCAACCATTTGTTATATGTTTCTCATAATTTTTGTCTTCAAATATATAAGCCGCCTTGTAATACGGCTTGTTGTAGTTTCCGAATCATGACTGTTATTTCTGAGAAATTGTCCTCTATGAGGAGTGGTTGGAGTTTACCTAGCATCTTCGTGCAATCTTATGGTTGATGAATCGTTTTAATAGATGTTCTTGATCAACAGGCTATTCAAGAGTGTCGAAAAGCTATATGGAAGAACAAGCGGTCTGTTGTCTTTTATAGTATATTCAATTAACGTTTTTAAACACTGTATCCACTGCGAAAATCGGCCTGATCTATCTTCTCCTCTATAACTTATTTTGTGAATCTCTTGTTGCATGTATTATCAGGTCTTCTAGTGCGTTTAGATTCAACCATTACTCTTGTATTGCCTCTATTTTTTTGGTTAAATAAAATGTGTTTTTGTTCTGCAAAATCCTCACACTTCAATGAAAACTGACCAATAAATTTGAAGGTTATAATTCTTTCCTTACGAGCAAGCAATTCAAAATAATAAGTGACCGAAAGTTTGGGTTTCTTCTGCTATCTTGCGCCAGGACTATATAGATTACAGAGATTATTTAAGCAGATCTTGATAAGCACGAGAATTGGAAACATTTACCCACTGAGGATTGCGGAAAGGCGCCTCCAACGGATAGAATCATCGGTGGTAAGGAGGCAAAGCTGGGTCAATTTCCTTGGATGGTTCTCATAGAATTTGATGGAGCGTTTTGCGGTGGGACCTTACTCAACAAATATTATGCGTTGACTGCCGCTCACTGCATTAATGCTAGTGTTGACAGGTATACGTTAACCGCAATTAATAGTATGTAATACAAAAGTACTTTAGCTATATTCGCTATGGCAAAAAAACAACATATTAATAAAAAATTAGTATGGCTTTACTGCTGGGTTTGATATAGTTGATGCTATGTATTAGCTTGACTGCAAACCTGGATGAAAATAAAAAAAGTGTTGGGATATTGGGGTTTCGCAAAAAATACATGTATTGCAGAAGTACGGTATTAGAGAAAGTACGTCCAAACTTTTACAGAATTACATAACAGATCGATACAATATACAGTTGTTAGCGAATCAAATATTGTAAGAAGTGGAATACTGCTAGCTATAGTACTGCTTTTTAATCTTTATATAAACACACTAAGTGATTTAAACCTTTGGAGCAGAATAGTGTCATATGCAGACTGTTCAGTCATAGTATTTGCGGGTGATACATGGCAAAAAGCAGTGATTAAATTACAAGAGGGTTTATCTCCGATTAAACATTTTTTATATAGTCGTTTCTATAAATGACGCAAATAGACCGACCTATGAAAATATAATTGTTAACAATATTCTCGATCCTATTGAACAAATATCTGGGAGTATAAATAGACAAAAAACTTAAAGTTGGAAATTTAAATCACATACATTACGGAAAAGATAGATTTCTTACAAAAAATTAATCATGTTATTAAATAAAGCCCTCATGGAACCTCTGTTGAGATATGGAATATTTTAATGGAGTGGACCATATGAAAATAACCTTGAAAATCTTAAAGTAATGCAAAACGCCATTATTGAGATTATATTTTAAAACCAATATTTTTTCCACAAACAAATTGTACAACTATGAAATTAGTGACTTAAAAATATTTTTCATTACTGCCTGCTGCGCTCATGTTAATAAATCCTACAAGAGGCAAAACATATTAACCCTAAACCTAAACCAAGTGTAATACAAACCTAAAAACGAAATTGTAGCAAGCGAAAACAAAGTACCACAAAGAAATTTAGTGAACTTTCTATAAATTATAGAAGAAATATTAAAAAAAAAATTCTTAATGATGAATTTGAAAAACTAAAATGCCTAGACAGTCGGTTTATTCAAACGCCACAGCATTTTAAAAAGACTCGATACTAATTGAATAGTAGATCATTGGAATAAATAATCCGGTTACTCACAAATATTTATTTATCAATTCTTCTCCAAAAGTCCGCACAATATGATTATACAGTATTTACTATACAAGATGTATATTGGAAACTGTAAGAGATAAATCGTTGTCTAAATGGAAGAAAAGCAACATATGTATATGAAAAAAAAATAATCTAGTTTTGGTTAGTTTATTTTCAATCATAGATACAGGGTGAAAAAAAAATATCCATTTTTCTAATTTTCCTATATAGAATCTCAAATGTTCAAATTTTCAGTTACAGTTTCCAATCTCCTCATGTACATCATCTTATACTCAACGCCATGCAGGAAAACTTGAGTTTCAATATTTACTTTACATATTTATTGTAAAATTCATAGTTATATTGTTCTGACGAACTCAGCAATAAATACCAAGGAAATGACCAGAGAGAAGAGAGAAAACGCCAACAATCTTTTTTGATGCAAACAAAAACTTAAAATACATGGTGAATTATATTTTAAAAGTTATAACCGTTAAGTGTTCTTATCTCAGTAGACTTGTCATTTGTAAAATACTATGGAAATGTAAAATTAATTGTTGCCTTTTTTTATAGCATAAAGGCGATTTTGGGAACTATTTTCAATAAAGATCCATATTGTGAGGGTGACGGTTGCGTCCCTACCCCACAAGTCATGAACATCAGTGAAATATACAAAATGCCTGACGGCATTGACTTAGGTCTGCTTCAATTTTCTCAACCAGCTGAATATAACGGTAAATAAAACAAATTTGATTTGTATCAGTTCTCTTATTTAGGTTATTGACTTTCTTCCATCGACTAAAAAGAGCAAATTTCACCTTTGAGTATGTATGCAGTTTCTTTGCGGCTCGCACAACACTTTCTGATAATTTTCATTACTCATTCATTAATTACGGATAATGGCATGTAATTGCATATAAAAATGGTACACAACTAACATACGTACGTAACGTAACACATATTTCTTAAGAAGGTTTGTTATATTTATTGGGTTTCTAATATTAATATTAAATAGTTTTTTAATAAAATTTGTTGGAAATTATCTCCTTCACGTATTCGCATGATTTGAGTTCCACACGCTGTCTTAAATGTTAGGCGGAGTTTCATTCACTATTCTGGGGGATTAATCCCAACACGCATACATAGCGTGCTCCACATAAGATTATCCAGTAACCGGTCTGAGAAATGATAGGACCTACAAAAGAGTTTAATACAAAAGTTTCTTATAATGGCATAAACTTTTTCTGATTGTTTTATCTGTTTTATCATTTGATCCGTTCTGGCTAAGTGAAGCTAGCGGCTAACATAGCCTTTGTTAAAGTTGTTCCATAACATATTATACTAAGAATTCAAAATTGGAAACTTGTATGCCGCGCTTTTAGACGTTGTTTTTTTATTATTACTATTAGCAGCCAAATAAACCTACCGCCTATAAAGGGCATTTAAAAAATACGCGGCAATATTTAATGGGTTGATTCCTCAGATTATTTTATGAATAAAGTTTTTTTAAATGTCCAACAAGTGTGGTAAACGACATTTGAGAGAAGAGTTGAATGAATGACTTAAATGGAATTGACAAATGTCAAAATTCAAGCCGTGGTAAAATAACACTTTCCGCAAGCGCATATTTTTATAGTAAATGGCATCCCGCAAACGAAGCAATAGAAAAACCCAAAAGACGAAAAAGTAGAGAGATTAAATTAAAGTCAAGTTTTGTCAATAAATTTTATAAGGTGACCCTTTCCCCCCTAACATCACATTTATATAAGAATCAGCCCCTGCCAAGAATGATGCCAAACACATCACAGGAGATATTTGAATTTATTAAAAGAGAAAAACAGCCTGTATGGGAATTTTTTTCCATAGAATGATCTGGGGAATTACCAATCTAAATATGGTCTATTGTTTTTTACACGCCCTGTTTATATATAAGCAGTTTGACAATTTGACAAATAATATACGGGAGGTGCCATTTTGAAAAAAGCGAAACGCGGCAATATTTTCATGTTCAATGCTTGCTTCCAAAATAAACTTTAGCCCTCTCTATGGCATATATGAAAATCGATCGATCATAAATCGGTGAACTCGTCTTGGAAACTAGTCTCCGAACGTGTAGGGTGCTTCAATTAACATGAAAAAGTTTGTGCTTGGCCTGAAAAGGCCCTGTTTACATGAAAACTATGTACTTAAGAAGTTTGAGTACTATAAGAAGCCTACATAACAAACAAAACTGGGATGACCTCATCTTACATCGACCAGCTGCACTGTTATTTTTTATATTTGCGTACCAACTTACAGGGGTTAAGAAAAGTAACCGAGAAAAACTTGTAACATAAAAATTGCATAATTTGTGCGGTTCATGACAAAGTTGAGAAACATTACCAAGTTTTTTATTTTTAATTGAAGCAATTTAAGTATTTTCTGTTACGACCAAAGATCTTTTTCACATGATTTCAGGTGTCTAGCTACTACTAAGCAACTAAACTGAGTTGAAAAAAGAGAGTCGTTGTTAGAAATGAAGATGACGACATGAATATGTTGCTCTCTTTCTTATATGAATAATTAATAAAAATGCGAATTAATTTTATTACTTTTTAGTAAATCCTTTTGAAAGGAAGTAAAATTCATTTTTGGGAAAAATTATTTTTACTGATAAAACCACCTTTACTATGACAGGTATATTAAATCGAAAAAGTCAGCATCATTGGGCAGATGAAAACCCACATAAAATTCAACCAGTAAAAATACAGGGTTCGCGTGCCAACCCAATAATCGGACCGATTTTTGGTTAGTAGGTGTAGGCAAAAAGATGGAGCACAGTTCCACAATACCGATCCCGTTACTGAATGACAGATATGATCATTGACAGTGACCGGCTTATAGGCCGGATTTAAACCCTCTTGATATTTTCCTATTGGGACTTTGGAAAAATCGAATATACAATGACCTCAAAATATACGAATGTTAAGTCAAACAATTGATTGCGATTGGATATATAGAAAACACGTATATTTTCATTATTGTGCGTTTAATAATAGTTGTTGTCGGTTTTGTTATATATTTATATTTATATTATATTATATATTTATAAAATTATACAACTTTTGTATTAAAAGTTTTTCTGGGCGACCCGTGCAGGTGGGTAGGTAAATATAAAAATAACTGTGTACAAAATTTGATCTATCACCTCTTCAAGTATTCTAGGTAATTCTCCTAGGAAAAAATGTAAGTAAAAGTTTTCGCCACGGTCGCAAGCTGAAAAAAAAAGTATTAATGAAACATTAAAAATAAAATAAGTTGGGATAGTTCCGAAGACCGACAACTTATTTTAAGGTAACAAATACGACAACCAGCTGTATAAACTGTAATTTATTCGGGATTTACTAAAAAGTTAACTATTCAAATCAGTAGATGTTTTTTCTTCTGCTTTAGTAAATTGCGGTTCCGATTACGGCCTTTATCTATTTTGTATACAGTGACTGAGAGCTTAAATGATGCAGTCACTATAACAAAAACAAAATGGTTTCGGCACCTCTTTATTTATTTGAAAAAAAAACTAGTTATCGAAATTAAGTTGAGAGAGTCTTCAAAAAAATTATGGCTCACTTTTCATCTTAAACATCCATTTCCATGACGAGTAATAATTAAATTTTTTTCAGAAATTGTAGTTCGACAAAGTGTTATTAAATAAATTAGTTTTATTGAGTGAAAACCTGTCTTCAAACGTTTAACCTCGTGTCTAACTGAATAAGAAACAATTGCATTAAGAAACAAAAGCAAAACGCCTTCGCAAATTTGAAACAGAACTCAATTTCTTAGAAAACTTTATCAACTCAATTTTACATCGTTGTTTACGGAATAGATTAGGGTTTTGATCAGAACTTTTACGACGAAACGTAGGTAAGACAACGAGATGTGGCTGAAGTTTGATTTGGAATTGGATTCGGATCTGCAAATATTGCAGTGAACTAGTTCGTTACTTGTCATGATGTGGACATGCTGGGTACGTAACCACGGACATATTGTAAGGGGGCTCCCAAAAACCATATCCAATATCCTTTTTTAATTTAATTTTAAATTGATTAATACTTCGCAATCTCGAAAAAATCTGACGTTGTCCCAGAGATTCAACCAGATTATTATAGAGCCACTTAGGGGAGTTTCAAAATGATGTATTACTCAACTACCTTGAAGGGGGGAAGATACTAAACTACCCTCAACAATGCAATAACCAAATTTTCGTTTTGTTTATTTCGCAATCTCAAAAAAATGGGACGTTGTCCCGGAGATTCAATCAGACCATTAAAGAGGTCGCCATTATCAACGAAAAGGTTTTTTTTTTGGCTCGAAATTTACTCGCAAACACACGTTCATCGATTATGTATTTTGGCGATATTCAGAAAACTCTCTTAATTTTATTTGCACTTTTTGTTTTCATATTTATTTAGCCGTTCATTGACAGTTTTATTAGACTACATCTGCGCACAAATTTGAGCTTTTGAGATCAATCACAATTGCGTATTATGTTTCATTACAAAATGTTTCCAGTATAACAAACACTGTTATTCGACACCGGACTAAATTCTGTACTTGATGACGTTCCCATTTAAAGAAAAAATAGTTGAATCTTTTCCGGACTAGCAGCAATAGTTATCATTCTATTTGTACAATTTTTTTCAAATAATTCATAAAACAAAAAGGGACAGGCATATACAACTTTCGAAAAGTAACCTATAATTAACCATAGCAATGAGAAATGATAATATATACAGGATGTGCAACTTAATATTTTAAATATGACAACCATTTGTAAACGAATTCTAGGGCATCCCATAATTGGTGGTAGTTTTTATCGTCCCAACAGTTTCAAGGTGGTTGAGTAATAAGTCATTTTGAAGCCCTCCTTAGTGGCTCTTTAATAGTCTTGTTAAATCGCTGGGAAAACATCCGTTTCTAGGTGGTTAAGTAGTACATCGTTTTGAAGCTCCTTAATTGTTTAATTGAATATCTGCGACAACGCCAGATTTTTTTGAAATTGCGAAATAAATAAAACTAACATTTGGTTATTTCATTACTGGGGTAGTTTTATATTTTCAATGACTTTTCAATGGTATAATTGAATATCTAGGACAACGTAAGGTTTTTTTGAGATTCCGAAACAAATAAAACAAATAATTTGTCATTTCATTATTGGTGGTAGTTTTTTATCTTCCCGATTGTTTCGAGGTGGTTGAGTAGTACATCATTTTGAAGCTCACCTGAATGACTCTTAAATGGTCTAATTTAATATCTGGACCAACGTCAGGTTTTTTTGAGATTCCAAAATAAATAAAACTAATATTTGGTTATTTTATTATTGGGGGCAGTTTTATATGTTCCCAACCGTTTCAAGGTAGTTGAGTAATACATCATTTTGAAACTCTTCTAAGTGACTCTTCAATGGTCTAATTCAATATCTGGGACAAAGTCAGATTTTTTTGAGATTGCAAAATAAATAAAACGAGTATTTGGTTATTTCATTATTGGGGGTAGTTTTATATCTTCCGACCGTTTCAAGATATTTGAGTAGTACATCATTTTGAAGCTCATCTAAATAGCCCTTAAGTGCTCTAATTTAATATCTGGAACAACGTCAGTTTTTTTTGACATTCCAAAATAAATAAAACCAATAGTTGGTTATTTTATTATTAGGGGTAGTTTTATATCTTCTCAACCGTTTCAAGCTCTTCTAAATGGCTCTTTAATGATCTGATTGAATCTCTGGGAAAACGTCAGGTTTTTTTTAGATTCCGAAATAAAAAAACGAATATTTGGTTATTTCGTTATTGAGGGTAGTTTTATACGTTCCCGACGGTTTCGAGGTGGTGGAGTAATACATCATTTTGAAGCCCTTTAACAGTCTAATTGAATATCTGGGACAATGTTAGGTTTTTTTGAGATTCCGAAATAAATAAAACATATATTTGGTTATTTTATTGTTGGGGGTAATTTTATGTCCTTCCGACAGTTTTAAGGTGGTTGAGCAATTCATCATTTTAAAGCTCACCTAAGTGGCTCTTCAATGATCTAATTCGATATCTGTGACAACCCAAGATATTTTGAGATTGCGAAATAAATAATGCGAACGAAAAAGGAGTTATTTTCTGTATAGCGACATTGAATATGGTTTTTGGGAGTTCCCGTACAATATTACCGTGCTTATTTTCCAGGCATTTCTACAAGAATACGTTTTTTTAAATTAAGGTAAATAACGAACTGGTCTGCTGCAACATTCGCAAATCCGAATCCAAATCCAAATCTAACTTCAGTCACATGACAACTAGGTGTGGAGTAATTTTTTATATCCAGATCACGTCCAACCAATCTGCTTGCCTCGCGGAGATATCGTCGACCATCCGGAAAACTACTTAACAACGGACAAAGATTTTCTAACTGTATCCGGATGGGGTGTCGTAAATCACAGAGAAGGAATTAACTCACCATATCTAATGTATGCTAAATTTGCTCTTGTTGACATGCATGGTTGCTCAGGTTGCTGTGGCCCAGATACAAAAGTTATATGCGTTGGAGGTAAGTTTGGTAGATCCACGGAGTGTTTAGAACTCGACTCTTACCATTAGGATCTTGACTACAGTAACTTTAATTTTTGTTATGGAGACCACCCTTGATGTTTACAGTTTTGAAATTCTTATTCACTATCTACAAGTTAACATCCTAGTTCCAAAAATTCTAGATATTAAAGCAGATAATAGGCTTTGATTTTTTCAATTGGCCACGTGCATAACACTACTGTAGAAACAGCTGTTTGTAAATAAAATGGCCTGCGGCACATCAGTTTTTTCCATAGTAGGGCCACATCGCATTTTTGGAAGAAGAGCGGCACAATTACATAACTCATTTTTTCTGGAGAGTCAATTTAAACTTTCAATTAATTGTAATTCCCATTGCCTGGTTGTAACATTCAATTTGCTTACAAAAATAAGTGGAATTATTGATATAAGTCTGCTAAAATGTATTCCATTAATAAAGATCATTTTGGAAGTCACAACAAACACAAAAAAATTTAACAATTTTTGTTTTAAATGTGTCGTTTTGTTCCAAAAAAGATTTCGAAAACAGACACAAAAAATACATAACGATTAGTCCAAAACGTTTATTTCCTTTATCATGTAAAAAGCACCACCAGCTTTTGTGGAACTCCACTGGAGTAAAAGTCCTCCAAGAAAATATTAATAATTGCTCACTGCTGCAACAAAACTGGTCGATGGAGGCTCAACTTTCAATTTAAGTGGATTTGAGACTATGAAGAAGACAAGAATACTAATATTTTTGATTACTACTACCAGGCCAAAAAAAAAAATTACTCATTTACTTTAAATAAGAAAAACTCAATGTAATTCTACTAGCTTCTAACGAATAAGGAATAAATTTAGAACCTTGAATTGTAATAAACATATACTGAACTTAGTAAGGTATTTATTTAAAAAAAAGAATATTCTTATAACTGTAAACAAACAAACAAACTATTAAAAACAATTCATTACCAAAAAAAATTTTTTTGTACACATTTTCATAAATGTTATAATAATCGGAAGTAATCACTTTTGAGAAAATCAGGAAGCTCTTTTTTCTTCTTTCAGTCATACCTTTCTCTGGTAAGCACTTTTTATGGTAATTTTGCCTTTATTCCTTTTATCTTTATATCAATCTGTTAGAAGTTTTCATGGCCGAATGATTTTTTATAGATCATGTTTTTTTCAACTGTAATCTAAACACGAATCCGCTTGACAAGTAATTTAAATTCACTGAATCTTGATGGTTCATTTTTATAGCTTTATGCCGTTTACCTGTGTCAATATGTGTAAAATAGTGACCTGGTGTGTAAATTAGACCGTTTCTTCGTGAACCTTTGATATGATAGGGTGGGCAATATCACCTTCGTTTTGGGTATGAACTTGCACTATAAATTTTTGTGTGAAGTGATATGCAGTGTCTGCTAAGTGGCCATTATAAAGCGATTCTTTTCTTGACCCCAACAACTGTCTGTGTAGAAAACTACATCAAGGCTTTCATTAATTGTAGAAGACTTAGTCTCTAATCCTTTTAAATATTGAATTACCTGTCGGGCAAAGAGGTAATCTTGGTGATAGGGATGTTGTAAAGTTTAAATCTTTTAAGCATTTATGAATGATTCACAATGCGATAGGAAAATTGTCATCTGTCTCACCTAATTGTTAAATTAAACTGTTAAGTTACCAGAGATTAAAATTAACCAATTTTCCAATAATAAAATCTTATTTGAAAGGTGACATTTTAGATTCCCTTGGTGTGACGAACGAAATTTTCGAAATCGCGTTGAAAATTCTGAGAGACAGATATAAAAATAAGTGTTTACTTTTTAGCCATTTGTTAAATTCGCTATTAGACTTGCCGACTGCTCAGAATTAAAGAGAGTTTATAGTAAATTGCAAGAAAAATATTGAGTATTTAAAAAATCTACATTTCTCTGATAAATAACTGTTTCAACTAGTTATGATATATTTGTTCCAAAAGAAACTAGATTACTCCTCGAAGAAACTTTTTGAGGAAGAGAGAGGTAAGAACGTTAAAAATGATTTACCCATTTTGAACAATTTATTTACATTCTTTGACACCCGCTGTGGTGTTTTAGAAAATGTATTTGTTTTTGAAACTACATTTGCAAAAAAAAAAAGATAAAAGTACTTTAAATACAAATAATAATAACGCTTACAACTCCAAAAATCAATGTTTTAGGAAAGGTCATCGTATCTATACGTCCTATGGATCTACAAGTTTACTGATGTCCGAAAAACAGGAATTTGTAAAGTCAAACAATATTTTTATATTTATTTAGGCAATAAACTCTTTTTACAAAACTTCTGGATTCCTCCTGCGTCGAAATTGCTGACGTTTCGCCAACCATCCTCTTGGCTTTTTCAAAGGTGGCGCATATTTTACTCTGTACCTGCTTATATATTGTTTGAGGGGTATAAAGACCGTATCGGATGACTAATTCCCAAATTGGTAACAGTCTTAACAGCTGAGTCACTGTTAAGATTATTAGGTTGTTTATAGATTTCTATAGACTCTTGGACTTTTCGATGGTAGAAGAACTGATTACATGCAAGAATTTTAGTTTTATCGAATAAAATTTTTTGACCGGTTTCATGAGTGTGTTCAGCAACAGCTGATGAGTTTATTTGCCTTAGTCATAGAGTCACTGAAAACAGAATTAAACACCTTACCTCTGCTCTTCTCTTTAATTATTTCCACATTAAAGATATTAAGCGTTCAATCAAAAAATATAGTTTACCACAACCTTCCAATAGCAATGAGGCCGAAAGCAATCCTACACTTGCCAGTATGGTCCTTCCTTCCATTCAAAACATGACTGAAAATATTTCAAAAGTTCTAAAGAAGTATAACGTCAAAACCAGATTTACCACTTGTCCAAAAATCTCTTAACATATGCGGTCCGTCAAAGACAAAATTCCATTTGACACGCCATGCATATGCGGCAAAGAATACATTATAGATACCGGACGAAAAATATCAACTAGGCTCAAAGAACACGAAAGAGCCTTACGACTAAGACAAATAAACTCATCAGCTGTTGCCGAACACACTCGTGAAACCGGTCATAAAATTTTATTCGAATAAACTAAAATTCTTGAATGTAATCAGTTCTCCTACCAACGAAAAATCCAAGAGTCTATAGAAATCTATAAACAACCTAACCTGTACCTGTCACCAATTTGGGAATCAGTCATCGGATACGGCATTTATACCCCTCATTAGCGCCTCTCCCAAAAAATATATAAGCAGGTACAGAGTAAAGTACGAGCCAGTTTCAGTCAAGCTCTGAAGAAGCAAACAAGATGGTTGACGAAACGGCTGCAATTTCGACTCAGCAAAAACCTTCGCAGTAGGAATCCAGAAGTTTTATAAAAAGTATTACAGTAGCCTGTGGAAGTTTCTTTGAAAAATTAACTCTAGCTCTGTCCAACAAATATTTTTGAGCAACTCTGGGAACCCGTCGACATCTTCTGAAGTGAGAATCTCTTTCACACGCATCTACATCAAATTCTCAAATGCTATTAGCCAGATGGAAGATGGAACTCCTATGCAGGTCAAGGATCTATTGGATTCTGCCAGTCAAAGCTGAATAGTTATTTTCAAGGCTTAGGTGCCGATCATTTAAAAAACTGTTGCCTATTTCCGGAATTTCCGAAAATTATGTACCGTCACATAGAATGGCAGATATGGTTGTATACTCTGATGTCAATCCTGATGTGGAATTTAAGGTCACGTGTGCTATTCTTCCAAAAATTACCTAAAAATTACCCCTAGTAGAAACTAATGTTTCCTCCTTAAAAATACCTGAAAATTTCGAACCTGCAGATCAAAATTAAAGAGCAAAATTCCCACTTTGACTATTTGATAGCTGGAAACGTTCCATCGCTGACAACTTTGTCCAGTGTTGCCGCTAATTTTACGACCGTTGTACATGGAAAGGTTTCCCTACTCAAGCAAAAAGTTAGAAAAAACAATCAGAAAATTATGGGCGGAATTTGCTTCCGCCTAAGACCTTCTTAAATAACGAAGAGTCCGCTGCCAAAAAAATATTTACTTCGACTACTAAAATCTTAAAAGTCATCAAGTTTGCATTCCCCTTAAATCCCCCACAGAATACGAGAAACTCGGAAATTCTTACTCGAATGCATCAAAAACATTTATGAGCCTAAAAAGAAGATTCGAAAAGGGCCCCTCTCTTTTGTTTGAATACAAGAAGTTTATCGAAGAATTGGTTCAATTAGGACACGCTAGGAAAATCCCTTTAACTCTGAAAACTCCTGAAGGTCACAACAAATATTTCAACTCTCATTTGTGCGTCTTGAAAGATTCAAGATTACCAAATTAAGAGTCGTCTTTGACGCTTCTTGTCCGACTTTTTCTCGAATATCCCTAAACGTTACGACTTAGCAAGGTTAGTAAGTACAACCGTTATTATATGATATATTTGCACATTCAGAATCTTCAAGTTTGTGCTAACTCGTAATATCATACAAGTTAGAGTTGATCCCACACAAACCTTCTTCTTCTTTGGCGTGAGAAGCCGGAGCTCCCCTTTCAATGTTTAGAGCTTTTAGTGTTAACCTACGATATAAAACACTATTGCTTTCTCGTCACTCTCATACTTAAAGAAATAGCCATGATTTCTGGTCGTAACCTCGCATTAGGTAGTGGCCATTGTTAAATATGGTTGCAACAGTTTACAAGATTTGCCAGTTCTGTTCAGCAAACTCAATACATTATTGATTCAGGCTGGTTTTGAGTTGTACAAATCAAAGGATTTTCTTAATCAGATTCCTGTTATACCAGATCTTACTGGCCACATGAATTTGGAAAATTCTTATGCAAAAACTTTGGCTTCAAATGCCAAGTTGGGACGCTGAAGTCATAGAAGAGTCGATAGTTCTTGAATGGAACAACTTCTGCCACAATCTCTGTAAGCTACATCTTCTCAACATCTCCAGACCAATCTTTGCGGATGGAAAGATCAAGAACATTGAGATGCATTGTTTTGTCGATGTTAACATGAAAGTTTGAGAGATCAAATATTTCGTCCTTTTCAAAATATTGGAATCGATTTTGGTAGCCCTAATGTGGTTAAGTCGTCGTCTCTAAACAATCTCCCCTCATTGAAACTTACATTGCCATTGTGTGCTTGGTCACAAAATCAATGTACATCGAATTAGTTAGTGATCTATCGACTCGGACATTTTTACTTACTCTAAAAAGATTTATATCACGAAGAGGAAATCCATGCAAGGATCCAAAAACAATCTTAAAGAACTTTATCAATTTTTCAAAAAATTATAATCTATTCGAATTTTTTTGACTTCCAATCAAATAAACATTGGGATGGCATTTGGAAAAGTGCCATCAAAGGTGCTAAATAATGGGTGTTTTTTTTCGATGTATAGCACTTTAAGTTGGCATTACTGTTCAAGATGGCGACCGATTTAACAGCTGTCAAGTGATTTATTCTCAGTTTAGTTTGACAATTCATCATGAATAGACTCACGCTTGAACAACGCTTGCAAATGGGCCGAAAACGAGATTGCCGTTGTTCCCGATTTTCATAAGCGAATTTTGTTTAGCGATGAAGCGCACTTCTGGTTGAATGCCTACGTCAACAAACAAAACTGCCGCATTTGGAGCGAAGCTAATCCTCAAGTGTACGTCGAAACACCGTTACATCCAGAAGAACTGACTGTTTGGTACGCTTTATGGGCTGCTGGAATCATTGGTCCGTACTTCTTCAAAAACGATGATGGCCAGAACGTTACAGTCAATGGTGATCGGTCTAGAGCTATGATTACGAACTCTTTTATTCCTGAATTGAATAACCATGATGTCCAGGAGATGTGGTTTCAACAAGACGGCGCAATATGTCACACAGCTCGTGCCACAATCGATTTATTAAAAGACACGTTTGGTGACCGCACAATTTCACATTTTGGACCTGTGAATTGGCCTCCAAGATCTTGTGATTTAACACCGCTAGACTACTTTCTGTGGGGCTATGTAAAGTCATTGGTCTATGCGGATAAGCCACAAACGCTTGACCATTTGGAAGACAACATTCGCCGTGTTATTGCCGATATACGACCACAAATGTTGGAAAAAGTCATCGAAAATTGGACGTCCAGATTGGACTACATCCACGCCAGCCGTGGCGGTCATATGCCAGAAATCATATTTAAAATGTAATCGAATAACCCATCGTTGTTTTATTGCAACTTAAAGTTCTATACATCGAACAAAAACACCCCTTACCACATTAAGCGGAATGTCGAAAACGCAGTATTGACTTTCGAACATCTCTATTCAGTCTTGGCTCAGATTGAAGCCATAATAAATTCAAGACCCTTATGCCCGATCTCCAATAACTCCTATAGGGATTTGTGCAGTATATCAGAAAACCGCCTAACGTTCTGGCAAGGATGCTCTAAAATACAACAGTTTTGGAAACGATGGTCGATTGAATATCTCAACCGACTGCAAAATCGTCCAAAATGGATTCGCTCTTGTGAACATGTAAAAATCAATGATCTAGTTCTCCTAAAAGATGATGGATTGCCTCCTTTTAAGTGGTCACTCGCAAGAATAATGGATGTTATTGAGAGCTCTGACAACAATATTCGAGTTGTCAAACTCAAAAACCCCTATTGGTGAGTTAATCAGACCAGTAATAAAGATTTGTCCCTTGCCAAAGGACGAATCCACTCTTCTCGACATTAACCTTTAAAGTTATTTTATTTATCAACATTCTTGCTTCAACCGGCTGAGAATGTTGACGAAACAACCTAATACCCGCCAATATTACGTTATACGCGACAACGTCGATCGTCTCTTTTGGTCTCGCTTTATAGACGTGACTGGCCACCCCGACGGCGAAGGTTTTTCAGACATGTTTTGCGAAAAGCAGTAAGTCGACCGCGACCGCCCTTGATAATAAGCACATGAAATTCGTCCTATGGCTAAACCTCCTTTAAAGTACTTTTCACTATTAATATATCCAGTCATAAGTCGGTGCCCTGATCGGACCTGCCTCTGAAGAGGTTTGTTTAGAGAGGAATTTGGTCTTTATTTTAACGCAACTTGTGTGATGGTGATATAAACTGTGTTGTGTTAAACGGCTATTATTTCAAAATAAACAAAGACCTTTTTGTATGGCAGCGAAGCAAATGGAATAGTTTCTCCCCCTTATTTAATATGGATGTATCTTTATGAACAAGCCAATATTGAAATTGAGTCTTTCTCTTGATCCGATGCTTTCTTGATTTATCCAAAATGGATCCATATTTTACTATAAAAAGAGTTTGGACAATTTAACCAGTGCCTTGTGTATGGGTTATTTCTCCAATACTTAAAACAAATCCTCCGCCGACCTCTTTTTCTTTTTTGATATATATTGGGTTGTTCGGAAAGTCATTTCGTTTTTTTTGGGGAACATGAAAGACAGTTTTCGTATAATGAATAAATATTTTATTAAATTTTATATTGGCCATTCTGGTCCAACACCTTTTGCCATCTTTCTGGCAGTAACATAATTCCCCTCTCATAAAAGTTTTGGTCCTTGCTGGCAAAAAACTGGTTCAGGTGGTTTTTGACATCTTCATTTGAGGTAAAGGTTTTGCCATCCAAAAAATTTTGCAGGGACCGGAACAAATAGTAGTCGGAAGGCGCCAGACCTGGAGAATATAATGGATGTTGCAGTACGTCCCATTCAAGCTGTAAAAGTTTTTGGCGAGTGACCAAACTTGTGTGAGTTCTCGCATTATCCTGGTGGAACACTACACCCTTCCTGTTGATTAATTCGGACCTCTTCTCTTTAAGTGAATCATTCAATTTGTCCAGTTGATGACAATAGACACCTTTTTTTGGTGAATGTTGGATTTTGACACGCTTTGAGCCGGTTCATCTTTTCTGCTCCATGACCTCTTGTGTTTAACATTGTTGTATACAACCCATTTTTCGTCCCCAGTAATAATCGGCTTCAAAAATGGATCATTTTCTTGACGTTTGAGGAGCGAATCACACACGTCAACGCGACGACACAAATTTCGCTCCGTAAGGACACGGGGCACCCACACATCGAGCTTCGAGGTTAAGCCCATGCCTTTCAAATGGCCATAAACAGTCGAATTCGACAAATTTAATCTCTCACCGATCTCTCGTGTGATTATTTGCCGATTTGCATCAACTAATGCCTTTATCGCATCTTTGTCAGCCTCGACCGGCCTTCCAGACCGTGGTACATCTTCGACAGCAAAATTGCCGGATCGAAATTTTGCAAACCAGTTCTGGCACTGGCGTACTGTTAACACGCCTTCTCCACACACATCCGTCAATTTTTTTCTCGCTTGGACAGCATTTTTACCTTTTCTGAAGTAAAAAAGTAAAATATGACGAAAATGCTGCTTATTGCTCTCCATATTTAAAAGGGCACCAACCAAAAACTAGTGCGTAGAATTAATAGAACTTTTTCACACACAAGCCTTGCAATATCAGCTCTCAAGACATATAATGGATATGCGGCTTAAGTGTGAAGTTGGTTTCGAGAAAACGTAATTAAGTCCTCTGACGGGAAAAAACGAAATGACTTTCCGAACAACCTTATAATTACTAATAAATATAATCTGAGGGATACCTACCTAGATTTCTAATTACCGATTTTGCAAATTTCCAGCAATTGGTGGAAAAAATTTAATCTATTAATGTAATTTTTAATTTTAGCAATTCGTTTTGGACATTTAACATTCCTATTATCGCTCCTCGACACACTCCTTAGTCCTATTTCCAATCACTCTGGTATCTCTCACCGTTTCCGAGATGTCGAACTGGGGTATATGTAAGGATCTTTTCTCTTTAAAATGTTTTTTTTTTTTTTTGAGGGAATGAAACAAATGTTTGTTTCGGAGATTCCGGATCGCCGGCGATGCAACCGCAGAAGTTAGAAGATGGTCCTGAAAAGTACTTTATTTTGGGGACCCAGTCTGCTATAATTGCAGTAGGGACGTGCGAAGAAACATTCGGCATCTTCATAAATGTAGTTCACACGTTGGAGTGGATACTGGATCATGTCAATAAATCGTAATACGAAAAAGATAGAATTTAATTAAAACACACAATAATATTTGTTTCCTTCTTCCAAAAGAGCCATAAACTAAATAGACACTAAAACCTCGAAAAAATAAGCTTCTTAATTGCGAGCTTTGTTTAGTAATTTCATATTCCGTCTTGGATGCTGAGAGAAAATTCTTAATTTAAAATATTCAGTTTTTATATGAGAATTTGCTGGAGTGGTCGATGCAATTCGGTGTTTTTTAAATTTCACATTTACTCACGAAGTTAACCCAACCTTTTTTTTCTTTGGAATAAAAATGCCAAATAGCAAGACCTATGAAGTTTCAGCATTAATTGAAGCAGCTCGATAAGTGCAAGAACAACATATAACTATTTATAGCAACGTTAAATATCATGTTGCCTTATAGCCTTTAAAGACTTAAAAAGAAAGAGAAAAAATTACCCCTTCGATCTATTGTCAGCATCATTGGTTCTATAACATATTCTCTAGCAAAATAACTAGCTTCTTTGTTCTTCTCTGATTGTTTCGTAATTAATTTTCTTTCAGTTCACTGAACACATTAGATCCAAACAATGATTTGGTTAGTTTCGACGAGGAATCGCATCACGAATTCAGAATCAAACCTTCTCATGTTAATTGAATAATGCTTGCCTGGAAAATAATATTTTTTAATAGTCAAATTTATGAACAAACGACGGGAACAGCTATTGGTTCTCCATTATGACAAACACATTTATTACAAGCCTTTTAGAAGAAAGTTTTCGATACCTTCCATGTAAAACCCAAATTATGGACTCGTCGCGACTACCTTAACATTTTAAACTTTATACAGCCGGGCATACATTTTGCTATTGAATTCGAAGCTATTTTTATATATTCTTATTAATAGAAAATCAGACCTAATTTTGGGTTTTTCTGTTTTCAGACACACAGACCGATACACATACATCACACACATTTCGGCCCAAAAATTATCGGTTATCAACTCTCTTGTTTACATTGTGGTTTTACTTTTGGCCAAAAAGTTAGGCACAAGTAACGATGAGTGAGCAGGCGCATTATTGTGATGCAAAATAATCCACAAACTGTTTCAACACCATCGAAATTTTCTTGGCCATCTTGGAACAGCTTGTAATACTTACAAACATTTTTTTTTCAAAGTAGATTCACCATATGCAGTTGTCAACAATTACAAACATTTTTTTTTCAAAGTAGATTCACCATATGCAGTTGTCAACAATTCAAATGTTTTGGTTAGTGTTTGTTTGTTCAAGTGTTTTGTAGCACTATATCAGATTTTTTACACAAAATTTTATGCAAATTCTTTGCTCCATTTTCTTTGACAGCAGAAAATCACCGAGCACACAAAACACGTCTAACGCTTCTGTCTCACAAAAAAAGGAATTGAATTGATCGAACGTACATAGCCCGCATAAATTCCAAAAGTCACCTCACTTTTTGAACGTACCTTGTATTAATCGTTTCATCACAAAATACACTTCACCACAACCTTCCAAGGTCAATGAGTGCGACAGCCAAATATTAAGAAATATAACGTTTAAACCTCTTACTATATTTCCGTATGCCTCAGATATAATTCCAAACTTGAATTTTTAAAATGAGGAACAATTTTTCTTCATTGAAATTAAAAGGTGCTTTCAGGTACAAAATACGCCTTCATAGTGGTTACAATCCTTGCTTAACCAAAACACATGTCCTATATGAATAATTTATTTACAAAATAATGCAAAAACGTAAATCACAAATAAAAAAATTTTTTGCTTATTAAATTATCTATGTTATTATTATTAGTAGTATATATTTGTTACTAAACAATGTTTTGCACATGATTCTTACTATAAAATCTCCTTTTATAGGTTTTCGTTTTCTACGACTTTTCGTTTAAATCTTTAATCCTTATGAAGAACCTTTGTCGCAAAAATAGTATATAATGCAACAAGTGTCGAGTCACTAGTATATTTGAACATTTTACCGCTCGACTTGAATTTTGACGTTTGCAAATTCAGACGTTTATGTCAGTTTTGCAAAAATATACCCAAAAACTAACGGCCATAGAAAAAGTATAATATGCAACATGTTTGGTTACTTGTTTTAGAAAATAACACGAATGCATTAACTGACATGACAGTCAGAATTGACAAACGTCAAAATTGAAGCCGTGAGAACACATCCAAAAACATCTCTGGAAAAAGAATGTGACGTGCTAAAATGGCACTTTCCGCACTCTAGATCGCAATAGCAAAGTGTGTTTTGTGTTATTTTAGAACAATTTCATTGGCTATAACAAATACGAATTACGCCTTGAGAAGTGACAGCAGTCCACTTGATTTTTTGTATACGAGAAAAATCGACGAGTCTCAAATTTGTGCAGCGGGTAAGGTACGTGCTCAGTTTAGGAGTCGTAAAACCCTGAGCGTACGTGTTTAGTGATCATCATCATATCGCAGAGAACTCTGCAGTACTTTATTTTGGGCGTGGTGTCTTGTGGGAAATCGCTGTGAGGCTCTACAGTCGCTGTCTACACGAACGTAGCATTTTTGATGGAATGGATTTTAGATAACATCTGCAAATGATTTAATACGAAAATAAGCCTGAGCTTTTAGGGTCATTCAACATGGTCTTGCAGAACATTGACCAAAATTAATTATTTTCGCCACCGGGTAATTTTGTTCACATTCGTTGGGTATCAGCTTCCTCACCATATTGTTTTATTCTAGCTTACCCTGGTTTATCCTCCTACGATTCGAAGAAAAATGGCTCTACAGAATTTTACAAAAACGATAGCAGTGATTGAAGGGCAATCCGAGAATCTATATGAATTTTTAAAAATTTTGGAAAAGTTCGTTTAAAAAAAAACAAGTGTATGTGTGTGCGGCCAAGATTACAAAAAAATGTTTTTTTTTTAATTTATCCGTTTACACCTCATGGAATACTTAATTTTCAATTTTTAATTTAATTTGCCAATTCAAAATTTGATTTTTCATTGTATTGTATTCTCATCATATGGTTATATTTTGGTGTTATAGTATTTCGTTACTTCGCCGTATCAGTGATTCTATTTTGTCAGATTGGTGCTCCGAATTTTGATCAAAAATCGTCTCCGTGTCTTAGGTGATCTAGATAACAGAGGCGAGTTCTACCTTAAATATATTCTTCTCATTCCCATTTGGATCCGGCAGTACTATAGCCATCTTTCTATCTTTAAGCGTTTAGGCCATCTTGCTTTGCTCACTATCGTCCCCATCCCCCAGGGTCGTAGGGTACCTGGTTACTGGCTGTTCGACACAAATTCCCTCAGTGAACCCGTAGTAAGTACCCCGTAGGGGACTAAAAACACAGTTTGCTAGTCGTTGTTATACTTACTACGCAGTCGGTGTACATATACGCTATACATATTTTCTTTTGGATGGTCCGTGATAATATAGTAAATTCTACAAACATTGTACTTATATTGTTTCTGTATGTTATTGTGTGGTTCAACTGAATTTAATTTCAGTTTCAACCGTTAAGATATGATATAGGTTTAGGTGAATATTATTTGTCAGTCGTGGCTCTCGACAATACACCGGGTTTATTTTATAGGGCGATTTTTCGGAAACGTCGTAAAGTATCACATGTGTAAAGTCGTCCCGGTTGTATTATCTTATCAATATTATTGTATTAAATGCTAACTTAACTCGCCAACCGTTTTATTACCCACTGCATAGCGAACGACATTTTTAGTTTTTTGGTCATTTCAACGTCTTAGTTAAAGAGAGAAGAGTGTGTGAGTGATTAAACATTTTGCGCCCAATTAAACATTGTAACGCACTATAAACCGATGACCCACCCCTACTCCTTTGGCTAAGTCGGCATATACTTCTATGTTAATAGCAACTCAAGAGTTATGTAACATAACTCAGGCAAATGCATTCGGTGATTACGTAGGGTTGGACTGGATCTTGGTGTACCATAGCTCACCAGATTTCTGTTTGTTTTCCTTAGTAAATATCAAAGTCTAAGACTAATCCTGCTGGCACAAACAAAATTTTTAAGACCTTCTGAGTTTGGTTTGCCTCTGACAAACTGCTTAACTTTACCAACATCCGTAAAAGGAATCATTTGCTCATCTCTAGCCACTGTAGGATGTCGCTCTCAGGATAAACAGGTATCTATTATTTTGTTGATAAGTGGTCTTACTTTCCATAATTTTTCCTCTATTTTTGGTTTTCTGGAACGTCGACGACAATTTTTAGAGACATTTTAAGGCTAAAAAAATTCAGTTCTAGTTATACTCTTAATTATTTTATCACCCTAGTGAGGGTAGTCCAATACATTTTCATTTCATTGTGTTCTGTGAAGTATTTAAGGTTCTTACAAGCACAAATGTCTGCAGCATCAGAATCGTTAAAATATATTTTAAAATAGTCAAAGCTTTTCGGTCGGTCGTAACTGGACTCCTCGATATCTGGTGCTTAAAACCTATCCGCGACTACTCAGAACACTGAGAGGCACATTTATTTATGTGTCTGAATGTGACAGATCCCGGTCTGCGTTTTCATCGACTTCCATTTCAGCGTCATCTGCATTTTCATTGCTGTTAATAAATATTTTATACACTTAAGTGTATACTATATTTTTTTGATTGTGGCACATGCAAGTAATAATAATAGTAATAAATATAACATAAAAAACATTTATTGTAGTACATGCAAGTAATAATAATAGTAATAAATATAACATAAAAAACATTTATTGTAGTACATAACATAAAAAACAAAAAAAATAACATAAACGGTACTTAGACAGCGAGACTAGGCATCCTACTACTTGTTAAAAGTTTTTCTTTATTTATTTTTATCACAAAATCATAAACACTACCAGCCAAGCGTCTGTTTACCAAAGGCTTCAAACAAAATATCTTACTCCCGTTTTTGCATAGATGGCAGTACTCATACATCCATTTTAATGTACAATTGAATTTTAAAGTATAAAATTACCGATTAGCTTAATAATAAATTGAAAATATATGGTCCATTTAAATAGACGCTGCATCTCAGGAGGTAATGATGAGAATTCTTGCTGACGTTATTACTATAACCTCAGAAAATATAATCACATTACTGACTATCTAAAACAATCGAAGTGGTTGAATCTCTCTGAAATATATTACTTGCACCTTGCCACTCAAGTACATACTGTTAAAGCCTGTCCATCTGCTAAGTCGTTTATAAATAATTTCAAAGATGTATTGTCAATGAGAAGAAAATGAATCCTTTCATTAAGTATATAAATAATCAATCGACTTTTTTTGAAAATTATGTATGATTGTTAAATTATAATTTTTATCATAATTTCTTAAAGATGGTTAGATGAGCAGCTATGCTCGACCCCGCCACTATCTTAACGTATTGTATAACATATCTCTATAGTACTAATGAAGACATTTTGAATTGAATTGAATTGAATTGAATTATCCGGATTTTTATTCATTTTTAGCACTACTGAGTTTTTCGTTCTTTCCACCCATCTGATTTTCAGTAGACGACGGTACATACACATTTCGAAGGTTTCTAGACCCCTGGTTAGCGAGTCAGTGAGGGTGCATGACTCCGTGCCATAAAGGAGAAAAGAAATAAATCACGTAACTTCAACCATTTTCATTCGCTTCCGTTTCCTTTTTAAATTATGGGTCTAAAGTTTTTTCACTTTTACGAATGCTGGGATTCTAATTTTAACTTCAATTATGGTTGACGTCACTGCCCAAATACGTCAGCTCCTCAACTTGTTCCAGATGTGCTCCCTCTATTTATTAACATTTAGTTTATGTACATACTGAACACACGAGCTAGTAATTTCATTCATCAACAACTGTGTGTTCTCAATGATTCAAATGTCATCGCCATATGTGATGTTATTCTCAGTTTTTCCATTTATGATCACTCCTGGAATGCTAAATACATTTTAAATAACAAAGGTGACAGTATACAACCCTGATGTACCTCCTCTTGATCTCTATATGATAGCTGAGATGCGGTTCAATTTTTACTAGAGCCTCATGATTCCCATACAGATTTTGAATAATTCGGATATCCCTCATCAATCCCAGACCTTCGAAGGAGTTGAAACAGTTTCGCATATTATCACTCACGTGCTGACATCTCTGAATCAGACCTTTTATTAAAACTCATCTGGGATTCACCAATTCCATGTTCCAACTTATTAGATATTCTTCCATGTATTATGCACAAGAATAGTTTTAAGACATAACTCATAAAGCTGATAGTCCGATGGTCACTACATTTTGTTCTATTCTTCATTAGATACACAACGATAACTGATAACGATAATCTTCTGGCATATTCGAGTGTTATATACAATGTTGAAGAGTTCTGCCATTGTTTATTTTAAATATTTCCTTGCTAATTGCATTTGGATCAGGCGCTTTTGCAATCATTTACTAGATTGATTGCTCTTTTGACTTTATTGACGGTCCAGTGTGTGTCATATTGTCAGAATCAGTTTGAAAATTTCAATTGTGATCAAATAATTCTGAAACATATGCTTTCCATTTTTGAAATTGTTGATGAACATCTGTGAGGCGCTCCGATCCTCAATGACACTAAACAGCCTTTTCGATCTAGTTACATCTCTTATTTTTTATATAGGTGAAATACATCGTGCTGTCTCTAAAATTCTTCAATTTCTTTACACTTCTTTTGCTTGTCGCATATTCCTTCTAATTTCTGATTGTATTCTCCTATATTCTCTTTTGTTGTTGTTTTTGTATTGAATTCTTAGAACCATAAGACGCTGTATCCCTTCTGTCATCCATTTTTGTTCTTCCTGAGATATTTCCTTATTTTTCTGAATTTATTTCAAAATATTTTTCGATTTATTCCACATTTCCTCAAAATCATTTTCGGTAGCGCTCATCGATTCAATCATTATTTTATTATGTTATAGAATTGCTGAATTTCTTGCTGACACAAATGTAGTCAGTTTGGTTTCTGACGAGTCTGCTAGATGTATCTTTAGGTGGCTTCCAAGTGTACAGGGTCTTTGAGGAAGCCTAAAGGCTGCATGAATGGCTACCATTTGCTGCTCTAAGCAAAAGGAAATTTCCTTTCTTACACTCAGACCATGCTCTTCTATAATGTCTTTCTGTTCTCTCTTTCCGATCTTTGCACGACTATTGTTACTATGGTTTTGCCTTTGCTAAATTTAACCAAGGTGTTTTTATTAATGTGTCAGATATTTATTGCCTTTTACTTGCGTTGAGAATTTAAAGTCCCTATAATTACTTGATTACTTTCAGTTTTAATTTCATATTTCCTTCCTTGTTTATAAAGGTTTCCCTCACAATCGAACAATACGTTTTCTAAAAGTTTTTGGTAAGCTAGCTAGACAATAATTCAGGTACCTCTCAAGCCAATATCAAAAAGTCGGTTTTTACTAACCGCGTTTAATAACCGATATGGCCGTTTGTCAATTTGACAGGTGAGATCGCTTTTTAGATTGAAAAGGGGGCGAAAATAGCTACACGGGGAAATATCAACTATCCAAAGTATAAAGCAGAACTCAAACAATGCTTAACCGATAATCTAATTACTTTAACATGAAGTTTTATTGCAAATCAATGTTATTTTATTATTTTCGCAAGGTATATCCAATCGACAGTCAGGATTTTATGCTTTATAAAACAAAAATCAATCAATGTTTAACCTATAATATAATTAATTAAACATAAAGTTTTATTGAAAATCATTGTTACAATCGACTGTCGAGACTTTATGCTCTATAAAGCAGAAATCAATCAGTGCTTTTCGCGTTTATTCGTTCACTGAAGAAGGAAATGTGCAAGACTATTTTGATTGTGGTAACGAGTTTCCTATGGATTTTACAGGTGAAATCCACGGGTAAGGAGATAAATGAGGAAAATTAATGATTGCCGTTAGAGATATCGGAAAAAGCTGTTCCGAATATAATATTCTAACCAAATTTCATGACAAAATTCGAGTTTTTAGTTTTCTTTATTATTATTGGTTTATTATTTATTCGAGAAACAAGTGTGCTGTGGAAAGTAATAATTTGACACTTGTGAAATCATTAATGTCAATCAGTTTAAACTTTCAGTTTGTTACATTGAATTCTATTTAGTGAGCAGTTGATTTTAAATTTAAAAAAAAAAAAACGAAATTTACACCCTTGGAAATGTTCTTTTTAATGAAACTGACAGTGTTACTCTTATCTGAATATTTTTATAAATTTATGTGAATATAAAAAATCAACTTAAAATAATGAAAAACAAAAATGCGAATTTTTTCAGTAAATGAGGTTAGAATAATATTCGGAACAACTTTTTCAAATAACTTTCTCTGATATCTCAATGCGAAGTAAAATAAAGAATTTAAATTTAATTTTCAGTTGAGGAAAAATGTGAACCGTCAATCTGTATGACTGGGTAAAACTTCAAATCTGTATTCATTTAGACAGCCAACATATGGGGGTGTCTTTATCTTAAATGAAACACACTGCATATAAACAAAGTCAAAATTCAGGGCTAAGATTCCAAGGAGATAAAAATTTAAAATATAATATAAATAAAAATATAATAAAATTATATTCCATATGTCTGTAATAGAAGTCGATTATTTCAAACTGTAGACCATTTTCCAGTATTTTCTATCACAACATTTGTTCCAGACAGTTCCTGAAAAAACTCGGGCATTCCCTACGGGGATGCCATTTTAGACGGAGCATAAACAATTTTTCCAAAATAAATAAAATTTTGTATGGAAGTTCTAAAAACACGGAGGTTTCTTTAATTTTCGAATTTTAGGAAAAAAACAATTTTGATTCGGTTTTCCTATGCCTATCTCTTTTCACCTTTGAAACCAAAATAAATATTCATGATTTTTACGTAATACATTGAACATAGTCATTTCCAGGGAAGCTTCGCATATAGACGTACCGAAACCAAAGAATATACTTAATAAAGCGTGTTTCTAGAACTCCGGTACAATGTCTTATCTATAAAACACCCTGTACATGACATCTAAAATAATATGTCAGGATAGAATGGCTGGGTCCTCCCCAGTACTATAATGATAAGAGATAGGTGATAGGGAAACCCGAACAAAATCTTCTTTATTTTTTGAGTAGAATTTAAAAATGAAATTTACTGGTGGTGCCTTCTAAAATAAGTAGGATGTTGCCATGTTTATATAGAAGCGGACCGCATATTTGAAAAAATTAGACCACTTCATCTTAGATCACCCTTTATAATTTATTATAAATCCGCTAGTCCGTTCATTAAATATTTTGTGCACCACCATCATTGAGACAAAACGTCATATGCCCAGAAAATGCAGTCGCAGTCAGCAGACACCTGATATTAAGAGTATTAATCATTATTAATCATCATCATCATTCTTATTTTCTCTTGTCTATTATTGAGCATAGGTTTTCTAAAGTAATTTCCATTTTCTCCTATTCTGCATCATCGGTCCATCTCGTATGGGGTTTCCACGTTGCTTACCCATCTGCCGTACTGTAGGCTCGCAATATGTATCCTCATATCCACTTTGCTCTTGTGATATGTTCTACTTTTGTTCTGTAAGGAATATCTTCGTTTCTAATACTATCTAGAGGTTTTTGTGAGTGCTAGCGTTTGCGCTCCATAGGACGGTCAAAACGCACCGATTGAAAGCATTTCTTTTAAAAGAAATAAGTATATCAGTTTTCCATATGCCGCCCATCCCAATGATATTGTACTAGTCAGCTTCGCTGTTTGGTGGTCGCTTCTTAGTTTAACTCTCATGGCGCTTTTGGCCGACCATGTTTTTCATCATTTTGATCTTCAGATTCCGAACCATGGCCCTTATTTTTGCAAAATTGACCGCTATAATAAGATGACATCTATACGTTTTCCTTGCAGGCTCCTGATTTTATTACTGTAATAAATATTTTCGGTGGTAGGGTGTCTTTTCCTGGTTGGAATCTATCTGATGTCTTCGTGCAATCTTATGGTTGATGTGGCGTTTTCATAGATGGTCCTGATCACGCCCGAATATCTATGGTCTATTCTACTTCTTTCAGTGCTTTGGGGATAAGAGGTAATTCAACAATTCAATAGTGTCGAAAGCTTTATAGAAGCCAACAAAAACATGTGCATGTGTTACCGTGTCCTCTAGTTCGTTTAGATTTAGCTATTATTCTTGTATTATTTGGTTAAATAAAATGCTGCGAAATCCTTACGCTTCAATCAAAACTGACCAAAAAATTTGAAGATTAGAATTCGATTCGTACAAGCAAGTAATTTAAAATAATTACTGATCAAAAGTTTGGGCTTCTTCTGCCATTTTGCACCAGGACTATATAGGTTACAGTGATTATTTAAGCAGATCTTGATAATCACACGAATTGGAAACATTTGCCCACTAAGGATTGCGGAAAGGCGCCTCCAACGGATAGAATCATCGGAGGTGAGAAGGCGGAACTCGGTCAGTTTCCATGGATGGTTTTGGTACGTTTTAATAAAGCGTATTGCGGTGGAACTTTACTCAACAAATATTATGCCTTGACTGCCGCTCACTGCACGAATGCCACTGTTGACAGGTATGCGCTAACTGCAATTATTAGCATGTAATACAAAAATACTTTAGCTATGTTGACTAGAGGAAAAAAAACAATATATTATCAAAATATCAGTACGGCTTTACTGCTGGGGTTGATACAGTGGATCCCATGTATTAGCTTTACTACAAGCATGGATAAAAGTAAAGAATGTCTTGGGGTATTGGGGTCTCACACTCAATATTTTTACAGGTATTGCAGAAATACGGTATCAGAGAAAATACTGTGAATCAAATTTTGTAATAATTGAAGTTAGGTATAGTACTAGGCCCACAGCTTTTTATTTTTTATATAAACACACTAAATGATTTAAACCTTTGGAGGAGAATAGCGCCATATGCAGACGGTACAGCCATAGTAATGGGTGTTTTTTTTCGATGTATAGAACTTTAAGTTGTTTAACAGTTGTCAAGTGATTTACTCTCAGATTGGTTTGTCAATTCATCATGAATGGACTCACGCCTGAACAACGCTTGCAAATAGTGCAATTTTATTTCGAAAATAATGGTTCTGTGCGGAATACGTTTCTCGCACTAAGTCCATTTTATCGTCGACAAAATCGTCCATCAGAGCAGTTAATTCGATTTTTCGCGTTCCCTGTGTTAATATGCATTGAAATTTATTATGAAACTCGTTATTCGACTCCTTTCTCTACAACAAAAGTGAAATAATAAATGCTTCCGAATGAAGAAATGGGAAATTAAAAATTTCAACGACAGTTGGACTACGACATTATACATAAAATATTTCTAGAATTTTGTATATAATTCAAAAATGAAGCAATATACCTATTAAACACGTTCTATATAATGGGGTTTTTTTTTTCGATGTATAGAACTTTAAGTTGGCATTACTGTTCAAGATGGTGACCGATTTAACAGCTGTCAAGTGATTTATTCTCATGGCAATGCATCATGAATAGACTCACGCCTGAACAACGCTTGCAAATAGTGCAATTTTATTTCGAAAATAATGGTTCTGTGCGGAATACGTATCGCGCACCACGTAAATTTTATCGTCGACAAAATCGTCCATCAGAGCAGTTAATTCGATTAACCATGGAACGTTTTCGCACTACGTTGACTCTTATTGATAACTCGCATCCCCAGAGACGCAGTACGGTGCGTACAGAAGAAGCTATTGCTGCTGTAGAGCGTAGCATTGAGGAAGACCCCAATGAGTCCATCCGCCATCGAGCACAGGAATTGGATCTGTGTCTATCCACTTTATGGAAGATTTTGCGTAAGAATCTTGGTTTACGTGCTTACAAAATCCAACTCGTGCAAGAATTGAAGCCAAACGATTATCAAGTAAGGCGTAGATTCGTCGAATGGGCCCAAAACGAGATTGCCGTTGTTCCCGATTTTCATAAGAGAATTTTGTTTAGCGATGAAGCGCACTTCTGGTTGAATGGCTACGTCAACAAACAAAACTTGCCGCATTTGGAGCGAAGCTAATCCTCAAGTGTATGTCGAACCACCGTTACATCCAGAAAAACTGACTGTTTGGTGCGCTTTATGGACTGGTGTAATCACTGGTCATCCGTTCGATTGTTCAACTCCGACTGGAATCCTGCAGACGTTTCGCCAAAATCTGATATATATATATATATATATATATATATATATATATATATATATATATATATATATATATATATATATATATATGATGACACTATACTCCGGGATATCATCCGTTCGCTCGTTGAACTCCGACTGGAATCCTGCATCCGACTGGAATCCTGCAAATCCTGCATCCGACTGGAATCCTGCAGACGTTTCGCCAAAATCTCACTTGGCATCTTCAATGCTCGCGCTCCGAAAACACTTCGAACACTTCGGAGCGCGAGCATTGAAGATGCCAAGTGAGATTTTGGCGAAACGTCTGCAGGATTCCAGTCGGCTGCAGGATTTGCAGGATTCCAGTCGGAGTTCAACGAGGGAACGGATGATATCCCGGAGTATAGTGTCATCACATTTTTCCATCCGTGAATCAATACGTGAGAATATATATATATATATATATATATATATATATATATATATATATATATATATATATATATATATATATATATATATATATATATATATATATTCTCACGTATTGATTCACGGATGGAAAAATGTGATGACACTATATTCCGGGATATCATCCGTTCGCTCGTTGAACTCCGACTGGAATCCTGCATCCGACTGGAATCCTGCAAATCTTGCATCCGACTGGAATCCTGCAGACGTTTCGCCAAAATCTCACTTGGCATCTTCAATGCTCGCGTTCCGAAAACACCCAGTGTTCGAAGTGTTTTCGGAACGCGAGCATTGAAGATGCCAAGTGAGATTTTGGCGAAACGTCTGCAGGATTCCAGTCGGATGCAAGATTTGCAGGATTCCAGTCGGATGCAGGATTCCAGTCGGAGTTCAACGAGCGAACGGATGATATCCCGGAATATAGTGTCATCATATATATATATATATATATATATATATATATATATATATATATATATATATATATATATATATATATATATATATATATATATATATATATAGAGCTATGGTTAATAACTCTTTCATTCCTGATTTGAATAACCATAATGTCCAGGAGATGTGGTTCCAACAAGACGGCCCAACATGTCACACAGCTCGTGCCACAATCGATTTATTGAAAGATACGTTTGGTGACCGCCTAATTTCAGGTTTTGGACCTGTGAATTGGCCTCTAAGATCTTGTGATTTAACACCGCTAGACTACTTTCTGTGGGGCTATGTAAAGTCATTGGTCTATGCGGATAAGCCACAAACGCTTGACCATTTGAAAGACAACATTCGCCGTGTCATGGCCGATATACGGCAACAAATGTTGGAAAAAGTCATCGAAAATTGGACGTTCAGATTGGACTACATCCGCGCCAGCCGCGGCCTTAATATGCCAGAAATCATATTTAAAATGTAATGCCACAAGATTATCTTTCGGATAAATAAAATTCATGTCAACCGAATAATCCATCGTTGTTTTATTGCAATTTAAAGTTCTATACATCGAAAAAAAACACCCCTTATTTGAGGGTGATATATGGCAAAAAGCAACGAGCAATGAGCAAGAGGGTTTATCTCAATCAAACATCAAACAGACCGAACTATAAAATATAAGTGTTAACAATATTGTGAATTCTATTGAACAAGTGACTTTTACTAAATATTTAGGAGTACAAATAGACAAAACTTGGAAGTTGGAAATTCACCCTACATACATTATACAAAAGATAGGAGCATTAATTTCTTACAAAAAATAATCGTGTTACTATATGGAACCTCTGTTTAGATATGGAATATTAATATGGAGTGGAACATATCAAGACAACCTTAAAAATCTTAAAGTAATGCAAAACGACATTATAAAGAATTTATTTTAAAACCAAGATTTTTTCCGCAAACAAATTTTACTACTATGAAATGAGTGACTTAACGTATGGCTGTGTTCACGTACATAAATCCTACAAGAGGAAAAACACTTTAAACCATAAATATATCAGGAAATGTAATACAAACCTAAAAACGAAATTGTAACAAGCGAAATGAAGGTACCGCAAATAAATTTAATGCATTTTCTATAAATTATAAAACAAATAATTTAAATAAAGTCTTTTTCATGACTTTGAAAAAATAAATTGCCTATAGAGTCAGTTTATTCAAATGCCACAGCGTTTTGAAAAAACTCGATACTAATAATTGAGTCTTGGATCTTTGGAATAAATAATCGGCTTACTCACAAATATGTAGATATATTTTTCAATTCTTCTCCACAGGATGTCCAGCATAAGATGATGGAATTGGGGATATTGGAAACTGTAGGAGATACAGCGTTGCCTAAATGGAAGAAAAGTAGCGTAAGTATATGCCAAAAAATAATCTAGTTTTGCTTGGTTTATTTTAAATTGATACCCTTATATAGATACAGGGTGAAAAAAATCCATTTTTTGAAATTTTCCATATTATAGAATCACAAATTTTCAGTTACAGTTTCCAATATCCCCATGTACATTATATTATACTGAAGACCCTGCAGGAAAACTTGAGTTTCTATATTTATTTTACATTTTTATTGTAAGATTCAAAGCTTTGTTGTTCTGTCGAACGAAGCAAAGAAGAAATCAAACCCCAACAATCTTTTTTGACGTGAACAAAGTTTTTTAATATCAGCGTTTTAGAACCGCCAAGTGTTAAAAATCACAATTTTTTAAATGTAAATACTCTAACCCCATAACTTTAGATTGCTGCTAATTGGTTCTTATCTCAGTGGGCTTGCCAAAGTAGTATGGAAATTTAAAACTACTTGTTGCCTTTTTTTGTAGCATAAAGGCGATCTTGGGAACTATTTTCAATAGATATCCATATTGTGACCGCGACAGTTGCGTCCCCGCCCCACAAATCATGAACATTAGTGAAAAATACATAATGCCTGACGCTGTTGATTTAGGCCTGCTTCAATTTTCTCAACCAGCTGAATATAACGGTAAATAAAACATATTTAATTTGCTTCAGTTCTCTTATCCAGGTTATTGACTTTCATCTATCGATTTAAAACACTAAATTTCACTTTTTAGTATGTATGAAGTGTTTTTTGGTGCTCGCATTACTCATTCGTTCATTACGTACATAACTAACAGGTGAATATTTTATTTATTTCACTCATTTCTCCATAATAGTCACCCCATGTATTTGCTTGACAGTGGCATATAATTGAAGAAAAAAATGGTACATAACTAAGAGGTGAATATTTTATTTATTTCACTCATTTCTCCGTAATAGTCTCCCCATGCATTTGCTTTTCATATACACCATACCTAATTTCGCAACCATGACTAATAAGTAACGGATATTTCTTAACAAAGTTGTTATATCTGTTTGGTGATATTAATATCAAATAAATTCTTATAAAAAATTGTTGGAAATGATCTTTTCCACTCAAGACATTGTTCTGTATTCGCGCTGAATTGAGTTTCACAAGAGGTAACTTATTCGCTGTCTTAAATTTTCTAAAATGTTAAGTTGCACTTCATTCACTAGGCTAGCGGATTAATGCCATTGCACATGCACAGCGTGCTGCACGTAAGATGATCCAATAATACAAAACAATACAATACAATACATTCTTATATTGGCATAATTTTTTTCTGTATGCAGGATACTTTGACTTTTCTGGTCAAATATAAATATTCAGAATACAATATTTGCCAAAAATTCAAACTTAATGTCAAACTAGTATGTGATGCCACTAGACTTTGTTTTTTATATTCGTATAAGCAGCCATATAAAGCTATCACCTATACAGGGTGTTTAAATAAGACGCGTCACTATTTAAGTAGTTGATTCCTCAGATCATTTTATAAATAAAGTTCCCATTAATGTATGTCCGGAAATGCATTGTTTCCAAGGTATATTGTGATCAATTTGAAAATATATATTTTTTATAGTATATTATTCAACAAGTGTGGTAAACGTCATTTGAGTCACGAGTTTTCGTGTTTTACAAATGAGTGATTTAAAAAGTGACTTGGATTCGTAGGAAACTAAACTGACGTTGTAAAATAACATTTTCCTCAAGCTGGATGGGTGTACAATTGGGATTTTACGGAAGGGAGTTGAAATTGGAATTGGAATTGAATTATCTTAAGACGGATCTGTTCGAAATTTGGCAGCAATGTTTCTGTTGATAAGCGCTAATTTGGCCGTAACTAAATAAAAATTCAAAAGTGGCATGGGGGGGGGGGGGGAATTTTATAATATTTATTTATAAAAATATACGCCACAGTTTCAATTTAATTTCTACACTTTAAGAAATGAAACACACGCTTCTTGGATTTCTAGACAACTTACAATTGGCAATAAGAAATGCAATAAGATTTATGTTGGCTGGCGTACCAGCTTATTTTTTTTCCTGTGGGGCTACCTTGGTTTACAGAACACCTGTGGAAAATGTGGAGCCTTAGAAAATCGAGTTATTGGTGCTTCAGTCAATTACGGTTCCGATTTCCTCCTTAATCTATTTTTTATGCAGTAACTCACAGCTTGAATGATGCAGTCGCTACAACAAAAACAAGATTGCTTTCGAAAAATCATCACTGGGCGGGGCAAGTTCGTAGCGCGTAGCGCGTAGCGCGAAGCAGCTTTTTATTGTAAAAGGAAAAGGCTTCGCGGTTTCATGTGGTAAAGGGACGCATTGTTTTTCTGTCGTGTTAACGCTGACCACTATGGAATTTTCGAAAAATCGATTTAATTTAATTGTGCATGCACCCTGTACGAAATGTCTTTCAGATCTCGTCGAACTTCAAAGCTACAGCAAACATCGGTAAATATTAAAATTTGCACAAATAATATCGTTGTCGAATGATATTTTTTCGAATATCTCGCGCCCCGTATAATTGACGAAATCTGAAACTCTCTCTCGTCAAATAAAATTATCCCATCTTTAACGGGTTTTCATTTGTCGCCAATAATTTACCCACAATAACGGAAATTTTTATGACATTTCAGATTTTTTGCCCATAAACGACACACCCTGTATATGATACGATCATTGTTCGAAGTAGAGGTTATAGCCCTGGATTTTCCACCTGTCCTGATTCAAGAATTTTTTGAAAATAGTAAAAGGTTTTCGAGAAAATAAGTTTTTTCTGAAACCATGCAGTGCGCCGTAATAATCAATGACGTCATCGCATCTTGACAGCCCCCGAAATAACGATTTCAATATGGATTTTTTCAAATATCCAGAGCAGCGAAAACACAAAAAAAATGTAGGTCTTGATACGGCCTATGACACGGTTTGAATGAATTAGCCATATTTTTTACGATTTTTGTAAAAAAACAATTTTCTGGGTCTTAGAGACTTGCCAATAATTTGAAAACCCTGTATATAATCGAAAAAATGCCCGAAATAAATGTTATTGAACGATTGAACGGATGAACGATTATGGAGGAAAACATATTTTTCTGGAAGCTAAAATTACCAATAAGAAATTTTCAAGCATTTTTAAAAAGTACTTGGTAAAATTGGATTCGGCCAAATTTCTATCGTTTAAATGTGGACATGGACTTTTACTTCTCTGCTAAATTTGAAGTTGATATCTGCAAATTTAGGACACCGAACACATTTTTCATTTAGCGAGAAATGTCGGGAAAACCTTAAATACAAAAGTTTGTGCTCTATATTCGGACTATATTGCAATATAAAAGAAAGTGAGATCTGAATCATAGTCTTTCAGTTAAAACCAATTTTCAATAATAGGGAGACCCATTTTTCAGTTTTTTTTTTAATTTGCGGCGCACCCTGTATATTTTTGAAAAGTTCAAGAATAAAAATTCCTAGAGTCATATCTTCTGCGTCTTCCGGTTTAAGAATTTTTTTGGTATCGTAAAGAGTGTTTGAAAAATGATGTTTTTTGAGACCCTTGCATACGAGATTTTTTATTTTTTTAGAATACGTCCCTACCCCCTAGCCCTCCCATTTTCAATAGGTTCTGTCACTGGGCAAAGCTGCATAGATGTGCCAAATATGAAGTGCATTGCTTCAAATTTCAATTTTGTAGCTCCAACCAAAAGCCAAAAGACGAGAACGGAAAACGGAGAACGGACAGACAAAAACAATTTTTTTTTCGACGGTGATCATTTCTGTACCAAGTACCCGTAGGACTTACCGTTACCGAGATTTCATCGATTTTTCGAAAGTAACAAGCTGGTCTGGGTACCTCATCATTTACTTATAAAAAACCAGTAATCGAAATTAAGTTTGTAAAGAGTATTCAAAAAATTGTGGATTACTTTTTATCTTAAATATCCATTTCCATGACGAGAAAAAAATAAATTTTCTTCAGAAATGGTAGTTCCACAACCCGTCTTTAAACAAATTCGTTTTATTCAGTGAAAACCTGTCTTCAAAGTCGCCTTTACAAATTAAAAACTGGATAAGTTTTGAGCTCTGTTATAATTTAAATGTGGCGTTTAATTAATATTTAAGATAAAAGATAATTCATAATTTGTTAAGATGTGGAGTAATTTGTTTTTGTCTAGAACACGTCCAACCGATCTGCTTGCCTCGTGGAGATATCGTCGACCATCCAGAAAACTACTTAACCATTGACAAGCATTTTTTAACTATATCCGGATGGGGTTACATAAATCATAAAGAGAAAATTAGGTCACCATATCTTATGTATGCGAAGTTTGACATTGTTGACTTGGATGGTTGTCCAGATTGCTGCGGCCCAGAAAGAATATGCGTTGGAGGTAAGTTTGGTAGATCCACGGGGTGTTTGGAATTCGACTCTTGCCATCGTGGATGCGGTAACCTTTTTCTTTCCTTATGGAGACCATATTGGATGTTTGCACTTTTGTACTCTTATTCACCGTCTACAAGTTACCCTTCTAGTTTCAAAAATTCTACATATTAAAACAAATGTGTTTATACCATAGTAGGCTTTGATTTTTTCAGTTGGTCACGTGCATATAGCCACTAGAGATATAGAGAGAAAAATTTGTGTTGAAACTGCCGTTTAAATATAAAACGACTCAAAGTGTAGGTTAGAGGGTGAAATGTGGAGGCATGCACGGAAAATCAATACTTACAAATCATTACCAACAAAAAAATGTTCGTTTTACAAGTTTTCATAAAACTATAATAGGAAGGAAACACGTTTGCCTTAAAAAGATCAAGAAGTCCTTTTTTCTTCTTATCAGTCAAACCTTGCTTTTCCTGTAAGTACTTTTGATGGTAACTTTGGTATTATCTTTTATATCGATCTTGCAGAAGTTTTTATGGCCAGCTGTGAAATTTTGTTTGCTGCTCGGTAAAAGTGCTGCTGAACCTGTTTCAATGTCAAAAACAGCTTATAACGACGATGCGATGGGAAAAACTCAAGTGTACCAGTGGTTTATTCGCTTCAAAAATGGCGACGAGTCAATTGATGACCAACCTCGTTCTGGATGTCCATCAACTGTTCGAATCGACGAAAATATTGAAAAGATTCAAGAGTTTGTGCTCACAGACCATCGACAGACAATTGAACAATTATCAAAGATTAGTGGGTTGTCTTTTAGCACGGTTCAGCGAACTTTAACCGAAGATTGGGGAATGAAAAGAGTTGCTGCCAAGTTTGTTCCTCGTGTTCTGACTGACATGCAAAAAGAACATCGAGTTGAAACATGTCGTGCTTTGAATCAACAGCTTGAAACGGATCGAGATTTTCTTTCAAAGATCATTACTGGTGACGAGTCATGGTGCTATGGTTACGATCCAGAGACGAAGCAATAGTCCAGCCAATGGAAGACGTCACTGTCTCCCCGTCCAAAAAAATGTCGTCAGGTCAAATCAAACATCAACGGCGTAGTTCATGCAGAGTTCGTTCCACCCGGTGAGACCGTTAGTCAAGTTTTTTATCTGGAACTTTCAAGAAGATTGCCCAACAGTATTCGACAAAAAAGACCCGATTTGTGGGGGACAGGGGACTGGTTCTTTTACCACGATAATGCACCTGCACACACAGCCATTTCTGTTAAGCAGTTTTTGGCTAAAAATGGCATGGTTCCTCTGCCCCATGCACCTTACTCGCCTGATCTCGCTCCGCGTGACTTCTTCTTATTTCCACGAATGAAAAGGGACATGAAAGGACAGCGACTTGACAACATTGAAGAGGTCAAGAAAAAAACGAGGGATGAGCTGTCGGCTAAAGCCAAAGATGAATATAAAAAATGTTTCGAACAGTATTAGTTGTAATGGAGAGTATTTTGAAGGGGATAAGGTCGTTCTGTGATTTTCAAAACCATATATAGTTTATAAAAAATGATTCCGGCTTTTTTTCGATACCCCCTAGTATGTGAGGATCTATTTCTCTTAAAAACGTTTTTTTCTTTTTAAGGGAACTTAACAAGAGTTTGTTTCGGAGATTCCGGATCGCCGGCGGCGCAACTGCAGAAGTTGGACGATGGTCCTGAAAAGTACTTTATTTTGGGGACCCAATCGGCTGTAGGAGGATGGATGGGAACGTGCGAGGAACTAGTTGGCCTTTTCATAAACGTCGTTCATGAGTTGGAGTGGGTACTGGATAATGTTAATAAATCGTAATACGAAAAAGAATGAATTTAATAAAGCACACGATCATATTTGTTTTCTTCTTCCAAAAGAGCTAAAATTATACATTGTATATTTTTTCAAAGTTTCTTTGGTATGAATAGTAATATAGAGATAATAAATTAACTTAATTGGGTTTTTTACCTATATGAACTATCGCGACATTGCTTACTATCACGAAGTTAACCCAACTTTTACAGGACCTGTGAAGTTTCAGCTTTAATAGAAGCCGCTCGATAATTTCAAAAACAACATAAAACTATTTATAGGCTCGGTAAGCAAAGTTGAATACCATATTGAATTAAAGCCCTTAAAGCTCTAAAATACTTTTTGGAAAAAAATGAAAACCAACCAACTAAGCAAGTTTCCAAGGCGGACCATTAGCTCTTACAGCAACCCTTGAGCCTCAACTATTTGACTGCATGACAAAAATGCAAGTGATCAGAAAAACCGCCGCGAAAAGTCCAAGATTATTTTACAAAATTAAAAGAATTTCTGAATAAAACAAGTGTGAAGAATAGGGAAGAAAGATTTTGGAATTGCCAAAAAACAGGCCTCAGCTACTTTGTTAAACCAAATAAAGTTGTGATTGCAGTTGGAAAGTGTAAATGTAACATACATTTTGTAATGGTTTCGTTATTTTTATTAGATTCCTCTTGCTCAGTCTGTTGTATTATTCATGGATTGGGAAATGAAAACGGAATTGGTCTTTTTACATTCGCTGCACACACCAGTTACATTTTGCACCTCCAGATTTTTAGGGTTTGTAAATCATTGAAGTCTCACTGGCAGAAGAGCTTGGCTCAGTCAGAATAGTCTGATAGCGGGTGTTTTTTTTCGATGTATAGAACTTTAAGTTGGCATTACTGTTCAAGATGACGACCAATTTAACAGCTGTCAAGTGATTTATTCTCAGTTTGGTTTGGCAATTCATCATGAATAGACTCACGCCTGAACAACGCTTGCAAATGGGCCAAAACGAGATTGCTGTTGTTCCTGATTTTCATAAGCGAATTTTGTTTAGCGATGAAGCGCACTTCTGGTTGAATGGCTACGTCAACAAACAAAACTTCCGCATTTGGAGCGAAGCTAATCCTCAAGTGTATGTCGAAACACCGTTACATCCAGAAAAACTGACTGTTTGGTGCGCTTTATGGGCTGGGGGAATCGTTGGTCCGTACTTCTTCAAAAATGATGATGGCCAGAACGTTACAGTCAGTGGTGATAGGTATAGAGCTATAATTACTAACTCTTTCATTCCTAAATTGAATAACCATGATATCCAGGAGATGTGGTTTCAACAAGACGGCGCAACATGTCACACAGCTCGTGCCACAATCGATTTATTGAAAGACACGATATTTTACACACTGTTTCAAAAAGTAAAAAATTAAATTTACTAGAAGCTATGGAGATTAATAAGATGAGAGGTTCGAATGTATTACTTAATGACCAACTGGATTTGAATGGATCTCCCTTGTTAAATCTCAAATTAATACCTCACATTAAGTAATTACTACCTGTTTTGTATTTATGAACATCGGTACCGTTTGATATTCGCATTTGATAAAGGCACGGTGTTGCCGAAACAGCTGTCATTTAAATATATTAATGTGAAAATCTGAACAACGTTTGTTCTTATTTAACTATTTTAAATGGATTTTCATCAAGTAAAAGCCACTTCAATACAATTTTGAGTTCTACTTCCTTAATTTTAATATTCCATATTTTTTTAGAAAATCCTAAGTGTTCTACACATGAGGTTAAAAAATTATCGGGAAACACCTATAGTAAAATTCAACTTTATAAGTTTTTAAGTTCCTTCCAGTGCAGAATTTAACCGATGAACATAAAAGGCAAAAGCTCGAATTTTGCACTGAAATTTATTGAAGATCCCAAGAAGATTAAAATTCGTTCACAACAGCAGGTGTGAAGAAGAATAAACATTTTTGGTCCACCAATAATCCACCCAAAATGCAGGCAGTGAATATCCAAGGTCGGGCGTCAGTTAATGTATGTTGAGCAATATAGTGGGCGGACCAATTATATACGAAGAATCCTTGAATATCCAACGATATTTAAATTTCCTTGCAACAGAAATAGAAGATTTGTTAGAAAATGTGCCAGTTAGGAATTATTTAAATTTAATTTGGTATCCAGATGACGCACCTAAACATAATGTCCAACCGGTTACCGATTATCTAAATAATAAATATAGACTTTGGATAGGTAGATAAGGAACTATTAAATGGACTGCCAACAAGCCGACCTGAATCCTTGTGGCATTTTTTTGTGGAGATACTTAAATAATAAAATTTATTATAATAGGCCTGAAAGTTTACAAATGATAAGAGAAACACTTAATATCGTTTTACAAGATCTGATTTTATCAACTCGTGTATTAATAGGAAATTGAATGTATACAAAATAATGGATTTTAGGTGCAAAATGTTTAGCATTAATTATTAAGATTTTTATTGTTTGAATAACATAATATTATTATTTTTATCGTTTTTCTTCCTCAGTATAACCGATTTTAAATATCTTAAGTTATTTAACTTACGCTGCAGATCTTTAGTTTTGATTAGTGCGATGCGATTTGAGCTAATAATATGTAGGGTATGTTGGTGTCATTTTGACAGTTCGACGTTTGTTTTTTCATAAGATAATAAAGCAAAAAATCTTCAAACTTTTGTATTTACACTTTTTTTCTATTTTTCAAAATTAACCCTGTAGATGGGTGTCAAAATATAATGATTAACCGTTAACGTTAATAAATGGCAAAGAAAATAATCTCCATTACTATTTGTCTCACTCTAGACAAAATTTCTTTTAGAAAATATATATTGACTGTCTAATTAGAATCAAGTTAGATTCAGTTTTCTATTTTAAAACACCAATTTCTTAAAGCTGAAGATGAATGTAAACCAGGAGTTTAAATCTAAACTGCCAAACTAATATTGCGGACTGTTATCAGCAAGGACTACGCGAATCTGTTGTAACTCTGGTCATTTATATGAGACCATCAAAATTTGCACTGTAGATTTAGGTTTGACGTAAGATATGTTCTGCAATGCGGCGTGTGTCGACTCCAACTACGAATATTCGCGTCTGTTTTATCTCATTATAACCAGATCGAACCATGAAAATTTGTCTGTTGGACATAGCCTCTGTTTCATATAATATTGTAAACTAGGGACAAGCTTACGATTCTGAAGGTGTGTTGATATAGGAAAAGAGGCAGCTTAGGCTGATTTTTAAACTCTCTCTGAGACAATCCTGCAGAGAGACTTTTTAAAATACTCTTAATCACACATAAAGAAACACCCTGATGTCTACATATACCCGTCATAGAGAACAGTTAATCAAACCAAAACTTAACCTGATGTTTTATGTAAAAGTTCCCTAAATTACGCAGGACTATACTATTATAACCTGCTTCCTCCACACCTAAAAAAAATATTTAAAGCATTCGGAGCAATCAAATGACATGTAATTGTTTTCAAAATAATTATTTTGTTATTTATGCCATATTCTATATGAACAACAAGTGATAAGACAGCGGAGATACGGAGGTGGTCCCAAAATCGATAGTTTGTGATTTCACCCTGTATCTGAAAAACCAAGAGAGTCACGCTAATTTTGTTGACGGCATCTTTAATTTCACAAACATGTAGCATAAACCGCGACTCGCTATCTTTAAAAATAACTGAGATATCTCGTAAAAGTGTCCAAAGTGGGACACCGTACGAACAAAAGAGCTGTCTGGGCCTTGGTAAAGATCTATGGAGGCGTTGTTTGGAAGTGGAATCTCCAATTAATCTCTCCATCAGCTACCACCACTATATAGGTGTAGGTAGCCGATTAAAAGTATTAGGAGATCAATTCATTGAACCCGAGGAACTATCCAAACTCCGCATGGAAGCGAGTGTACTTCCTTCAAGGGTTCTTCAAGGGTAGCGAGTGAAGTTGTGCGGTTATAATGTTAGGACAGGGAGGTAGTGCAAATAGAACAGGTAAATATCCTATAGTTGCAGGGCCTTGCCTATGATGAAAATACAGGCACTTCTGAAGCCAACACCCAAAAAACTCGCTTCTAATCAATAAGAACTTGCAGCGTTTAATTACCAAAATAAATTCATACTTTAGCAATTCGACAGTTTTCAGTCTGGAGCGGTTTTATTTTATCAAAAATTGTCCTCTTAAATTTTTCGGGAAAATGCGTGTTCGGTGTATACATATCGGTGTTTAGACAGAAAATATGGTCAAGTGCAGTTCAGTGCAGTTTAGTGTATGAAATTTAGTGGATTTGCGGAAAGTCTTTTATATAGGAGCTCTATGTGGAGAGTTTACAATTAGTGCCTTAACGGTAAACAGTTTAAAGTATCATTGCAAGTCAACGTTTTTAATAATTTTTACACGGTATATTCAGTTGAACAGCCAGAACGCTAGCCCCCCATAAAGCTGAAATCAATCAATCCTTATCGCGACAATATAATAAATTAAACATAATTTTTTTTGCAATTCAATGATTTTTTATCATTTTCAATTATTTAACCATTGAATAACGAAATGTGGAAGAACGTTTTCCTGGCTGTACTAACGAGTTTCCTATGGGTTTTCCATACGAAATCGGCGGGTAAGAAAAAATAGATGAAAATTTGTGTTTTTTGTTTAAATTTTCGATAGTTTATACGAAATCTTTTATTCAAACATAAGTAGAGAGAACTGCAGTTTAATGTAACTATTTTTTAAATGCACAACCGTATTATATCTATGCGGCTTCTAAGTTTAATACTAAGATTTCAATAAAGTGTTTTAAGTTGAGAATTATAACACTTGTTTCTACAAATAAACTCTACACTCTGAAAATTCTATAGCGTTTTATAAGTCTATAATATTAGTGGATTAATTTCAACTCTCTATCACTCTCTAGTGGTTTCATAGTATTTGAAAGAAACTCGTCACAAACTGAGAAAACGCAGTTGCAGCCTTTGATATATCTTGGCAGTCACCTTATATTTCGACTATCAATGGTCAATCCTCCGTCAATTTTCTTCTTTGGGATGACTTTTCTTAATATAAACTGAATTACTGATAGACTTTATCAATCGAAGTAATATTTTACGATTTGAATGTTTAGGTACGAATTTGTCAAGGAAAGACCGCTTAGAAGAAAAATTCTAGTGACCATATCAATAATTAAGCAATAATTGCCATATCTAATTAAATGAGTTGAAGACAAATTGAACAAGAACTTTATATTTGCAGTTTTGTCGAATACTTTAATATTGCTGTAAACCTCCAAGGATTAAACATAAACACAGTATTAACACAATTGTGACATTCTTAAATTCATATCAAAATTACAGCAAGCAGAGTAGAATCTGAAGGTTAAATGCATCACCTAAAAATATCTAGAATCTAACACATATTGTAATTTCTGAAACAAAAAAAAACTAACATCATTTAATTGAACTGAGGTGGTTTTTACTTGATGAAAATTCATTTATCAAAATAAATAAGAACTAAAAGCCCAGGCTCTCCGCCTCACACGCGGGGCGATCCTCAAGCGAGGCTCTGGCCCTATATGCCTATGCGAGGAGCCCTCTCTGGCTAAGGCGTCCGCTGCCTCATTGCCCCGGACACCGGTGTGACTCGGCACCCAGACCAACGTGACCTTCCTCTCATCAACCACTCTCCTCAGTACCCCTTTACACTCCTTTATCAACAAGGAGCGGGTACGCACTAACTTCAACGTCATAAGTGCAGCCCTACTATCCGAGCAGAAGAAGACCCTCCTGCTTCCGTGGTTGAGCCGAAGCACTTCTCTGGTCGCTATCAATAAAGCGAAAATTTCCGCCTGAAACAAAGTGCAGTACTGTGCATCTTCTTTTTTATGGTGAAGATGACCATCTCCACCTTGCGCGGATTGACAGCCAACTTGTTGTCCAGGCACCATTGTGAGAATCTTACCAATGCCCCGTTCAGGAGTCCCTGCATCCTCCTCACGTCCGTCCCCTGTGTCATTATCACAAGGTCGTCTGCATATGCCTGAGCATAGACCCCGTGGTCTTCACTCAGAATATGCCATATCTCGTTCACCACTAGGCACCACAGAAAGGGGGACAAGACCCCACTCTGTGAACAACCCCGTGATGAACCGATGGAGACCTGCTCCCCACCCAGTCTTGCCTCGACCCTCCGGTCTTTTAGCGGATCCACCTTACAATGGCCGTCCCCACTCCAGTACGCTCCACCGCTCTGTAGATCGAATACAGGGCCGTGTTATTGAAGGCCCCATCGATGTCAGCAAACACGCACACCGACAGCCGTCCCGAGCCCATACCCTCCTCCAACCTGGAAGTCAGATGGTGAAGAGCTGAGCCCACAGACCCGCCACTTCGGTACGCATGCTGAGGTGGCTCTAAAGGGGCCTCCAGCTCCACTCAGTCCCTCAGATACCGGTCCATCAGTCTCTACAGAGTGTTCATATAAAGCTGGTGAGGCAAACGGGTCCGTGTAGTCACTCTTCCCTACCTTGGGAATGAACACTACCCTGCTGTGTCTCCACAGCTCGGACACGTATCCCCTCGCAATGGAGGCCCTGAACAGATCCATCAGCGGGCTGGTCAGGAGACCTCGGTCCCTTTGCGGCAGAGCCGGGAATACTCCATCCCCGCCCGCCGACTTGAAGGGGCCAAAGCTGTCAATAGCCCACCTCAGCCACAATTGTCATGTCAAAATATATAATTTCGTGAAAACCTGAACTTTTAGTTCTTATTTATTTTGACAAAAACATTCACTTTAATTTATAAATACAATAACCAATAAATTTGAAGGTCATAATTTCTTCCGTTTCCAGAATCTGTTGAACTGGATCCGAATGAGTTTGATATTGAAGACATGATTTACTACCGTGGTGGTATTCAAGTAAATTAAACTAATAAGTGACATAATAATAATAACAATAATAACGTTAATTATTTATGGCACAAACATAAAATATAAAAACATATGTATGGTTCCGAAAGTACGATAAAAAACGCCTGTGTATCAGATTCTTTCGCAAATTCTGTTCTACCTACGAAACTACTTAAAATAATAAAACCTAGTTCAAGGTAATAAACTTAAAATAATCAATATAATAATAATAATAATAAATTAATAACAAGAATAATACAATCATTATTATAACAAAAATAGGTTCAAATTACAATAATTTGTAATTAATATATGTCGAACAAAAAAAAAACAATTTCTGGAAGAAGTAAAAACTGTTGAAGTCTAATATTATCTAATAGTGACAGGCGGAAAGGGAGGAGAATGAGTGAAATGAAAGAATGGAAAATGCCTCTGTAGTTGATTATTGAGTTCCAAATAGATCTTTTCTGCACATTTGCTTAAATGTTTTTATTGACCTGTTTTGTCAAAAAAGGTTATCGAATTTATTGGATGGTCAGTGTCATACGAAAAGTACCTTTTTAGAATTTATACTATGCAATCTAAAATATTTTCTTCTGTCATTTTAAGACGGACTTTTCTAATTCGCGCAGGGGCTATATAGATTAAAGCGACTATTTCAGCAGATCTTGATATGCACGAGAATTGGAAATATTTACCCACTGAGGAATGCGGAATGGCCCCTCCAATAGATAGAATCATCGGAGGCGAGGAGGCGAAACTCGGACAATTTCCATGGATGGTTTTAATAGAATTTGAAGACGTATATTGCGGTGGAGGCTTATTAAACCAATATTACGCTATAACTGCCGCTCACTGCACCAATGTCACGCTTGATAAGTAAGTACTAACTGCAATAAATAAGACGTAATACAAAATTACTTTTTACCTTTAACTCTTAAACCTTACAAACATACTCTCCAAAAGCTAATGTAATTGTTATTATAATTTCATGTTCTGATAATTTATCGCTTAAGCAAACTGTTCATTGTATAAAATATATTGACATGTTACCTAAAAAAACATTTAATTATCATTTATTTCTACTTCTATTTTATTTACAATATTTAATATAATATAATAGTGTTCGAAATTAACTACAGATATATTTAACATAAATAAAATTTAGACAAATCAATTTTAGACAGAATTAACGCTGTTCATGAAATTTTAAAAGATACCTAATTAATCAAATTCATTCAAAAATCTTTCCAATAAACGTTAAATTTTAATGGATATCTTAGACTGGAATGTATGACAACTTACTTATGCAATTTTTTTCAGTCTTGTCTAAGCCGATTTCGACAGCGACCTTATCGAAGTCATCAAAGAAATTCAACTATTTGACTGAGAAAAGAATTTGATTGAATTAAGAAGAAAAAGGTACTGTTTGATCCAGAAAGAAAGGTTTTCAGTTGTCATGCAGATTTAGGTACAATAAGTGGCGAAAAGATCGATTTTTACAAAAAGGCCCAGAAAAGAATTTGATTTAAATAAAAAAAAGGTACTGTTTGACCCCGAAATACAAGTTTTAATTTGTAATCTGCAGGTTTCATGTAGATTTGGTTACAATAAGTGGCAAAAAAGCCGATTTTGACAGCCATCTTATCGAAGTAATCAAAGAATGGCCACTATTTGACCAAAGAAAAGAATTTGATTGAATTAAGAAAAAAGGTACTTTTTGACCCCGAAATACAGTTTGATGTAGATTTCGGTACATTAAGTGGCGGTGAAGCAGATTTTGAGGAAAATTTGATTGAAATCAAGAAGTACACTCATTTATTTGATCGATAATTGAATTTGATATCCGGTGTTTTCGGTACAACGATTGACGAAGAAGCCGATTTTGACTGGAATTTGACCGAAATGGGCAAGAAAACTGAACTATTTGACACAGAAAGTGAGGTTTTTCACTGATAGTTGCAGCGTTGCAATCTTCACCTGAATCTGATCGAAATCAAGAATGAAAAACTTCCATTTGACACAGGAAGAGAAGCATCAAACCTGCAGTTATCAACTTGAAACCTCCTATTCTGGATTAAGCAGTACTTTTTCTTATTTATTTTGATCAGATTGCGGTCAAAGTAGGCTCTTCCGAGAAATATTTTAACTAAAACGGCATTACACCCGCAGATATCCACTTAAAACCTCTCATTCTTGTTTATTTCTACTTTTATTTTATTTACAATATTTAATACAATATAATAGTGTTCGAAATTAACTACAGATGTATTTAACATAAAAGAAGCGAAAAAATCAATTTTAGACAGTCTTAACGCTACTCATGAAATTTAGGCAAGCCGTATAATTTTCTGCTCTAAATCTGAAAATTAGACTGGAAAATATGTCAACTTACTTTTGCAATTTTTTCAATATTATTCACAGTCGCTTTATAAAAAGTAGACTAAAACTGTCTTACATATTTTGATATACATTCGCAGATTAATCAGCACTAATTTTTCCCAGAAACTTCCACATATTATTCACAAAGTTTCCGGATTCCTCAGGTTGTTGCCAAATCTAACGTGCTGATGTTTCGTCCGGACCCGAGAAGATGATTCACGATTTCGATTTATCAACAACAGGAGGAATCCAGAAGATTCGTAAATAGTAAATCAGCACTAGACCTGGAAACAAAATCTAAGCTTCTATAGGGTTATTAAAATGACCTTGGCATACCGCAGAGTTCCTAGATCATTGGCTTTACTTACTCTCCTTAAATGAAATTCGAAAGCAAATATTGAAATTTAATTTAGAAAACACCAAGGAAAAATTATATCTATATTACATCGAAGGGAATGGCACTCTGATATTGACGGTACTGATTTAAATGATTTTGAAAAAAAAAATGTTAGTTTAAAGTTTGGCGTAACAATAATTAATTAACAGTGCTGAATTCCCTGCATCGTATTCAAAATTGGTAAAAAAATCCTTAAAAACGTTTGTGCAACAAAATGTATTTATTTATTGATCACATTGGTTTCTATTAAAAAATATATTTTGGTCTTATACAATCTACCACTATCTGTTAGTGTTTTGGAGTAGCTCAATAGATTCTGGAACAATAATAATTGAACTGAGGTGGTTTTTACTTGAAGAAAATCCATTTAACAAAATAAATAAGAAGTAAAAGTTTAGATTTTCACGAAGTTATATATATTCACAAGACAATTGTTTCGAAAACACCGTGTCTTTATGAAATGTAATATTTACAAACCACCTGCTACTATATATACCGAAAAATGACAGTAAAACCTTAATCAATGTTGTTGTGAGAATTTAAGTTTAATAATGGAGAGGTATTTAAATGTAACTGTTCGTTAAGCATATGTTTCATTTTGTTAATGTTTAATTTTATACTTTTTGTGGCTGTATGTAAAATATCAAAGTCGTCACCAAAAATGTGTTTTTCTGTGTTTAAGTGTGCAGCATAATTAGAATATAGACTATTGTTTTCAAACGCTCTTTTATGTTCGTTAATGCCTTTCGTGAAGGATCTATCTGTTTGTCCAATATAAATTTTAGGACATGATCCACATTTCAACCTGTAGACACCTGATTTTTGCGATTTTGGACACTTCGTTTTATTGTTTTGTAAAAATTTTCCTATTGTGTTTTTAGTTCTGAAAGCTATTTTTAAACCACATTTTGACAAATGTTTTGAAACTTTTTCACTGGGTTCTCCTCTGTATGTAATTGTTCGTGTTCTGTATTAGGTTTCGGATAAATAGTTTAGTGTTGTCAGCATTTGTTTTTTATTTATAATTTTATCGATAATGGACGGATTGTAGCCCTTGTTCAGTGCAATTTGTTTAGTGATATTAAGTTTTTTGTTGTAATTTTCTGTTGAGAGTTGCGTATTAAGAAGTGTATAAAAGAGTGAAATGCAGCCATTTTGTGTGGTGATTTGAGCTGTTATGTATGACTCTGTCCGTGCGTAAAAGTTGATGGTAAATGGAAAAATCTAATTGCTTTTGCGTTTTTGTAACAGTTAAGTCAAAAAAATTAATAGAGTTATCCTGTTCAATCTCGATAGTGAATTTTAAACGATTATGTAATGAGTTAATGTAATTTAAAAAAGAATCCAATTGTCTGTCTTTGTTGGACAGACGGTATATATAGTAGCAGGTAGTTTGAAAATATTACGGTGTTGTCGAAACAATTGGCATGTGAATATATATTTTTTGTGAAAATCTGAAGGTTAGTTCTAATTTATTTTGAAAAATAATTATTCCACAAAAAAGGGCATCAATTTCCGGAATTAGCAGCTCAGATTGTTGTAGAGAATATTTTTAAAAATTCAATATGTTTACTCTCTATATCTATTTGTTGATAATGTTCATAAAAACCTCGAAAAAGTGTTTGCTTTTTTCTTAAATAAACACTACTATTCATGGGAAGAATTTTAAGGTGAAAATATAAAATGATTGGTTTTTAATTATTTTATTAGCATGTTGTATGTTAAATTTCAGGCACTAAGTTTTCTATATTGACGATCCCATAATGGACTTGTGCATATATTTTGTATACTTTGTCATTCAGAGAAACTAATAAATGTTAACCTTACCTTATCTTTCACAGTCTTCCACTAAAAGCAATTTTGTGATCGTTGGCTGTCTTCCCTTCCAAAAAAGTAGCACAAATCGCTCATCTAAAAGAACGTTTCGTAGGCCTACTATACTAGGATCTGTTTGTACTTTTTTTTTCTGAACAACAAGACGCGTTCATTCTTTAGTAGAAACAAAAAGCTAAAATACTTGGTAAGTTATCTAATACCAAATCATCGTCGTAGTCTCAAAAGCACCCAGTTAACCGACGCCAAGTGTTTATTTATTGCTAGAAAATCACAATTTTTACAATCAACGTACTCCAACCTTATGCTTGTTGAATTTCCTTGTAGCATAACCGCGACGGTGGGAACTATCTTCAATAAGTATCCATATTGTGGCGAAAAGGGCTGCGTGTCCGACGCGCAAGTCTTATCCATTAATAAAACCTACCTAATGCCTAACGTTGACTTAGCTCTGCTTGAATTTTCAAAACCGGCTGAGTATAACGGTAAGTCAAGCTTAACCCATCTGTTTTTCTTAGACAACTTTTATGGGCTACTGACACATATTTGGTTATGACAATCACCATAAAAATGAGCCCTTGTATTTGCTTATCAGATGCACCGTTCCTAATAAAAATATTTAAATTAACTGTGCAACATTTCGCATATAATTAGTAACATGCGTTTTAATAATGTTCATTAGTTATTAATATTAATTACTGTTTAAAGTTTAAAGTGCTTTTCGAAAAGAATTATTTGCTCGCAAACCCTTGACGTCGTTGGAAAAATTAATTACTGGGAAGGTGTATGAATAATCTGCAAAAGGCCATGAAAATCGTCGTTCTTGTGCATAAAATATTAGCTGTAAATGAAAAACTGTAAAAGATGGAATAATTTGGTTTAAATAGTGTCGCAACCTGTGTCGGGAGCTACAATTTTCATATTATATTCTATCTACTATTATACAGGATGCGCGAGATCTTTGAAAAATATATTATTAGAAATCGCTACTTCTGGTAGAAGTTTTTATATTTATCAAAGGTTGTTGTAATTTTAAAGTTTAGCTAGACGCGAAAGACACTTATACCAGGTGCATCGTGTACCGAATACAACGACCCACCACACGATCTGGAAACCCATAGGAGATACGAAAAAATTTCGTACAAAAGTTTCTTGGACTCTCCTGAAGATTTAAAATATTATAATTTTGTTGGTACAGGGTGTCCCAAAAGTATCCCCTCCGACATCAGCTTTGTTATTTTAAAGGGAACACCCGGTATATATTTTTGGAATTCTTGGTTAAAATAAATGTCACTTTCATAGGAAATTCCTATTCGAATTCTTGATAGTTTAGGATAGATAGGATAGTTTGGATTGCTCCATATAAAATTGTGTTGCTGTGTTGTGAGATGATGCACTGCTCAATCAGTTTGACAGATGCGCGTCAGCTTAGACAGGGTGTCCATATAGGTGGTGCCGTTTTTGGTTAGCGAATTCAATTAAGGCGCTATATTTTTATCCAGATAGGGCAAGGGTGTACAAAATGACATAGGGTTTTGTAAAGTGATTTTTTTTTATTCAAAAAATGATTTTTCTTAACAATAAAGGTAAGAAATGCAAGATCATTTATCCTATACGTCTTTATTTACAGAAAAAAATAATAAAAAAATAACGATACTTATGATGCTTAAATCTGAACCAAAACCTGCAAAAGTTCATTTTACCCACACAGGTGGGTAAAATGACACAACACAAATGGGTAAAATGACAGTGTTTTTTAAAATGGTGCAACTTAAACGTCTGTACAAATTTCATAAACAAAAACTTTGGTCTTTTTGTCCACACCTGCGCATTCAGCATGTTTTTACGGGCGAATTTTAAGGCAGGAGGAATGTAACTGCCCTTAGTGCACATGCAGCAAACTAAAGTAACATGCGATCCTTTTTCGCCACTAGTAATGGCACTAACTTGCTTCCCGCCAGATGTTGCAAACACTTTTTGAGGACGCTGAACTGTAAAAAGAGCCGATTCGTCAACATTATATATCCTCATAAGCTCTATGTTTTCCTTCTTGATAATATCTTTTAGAAGAGCGAAGAACTGGGCAACTTGGGTTTTATTAAAAGCTTGTGCACTTGCCGCGGATGTTGCCTCTGGCTTACGTAAGGGAATGTCAGGATTTCTTCTTCTAAACCCTCGTAACCAGTCTTTGTCTGCGCTCTTCTTTTGATTATTAAAGTTGTGCTGAAACCCATTTTTAACAGCTAATTGATAAGCCAGCTCTAAAACCTCCTTTCTTCTTAACCCAAAAAATCTAGATTCCATTAACTTTAGATGTTCTACTAACTCCCGTTCTTCATGCTCCGGAAAAACTGATTTAAATCGCCCAAGCCGTTTTTCTCCTGATTTTGATGCTCTGAGCCATCCCATTTCATTGTTAGCAACAGCTTCTATAGCTTTTTCCATCGAAGCTGAGGACCATGACTGCCTCTCGGTCGGGCAAAACGACTTACTATATCATTTTAGCCACCTGTAGATTATCATTTCACCCGACTACTTCACAATGTATAAAACAGATTTTTTTTGGGTAAACAAATTAAATATTTTAAGTCTATAAAAGGGCAGACATTAATAAAACAATTTAAATAAACCAACCTAATTTGCGAACTGTAATGATAACAAAACGCCACTAATCTGCTTTGTTTAAAAAACTTTTCCTGGCGAAAAATAAATTGAGGTTAACGATCCGTCTCTTGACCTGTTAATCGGCGACTAAACGTTCGCAATAAGTCGGAAAACACTGCTATGTCATTTGACCCTACTATTTCAATTTGTACACCCTTGCCCTATCAATTCTAGGATAAAAAATAAGTTTAGTTGGTAATTTATATTATATTTAAATTTTGCTTACTTTTTGAGATATTGACATTTAAGATAACACCCGTATAAAATCTTGTTGAATTTCAAGCTGCCCACATTAGGTCACTTGTTGGCAATATTAGGTATTTTTTAAATGGCAAACACATGATCTTACTTCTTTTAAAGATACAATACTCCAGATATACGAATAAAACTTATTGCTAATAGTACAGATTTAATAAAACTTCAGAATTCATTTTCAAAGAAATATTTAATAATTGAATTATCTAGCTTCATTGAAAATACCTAATAACAAAAACAAATAATTAAAGTTTATTGGCTAACTAACCAAGGTAACAAATTTGAATAAATAAATTTATAAAAAAAAGTCAACTAAAATGTGTTAGTGAATTGGGTCCATAAAGTATAGTTAAAAATGTTCCTCTCAATATCACAATGTTTAAAAACGTAGTTGGCTATGACATCACAATTTTTTTAAGCATTAAGGTATAAACAAACTTCTAGATTTCTGTAGTAGTTGTTTTTCATATTTCTATTTAAAAAGTTCATAGTTGTGAAGTTTTTTGTTAGTATATATTTTATTTGTATTTTAAATAAGACAGTTTTTTGGTTAACCTATAAACTTTGATTATTTATTTGTGTTTTAGGTATTTTCAATAATTGATCTGAGGTGGCTTTTACTTGATGATAATCCATTTATCAAAATAAATAAGAACTAAAAGTTCAGATTTTCACGAAATTATATATTTTGACATGACAATTGTTTCGACAACAACGTGTCTTTATCAAATATATATTGACATTTGTGAAAATCTGAACTTTTAGTTCTTATTTATTTTGATATTTTGAATCAAGCTAGATAATTTGCCATTAAATGTTTCCTTAAATATGAATTCTAAAGTTTAGTTAAATCTGCTAAAGTGTGAAAATCGTTTTTTCCCAAAATCTCCAAGTATTAATGGACACCCTGTATTGTTAGCAATAGGTTTTATTCGTATACCTGGAGTACCACATATGTAAAAGAAGTAGTATCGGGTCTTTGCTATTTAAAAAATACCTAGTATTGCCAACATGTGACCTAATGTGGGCAGCTTTAAAATTAACAAGAATTTAAACGGATGTTATCTTAAACCTCGAATATCTCAAAAAGTAAGCAAAGTCAAGCTCTAAAGAAGCCAACAGGATGATTGGCAATTTCGACTCAGCAAAAACCAACGCATGAGGAATTTTAAAAAAATAAATTTAAGATAAATTACAAACTTACCTTGTTTTTTAACCTAGAATGGATATCTGAATAAAAATATTATGAGATTTTTTGTTAATTAAATTCGACAAAACGGCCCCACCTATTTGGGACAGCCTGTATAAGCTGAGGCGCGTCTGTGCGCATCTTCTCCTTAGTCTATGGTTAAATTTTAATACCTGAATCAGTAGCGTCATAACACAATTTTATATGGGGCAATCAAAATATGAAAAAAAAGAATCTCAACTATGCAAAATTCGAATAGGCATTTCTTAAAAAAGTGACCTTTATTTTATTCAAGGATTCCAAAAATATGGATATATTCAGGGTGGTTTAAAATATCAAAGTTGATGTCGGAGGGGACAGTTTTGGGGCACCCTATATCAATAATATTATAATATGTTAAATCGTCAGGAGAGTCCAAGAAACTTTTATACGAAATTTTTTCGTATCTCCTATTGATTTCCAGATTGTATAGTGCATCGTTTTATTTGGCTCGCGGTGTAGATGCTCAACAGCACTGTGATTGATTAGCAAAAATTAGGTCGCTTTTATAGGGATATGTTAGGAATTTGACAGTGTGTAGATTCACTTTTTTAATTACAGATAACGTCCGTCCCGTCTGCTTGCCTCGTGGAGATATCGTGGACCATCCGGAAAAGTATATATCGGCAGGCGAGCATTTTGTGACGGTAGCCGGATGGGGTTCCATAAATAATAGATTAAATACTTACGTACCAGAACTTATGTTTGCGGAACTTGCTGTTGTTACAACTGATGATTGCCCAGGTTGCTGCGGCCCAGATAAATTACAAATATGCGCCGGAGGTACGTTTGTTGAAAATACGGGAATTCGGCTCTTGCCATTAGGATCTTGGAAACAGAAAACATTTTGCTTATTAAAGTAAAGTATGGCGGAAAAGTAAGCAAATTTTACAATAGCCAAAGACCCCTAGATTGTTGTTGCTTGATTATTTTGTTTATCGATATATTCTCACTGACATTATTTACATACTATTCTTTAGTGTTCAAACAGTGTATGAGTATAATTCCAAGTCTGTTCATAGATATAAAAAAGTGACTAACTGATACTAATTAAGGAAAGACCCGGGCAAGCTGTAAGAATGAAATATGTTTTGTTAGGAAAGATACTAAATACTATTTATTGATTTATATATGTATTTATGTTTAAATCTAAAATAAAATTACAAATTATTTTTATTAGCTACTTAAATTACTTCAAATTATTCACATAATATATCATTACCACTATCGCTATCATTGCCTGTTCTAATTGTTATTTGTTCTATATTATTTGCAATATGGATATACGATTGTTCTGCTTTTCTAAGGACATTGGAATTAACACGAGGAACAATATTGTTACGACGCCTTAAAACTGTATGCTCTAGATTGTTGCTTTTGTGTCACATGAGGAAGGGCTTCTAATCAACTGTCTACTGTGATAACTTGCATTATCCATTACAATGACGCTATTAGGAGGAATGTTTGGAACTACATTGTTTTCAAACCAACTTTCAAATAAATCAGCGGTTGTGTCTTCATAGTAATCCAGAGAAGAATCTTTAATATTTTTCGCAGACAGAGAAAGTCCATTTGGAATCCAATCATCTTTAGAGGCAACATGCAAAATAGTTATTCTTTTACCTCTTTTTGATGGCGCGTTTGTTTTGCACTTATCAGTTGAATCAACCCAACCCTTTTCCGGGGTATCATAAGTGTCGAACCAGGTTTCATCCAAGTAAATAATTTGCCTTTGTTGTTCTCTGTAAATCCTAATTTTTTCTAGATATTCCAGTCGCAATTTCCGAATTTTAAAAGATTCAATTAAAACTTGCCTTTTGTCAATTTTGTTGTTAAAAACTTCGGTTTCTATATGTTGAGGACATTGTTACGACGAATGGCAGATTTCAGTTGGTGCCAAACATGTTCAATGGGATTAAATATATATAAGATGTTTTAATTCTGGCTCTAGTCATTCGGATTGAGATAGTTTTACGGATCTGTAAACAAGAGAGATGATAACTGATGATTTTTGGGTCTGATAGTGATGTGACAATGCATTGAGGTAACGGTCTAGATTGAGTGAAGGGAGTTGAAATGCACATTCGCGGTGGCTTTTTCGAATATGAAGGTGGAAACGTAACCTAAACACTCGATAGTTTGATTTGAACTAACAAGGAATGAAATCTAAAATAATACTAGTAATAAAGAGAATCAATTAGAGATTGTGAATATGTTACCATCATCCATTATAGAAAAGCACTGGTTGTTCATATTTATTATTGTGTTAAATAGGCCAACCCGGTTTGTAAATCTTCGGGACTCCGTAGAAATGACGAATTTCGAACCATGAAAGAGGGGATGGATTCTAACATAGAAGCTTCAATAGTAGACTTAAGATTGCGTTTTTCGTTAAGATAAAATCAGATTTACCACTTGTCAAATACCTCTTAACGTCTTCGATCAATTAAAGGCAAAAGAACATAAACGAGCCTGATGATTACAATAAATTAATTCATCGACAGTTGTAGAACATAGTCATGAAACCGAATATCAAATCGGGACCTGTGCAGCTACTTAGTCATTTCCCTTATTTCATCACACGTGCGTTTCCTCCACTGAGTTGTTACTAGTTCTTCATATTTTGATTAGAAATTTATTCGAAGAGTGATGGTCCCTGCCTCGCACCGAAGCAGGACCATTGAATCACATTGAATTTTATAATGTTCAGTTTTACTTTTCTTGGTCTTTGCAAGTAAGTAAATTGCTCAGGCCAGCAACGACATTGTTTCCGCCATGAATATAGCGTGTACTTGAATTCATTTACTCTTTCGAATGACCCATTATCTGTTGTTAGGTTTGTGTCCTTGTGTGTCTCTTTTCGACCTAATTTCATGTATTCAGTTTACTCTTTATTTACATTCAGATTTATTTTCTTTCTTCTCTCTTCTATTGCTCTCTTCTAAAGCAAATCGTCTGCGTATGCTGAAGCCTTAAATTTCTTGCCCATTTCTACACCTTTATTTATATCATCAAGTCCTCTTATCCCATATTCTAGAGCTAGAAAAAGTCAGCCTCTCGAAGACCAGTATTGACGTTGCTCCTATAAATAACGAGTTTATTTTCTACCAGAAAAAAATTCAACAGTCCATAGAAATCTCCGTATTGTTTGCCGAATTTTGTCTTTGACGGATCAAAAAAGTTGAGAGATATTTGGACAAGCAGTAAATTTGGTTTTAACGTTATATTTGATTAAACTAGTGAAATTACTCCGTTATCCCCAATTTCCCATGTCAAAACCTCGTCTGCTTATTAAATTCACCGTAAATCTAGCTTTGCTTTACTTCAATACAGGATTCATCATACCCGTAAAGAAATAGACCAAATCAATAAGATTCTTTTATATCAACATCTTTTATCCTCTCCCCATCCGAGTTCGATACCCTGACAAAGTTGAAAATCTTCGTTTATCTTATACCCAGAGCAACATGAAAAATTTCGAAAAACTAACGTCAATATAAGGAAAACCATCAAACTTTTCTGTGGTGAATATATCATCGCACCAATAGTCAGAGACAGAAGAATTAGTTTTCGCAAAAGGTTCCAACTAAGAGGAAATCAACAACTAATGAAATTCGATTTGGTGTTCATGAACACAACTGACTATCATGAAAAAATTCAATATATTCTTACAGACGAATAGTATAATCAATTTGAAAAGATTCTATGGACTGAAACCTTAACTCAGAATCTGGAAAAAAACCGGTCACCCCTCGTGACTCTAAAATTCCTCGTCTCTAAGGACTTCCTAAGATTTATAAACCAGGATTACCCCTTCGATCTATTGTCAGCAACGCTGGTTTTATAACACGTTTTCTAGAAAAATAATTAGCTTCTTATTATAACCCTTTTCCAAGAAAACTAACAGTTTAGTAATTAATTTTCTTTCATTTACCTGAACTATCCAAAAGTCATTTCATTAGATCCAAACAATAGTCTGTTCAGTTTTGAGGTCGAATGGTTCTTTACTAAAGTCCGTATTCTTGAAACTTTCAACATTATTTCATATATATTAAAATCCAAGAATTCATAACCAAACCTTCTCATGTTGATTAAACAATATTTGTCTGGAACACATATTTTTTTTACAGTCAAATTTATGAACAAACATCGGGAACAGGTATTGGTTTTTTATTATTACCAATCATTGCGAATATATTTATTACAAGCCTTTGAGAAAAAAGCCCTCGACACCATCCATCAAAAACCAAAATTATGGAAACGCTACCCTGATGATACTGTTATTTGGACTCAAAGATTGAAGCGCCCCTCCTAAACTTTCTTAGCAATTTGAATTAGAAGCAAATAACAATCTCCAATTCTTAGATATTCTTATTAATTGAAAATCAAACCTAATTTTGGACCTTTCTGTTTACATTTTCTTCGACACCAGAAAATCTCCGAGCACACAAAACATGTCTAATGCTTCTGTCTCACAAAAATAATTAAAAGATATGTTCCAGATGTGTACCAACAAAACAAAAAGCATATCGAAGATCGTATGTACATAGCTCGTCCAATTACAAAGGTCACCTTATTTTTTGAACCCGCCTCGTATTTAGCGTTCCACCACAACCTTCCAAGGATAATTCGCCCGACAACCACCCCATACTGTTGTAATACCTTACATTCAAAACATCACGGCCCACATATTAAAGGTTCTTAGGAAATATAACGTTTAAACCAGATCAATCTCCCAACATCTTTGATCAATCAAAGTCAATATTGGAGAGACAGGACAAAAAATATCAACTAGTCTCAAAGGACATGAAACCGCCTTAAGACTACGACAAATAAACTCATCAGCAGTTGCCGAACATTATCATGAAACCGGACATAAAATCTTATTCGATAATCTTAACAGCGTTTAAGGTCTTCCACCTTTCATCCGATACAATGTTCCTGTCTCTCCTTTAGCTCCGCTCCTCTCAAACATTTACAGAGCAGAATGCGGGCCAGCGTCGTATTACAGTAGTCTGCAGAAGTATCTCAGTGAAGCTCTGAAGAAGTTAACAGGAGCTTGAGGACACATCAACAAGGATGAAACCAGACGATTTGTAAATCTATGAGTTATTATTTATTTATAAAACGAAGGGGTCATAGGTCAATAGAGTTACTTACATACAAAATAATCTTTCACAATACATACAACAGAATTGTCGCCGTAAAGAGCAGTCAGAGAACAATAGTCGATTGCAAAATTACACATGCTACCCATTAACAAACCATTTATCTTTAAAAAACCCCAAGGATGTACAAGAATTGCGAAATACAAAAAAATAATACAAAGAATCTTTTGTACATTTATCTGTCACAACTATTAAGTTATCAACAGTCTCAATCTAAATAAAATTTGTCTCACAAAAGCGATATTCTAGTTTTTCTGCAGCTGCAATATATGGATGTCAATTTCCATTAATACGCCCTTTTTTCAGGGAATAAAACATTCGTTTGTTACGGAGATTCCGGATCGGCAGCGGTGCAATTACAGAAGTTAGACAAAGGCCCCCCCAGGTATTTTATATTGGGGGTCACATCTGCTGGAAGCGCAAATAGGACGTGCGAAGAAACGGTTGGCCTCTTCATAAACGTCGTTTTTACTTTAGAATGGATACTGGATCATGTCAATAAAAAGTAATAAAGAAACGAATTTAATCTAATCAACAAAAGTGTTTTTTTTTTCAAAGAAACTATCACAGTCTGTCGTACGTATGTAACTTCTGGATTTTTCCTGCATCGGATATTGACTCCGTCTTGCAGACGTTTCGTCAAACGTGCTGTTGACTTGACTTGACTTGACTTGTTCAGAGTGCAGTCTAAAACTCAGGGTCCATTGCTCTGCACATAAACAGTGAAAATAAATCTAAATGTGTGTGGCAAATTGTTGGGAAGCGTAATGATTAAAATTCAAATCACTCAAATCAAACGGGAGATTCCCGGCGATCCTGGTACCATCTGTTCTAATTTTGACAGGTTTATCACTGAGAGGGATCAGAGTTTTCTAAGAAATCAGACAAACACGAAGTTTTTTTGTTCTCTTCAGCAATAACAAACTCTTCTTTTTATCACCTTCAACACCACAGGACATTTTAAAAAATATTTCAAAACTAAAGAACAAGAAAATGCTGAAATTCGTTCAAGGAAGAGGTTGCAGGACCCGTAACATTCTAAACAATTCGTTTAAGTATGGCAACTGCTAAACAAAAACAGACATAAAAACTTTGACTACATTTTCTGAAATTTTTGGGAGTAGCACAAGACTTCTTAATTTCAACATGGTTACCTTAGAAGTACATTTGTTGAGACTGCAACATACAATTTTGTGGATAAAATTGTGAACAGCTGGAAAAATGGGTACGTCCAAAGCATTTCATATCTTAGACTATCAAATGTTATTATAAAAGTTAGAAAGAGATGGACATGATGGATCCTCGTTAGACTGATTAAAATCGTACACCTAATGATGGATGGGAGAAAATATTCTACGGAAGACAGCAGTTTTCACCTAGGCATTGCAAAGGGCGGTGCTATGTGACCAATTTGGTCAGTGAGATCCTTCGCAACGAGTCACACCTTGTAAATTTTGCAGACGACTTAAATCTGTTAATGATAGCAGAAAAATTGAGGCATACTTCCGTAGGCTTTCACGACCGGTATCGTAACGAATGAGATCTTCCGGGCTCTTAGGCGCAACAGTCGTCGCACTACAATCTTAGTCTACTGAGGATGACTGCCACAGTAGCAGTTGAAAGCTTTGGTAGGAAAACCAGTAGACCACAGGCCGATAGCCCGGAAAAACTCATTAATGCCTTAATTTTTTACTGCACAGACTCCGAAGAGATCCCACTTCGTGCATAAATTGATTTTTGAAGTTACCAGTAGAAATAAAGCTAGAAGACTGACTGATTTTTTGCTTAAAGGCAATAATCTTTTGGCCGTCCATCTTCTTCTTAAAGTAGGTAATTAATAATAACAAAAACAAATGTGTAGGCAACAGTTTGCTTTTTTATTCCATTGTATAAAATATGTGCTAGTACTGTTACTAAAATATGAAATAACCAAATTTAGATAATGTTGAAAACCTATGAAGGGATTACATTATTATTTTTGTGCAGCGCTTAACTTTTTAACTTTGACGATTGAATTTTTTCCGGATCGAATTTTGATTATATCGAATTACATCTTGTGTCCTGCCTCGCGAAGATGATTAGAAACTGCTAGTATTGTTACTTGTCAAAATAAGGCGTTCTTTTAATCTGGTTGATTTGATCGGAGGCATTTCGAGCATCCAGAAATACAACACTGAATTGATTGAGGGTCTCTTGCGGAATTACTTTTGGAAAACAAGAGCGATTAATAACATAACATTAATATTAGGCCTTTTCGCCTCTAGGTCAGTCAATGAAAATTTGCAAGTTGCATGACAAACGTATTAAATAATCTACCAAAAGAATTTTAAGTATTAAATATTAATTATTAATAAATAATTTTTTTTTGTTTGAACTGTTTGAGATGTTCATTATTCATTTGTTATAAGATGTATATTTACTTAATTCAATAAAGACATTTATTATTATTATTATTATTCACATTTACAATTTCACAGTTTTCCTAGTGCGTCAAGCTGTCACATCGGTCTATTGACAAGATGAAGAGCTTTCTGATAGCATTGACAATGCCTTTAGCGCCGCATTGCAAAGATTCCGCTTACAATACTGCATGTGTCTAATGTAACTGATTTTTGAATTGGCAAATAAAGTTTAGGTTCTAGATTAAGTTCTTCAAGCTTTCATGCTATCATTAATAAACGATCAATAAAACATTAATTGTTTACGAAGGATAATAATTATTGTAACAGTTCAATATGTCCTCCGCTTTCAGGAATACAAGTAGTATAAAAGGTTTCTAAGTACATAATGACGTTTCTAACAGATTCAGTCCCATTTAAATATCCGATACCTTCTATTATCAACGTTTAATTTCTCGCCAGTTGAGGGTTTGTGTTTGTAGACTAAATCTTTAAATGTACCCCATAGGAAAAAATCTAGTGGTGCTAAGTCGTAACTCCTTGGAGGCCAGGCCAAAATTTTAGTTGAAGTTGTAAATATGGACGTATCTGTCCAAATAATATTAGCAAATATATTTTCTGAAAAGTGTCTCTCCAAAACATTGTTGCAAAAATCTAACCTGATGTTGTAATCCTGTTGCTCTAATTTCTGACAGGTGTTTATTTGAAGACACGTTCGAAGCTTTGTTCTTTTGACAAATGGCATTTGACACGAGAACGTGTTGCATATTATACTTTTTCTACGACCGTTAGTTTTTGGATACATTTTGGCAAAACAACAGGAATACATTCACTGACATCTCGGTCAGAACTGACAAATGTCAAAATTCAAAGCGTGGGAAATAGCTCCGAAAACATCCGATAGCTCCCAAATCCGTGCGGTAAAATCCCAGAAATGTCCGAAGTGGCTCGGATTCGTGGGAAACGAAACTAACGTGGTAAAATTACGCTTCCCGCACGCTAGATCGGTGTGTCATTAGGTATTTTACAGACAGGAGTAGAAAAAATATTTGAATTATGACAGCAGTCAACAACAAAACACGCGTCCAAGGAGGCAGCGTTCTAGCACTTGTTTTGTTTAAACGCCGTCATAGCCAGCTTACACTAACTGAATTTATATGGCAACAGCATATTATTTGTGATGGACAAATGTTTAAAAGGGAATATATCGAAAAATAAAAAAAATATTTGGCATATACAACCTTAATGTTTAATGCTAAATATGACAAAATTATAGAAATAGGTAGTTTCCTTTAAAGAAAAAGTTTTTTGGCAGTTTTTTTAAATTTATTTTTAATTTTATTTTTCGCGTTCCCTGTGTTAATATGTATTGAAATTTATTATGAAATTCGTTATTCGAGTCCTTTCTCTACAACAAAAGTGAAATAATAAATGCTTCCGAATGAAGAAATGGGAAATTAAAAATTTCAAAGACAGTTGGACTACGACATTATACATAAAATATTTCTAGAATTTTGTATATAATTCAAAAATGAAGCAATATTATTAAACACGCTCTATATAATGGGTTTTTTTTTTCGATGTATAGAACTTTAAGTTGGCATTACTGTTCAAGATGGTGACCGATTTAACAGCTGTCAAGTGATTTATTCTCATGGCAATTCATCATGAATAGACTCACGCCTGAACAACGCTTGCAAATAGTGCAATTTTATTTCGAAAATAATGGTTCTGTGCGGAATACGTATCGCGCACTACGTCCATTTTATCGTCGACAAAATCGTCCATCAAAGCAGTTAATTCGATTAACTATGGAACGTTTTCGCACCACGTTTACTCTTATTGATAACTCGAATCCCCAGAGACCCCGTACGGTGCGTACATAAGAAGCTATTGCTGCTGTAGAGCATAGCATTGAGGAAGAGTCCATCCGACATCGAGCACAGGAATTGGATCTGTGTCCATCCACTTTATACATCCAGAAAAACTGACTGTTTGGTGCGCTTTATGGCCTGGTGGAATCATTGATCCGTACTTCTTCAAAAACGATGATGGCCAGAACGTTACAGTCAATGGTGATCGATATAGAACTATGATTACTAACTCTTTCATTCCTACATTGCATAACTATGATGTCCAGGACATGTGGTTTCAACAAGACGGCGCAACATGTCACACAGCTCGTGCCACAATCGATGTATTGAAAGACACGTTTGGGGACCGCCTAACTTCACGTTTTCGACCTGTGAATTGGCCTCCAAGATCTTGTGATTTAACACCGCTAGACTACTTTCTGTCGGGCTATGTAAAGCCATTGGTCTATGCGGATAAGCCACAAACGCTTGACCATTTGGAAGACAACATTCGCCGTGTTATTGCCGATATACGGCCACAAATGTTGGAAAAAGTCATCGAAAATTGGACATTCAGATTGGACTACATCCGCGCCAGCCGTGGCGGTCATATGCCAGAAATCATATTTAAAATGTTTATCTTTCGGATAAATAAAATTCATGTCAATCGAATAATCCATCGTTGATTTATTGCAACTTAAAGTTCTATACATCTATAGTTTGCGTATAGGTAGTGTCCCAAGATAAACGGCCCACCCTATACACAAAGTAGAATTTAATTGCAGTGCATAAGCTTTTCTTACAAAGTGCTATAAGTAGTTTACATACATTTTGAAAACATAAAAAAAAATTGTCTCTGTCTCAGTCTCAGTGAAGATGGAAGTTTCAAGCAAAATTGGCAGGTATGGTCTGTTCATAGATATAAGAAAGTAACCAATTGCTTTTGAATGGGATTATCCAAGGGTGGTCATTAACATACAATGCAACAACATTATTACCTAAAATTGTATCCCTGATATAATAATAATGATAATTGTGTGTTTTTTTTTTCCAAAATGAAGAATTTTTTCTCGTAAAAGCTTTTCTTTCTATTCCTTACCAGCCTATTATCTTTAGTTTTACCAGTCGTAGACCTATCTTGTAAATTTTCATATATTTTCTATTGTTGAAACAAATATTTAAGTTCCCTTGTTGATACATCATAGCATAACCAATTGTGGACATTTTAATAAAACATGTTCTTTGACTCGCCTAGCAACCAATAATGTACTGTTAAATCTTATATATTGATTTGTCAGTAAAATGGTTGCTAGTTTTGGAAAGCTGTAGCTTACCTGAACTTGGTTGTTTTCTATAAAATTTATATTGTTTTCATTAAAGTGATACTTACTTATATGGTCTGTTCATACATATAAGAAAGTTACCAATTGCTTTTGAATGAGATTATCCAAGGGTGGTGATTAACATACAATGCAACAAGATTATTACCTAAAGTTTCGGAATTTAAATTCAGGTAAAATTATGGTCCGTAATAGAAAATAATTTTATACCTACCTGTGTTTAATATTCTTTAATTTGGGATACTACTTAGTTTAAGTTTATTAGTAATCATTCTTATTTCGTGTGTAATACAGCGTGTGTTGAATCGTGTGCGAATTATACAAAATATGTGCGAGTCTAGTGTATCTCAGGAGATGCTCCCACCCAAATGTATTCTATTGACACTAAGGAAGTTGTAAAAAATGTTTATTTGACTCTCATTGAACGTGGTGCCAGCAAGCAAGCATCTTTAGAAGAAACGGCCATATTGACGAAAATTCCAACATCAACTATTTGGAAAATTGTGAATAATCCTATTTCAGCGAGGAAAAAAAGAAGCGACGCTGACATTTTCTCGAGTGTAGATGAAAGTGATCAAGATGTAATACTGCGTAAAATCTACCAGTTATACGAGAAACAAAGCTTGCCTACATTAGATATCTTAATTAGGGGGCTTGAAAAAGATGAAACCGGTGTTAACTGTGGCAGAACTACCTTATGGAAGTGTATTCAACACATGGGTTTTAGATTTAAAAAAATTGACAAAAGGCAAGTTTTAATGGAATCTTTTAGAATTCGGAAATGGCCACTGGAATATCTAGAAAAACTTAGGATTTACAGACAACAACAAAGGCCAATTATTTACTTGGCTGGGCAAATTCTGTTAAACATATAAAAAAAGCAGAACAATCGTATATCCATATTGCAAATAATATAGAACAAATAATAATTAGAACAGGCGATGATACTGATAGTGACACTGATATATTATGTGAAAAATTATAAGTAATTTAAGTAGGTAATGAAAATAATTTGTAATTTTATTTTAGATTTAAACATAAATACATACGTAAATAAATAAATATTGTTTAGTATCTTTCCTCACAAAACACCAAATAATTAAATTCTAAGCAACGTCCGGACCTGTTCGGCCATATTTCATTCTTACAGTTTGCACAGGTCTTTCCTTAATTCGTATCATTTAGTCACTTAAAAATAGACTTTAAGAATAAAAAGTAATACTGTAGTCCTATTTCCTTTTTTGAATTTCTATTCAGACTTATGAAGTAATCAGGTTGAGGTTTATTTTAGTATAGATAATCGTAAATTCTTAATGTTTTAACGACGAAGTTGGGATAGGTGGTAAGACTAAAATCTACACAGTATTACAGATTTCACCATTTCCTTTTTGTTTTTGTGTTTGAACTACGTCGGACATTTTCGATTCTTTAATCACAGGATTTTGTGAAATTATTGCCATGGATTGCCATTCACTTACCTGACGCTTCTCAATTCTCATAGGCCCGTGACAATTCACTCAGTGAATTGTCACGGTCTGATCGCGCCAAAACAAATTCTTTACTAAAACGCCGTTTATTAACCTACTTGCGTAATATGCTATTAATTTTAATGGGCATTTCAATTTTTAAACGAAAAATCTGGCCTTCCCCTCCCTTTATAAGAAATTATGGCTAATCCATCGAAAATGAAGTGATGATGACGTCGTCATTGAAATCTCGTTTTATTGTGCAGCGGCGGCGTTCTGCCGATGCCCGTCCTGAGTCAGTGCCGGTATTTCCAAGGTTGTCGAGGTCCCGCACAAATTAAATTAAACAATTTCTTTAACGCAAAATTGTCTGCCGGGCATGAGCGTTCAGTAGTATAATGGTCGACGGATATAAATAAACAACTCGGTACTCACTCCGTACGTGCAATGTAAACTCGGACAGTGCGTCGTAATTTTAGTGATCGTTTGGCTGACCGGGCGTTTGATCGATACGTATCTGCAATTTTGTGCGATGGATCGGACTTTTTTAGTTTTCATATTTTACGCTCTGATCGGTATTGTTTTGAACCGTAAGTTCGGCTTTTTTGTACCTAACAATCGGTTCCTAAATCAGGTATTATTATTAAAGGAACGTTGAATAATTGTGACAAACAATAACAAAATTAACATTTGAAAAATACTTTCACTTGCTTGGAACTTGGCAAGTCATACCTAAAATAATCGTCGAAAATGCCATTTCTAACAAACTGAAGAAACTCATATAAAATGCATTGTTATCGCATTCAAGGTAGTTCTCAACGCTGACAGTTTTTTCTTGTAGTTGTATTGAGAAAAAACAGATGACGTTTATATATAGAAACCATTGTTATAGCACGTAATCTAGCACGAATGGCTGTTTTCATTTGCATAGCCTAAATCAGCAAAAAATACAATAGATAATATTTACTTACGGAAAACAAAATCCGACCTCAATAAAATACTTAGAAGTCCATTTACACTTTTAATGGAACCATGTGGACTAATTATGCAATTATACTAGCAACATATCTTGGGCCAATGAAGGGACTCGCACTTTTCCGAATGTTGCTATGATCTATTAGAATCATTCTTCTCATATATACAGCGTATGTTCGCTACTACGTTGGTGAAAGTATTGTCCAATTTCCATAGAGAAAAGAAGAATTTATCTCGACAACACCATTACTCCCAGTATAACTGACTATTACAATAGGTGTAATAAAAATTATATAAATTAAATTTAAATACATTGATAGCCAATCTCAAGAGATTTCTTGAAACTTCTAAAAAGAGTTTTGCAGAATACGAGACTATCCCAAATTTTATTTTTTGAACTCCTTTTTTTAACTAATAACTGATAGGATTTGTTTTATATGTGTGTGTTAATGTAGTTGTATCCACATCGATATACCTAAACAGACATTTTTTTAAATGACTTGTGAAAACAACCATTAATTTCCACATAGCCAAACATTTGAAGTTGTTTCATCTCATTATTCGTTTTAGAAATAGGGCTGATAAAATATCATTGCCTTGGAATGGTCAAAAATTTTGTGATTAGTTTTTGATATCCCCATATCAAAATGACTACCAGTCATCTTGAAATCATTCCAAGCTGACCCAAACGCGCGACGTGACGTCATAGAGAATATTTTGCAAACTAGGTTCATTCTGTCCATGCGCAATTTTAATTTGGTGGTTATTCTTTTAGACATTTTTGTTTTTTGCCAAAAATTCGGGTCCGCGCAACATCTACTACAACTACTGTGATACTATTTAACGATTTAACAATTTGCGAACGTCCAAAGAGAGAGAGAGAAAGAGATGACTGCTCGTTTTTCTTTAAACATCCTGGGTCGAGATATGAAGGTTATCGTTTTGTTTTGTTGGTGATTAGATCGAATAATTAACGTCTTGAACAGCGCCCTGTACGTCGTTTAGGGACTTTTGCACGTCTAAATGCAGAAGCAAAAAAAAATGTAAGAAGAACCTAAATTGATGATGATCCTGGTAGAAAAAAAAACTATCGGCCAATACATTATTGTGCTACTCGCAAATGAACAGAACCTCGGTTTATTTGCATATAAGAGAGTATATGATGGAGAGAGAGACAGAATGTTTATGGCAACAGAGTCAGAGGTGGCGTTGGTAAATATCCCAGCAGAGCGCAGCGGTGCATCCTGGGAAAGTTATTTAGTTAATTTTATAAAATTTCTTTATTTATTGAAACAAATTATAGAAATTATTTTTACCAAAATGTGTCACGCCATTTTGCTTGTTAATGCATCTTAACGGTAATATTATGAATTACACCTCTGAATTGTAATAAAATCAACTAACCTTTATCTGCCTTTAAATTGTTAAAACCAAATGAACGACGATTATACAGAGTGTGTCAAAAAACATGTGCCATCGCTGGATGGAAGATTCCTCACTTTTCTCGGATTCTGCTTCGTTTCGTAGCTACAGGGCGGTAAAGATTTTTTGTTTTTATTTACGGCAAAGTTATCCAAAACGATTGAAGTATTACAATAAAATTTAAAAGGTAAAAGTAAATTGGTACATATTTTACTACAAAAATACAAAAAGATTTTGGACAGCATGACCATGGACTATCACTGCAATACTTTTCTAAAAATACCTGCCCACCACAGACTTTTTTCTTTGATTGCTAAATTGAGAAGGCTGTAAATATCTTTTCATTTTTAAATATTTTTAAGGCCTTTAATTTAAACTAATTAATTGGTGAAAATGGCTCCTTGCAGCTTGATTAGTGTTTGTACCGCTGTGTTATAAATAAGTGCCTTTAACTGTCGACATAAATAAAAGATTCAAATCAGCAGATCTTGGTGACGAGAGACCTCCGCGACGAACCCATCAATGACCAAAAGATACTCCCTAACATAAATATCAAAATGCGCCAGTGCCCTAACTTGTTGGAACCAAATTCCATTTATCACTAATACAGGTAACACAAACAATAGAAAATTTAAATATGATGATATGGTAGAATAATGAGACTAGTAATGCGATTTCCAGTAATACCAGCGAAATATTCATAGAAAACTGATACGACGAGTTCGCTACTATTAGTAAATGGAGATTTTCATCGGGTCAGCTATGTAAGTTTTGAAAAGTTATAATTTCCTTTCTTGTAAATGACAAGACTGGTTTTCAACCTTATGTAGACAGAACTGACAAAATTCCTGCTTAACTCATTACTGGCCGCTGATGTAGTAATAAGTCATCTTTTGTCCGAAATTCAGTAGCCGCTGACGTTACGTTATTTTTTGTTGTTTTTTAGTTAAAATCCAGTAGCCGCTGACATAGTAGTACGTTTTTTGACAGAACAACTTTGTTTGTGCCATCAAACAGTCGATTTATTTTAAGTGGTTTTTTATCAATTTTGAAATAAATATAGATTAATTTATTATTTAACCTGCTTTAGAATGGAAGAAGACTATTTTGAATAATATTTGCAATGAGACTAATGAGTTTTATGCTGATATATTATCTGGGCATGAAAATGATACAGATGATAGCGATGATTCAGACATTGCAATAAATACTAAAAGAAAAGTTTTACCTATTGTATTCCGGAGGTACAGAGTTTGAAAACGAAAACATATACAACAATTACAAATGATAATGCTAAAGTATTTCCAAAAAATCCTGAAAATATACAAGATACAGTGGATTTGTTTATTGGCGTTGACGGGAAACAAACAGGTATTCTATGCAACATATTCACAAATATAAATCAGTGAAAAAGATTAAACAATGGACAGATGCAACAATAGCCGAAATGAAGAAGTTTCTTGGTTTGAATATTTTAATGGGGCAGGTAAGAAAAAGTAATACAAAACGATTGTTGGTCTACTGATTTACATATTGAAACCCATTTTTGGCAAAGTTATTCGCCGAAATAGGTTTAGACAAATATTACAATCATTACATTTTTGTAATATTGATGAAATGCCAGAAAACGCAGATCGGCTCTTCAAAAGTGAACCAATAACAGAATATTTTTTAAATAAATTTATTATATTATCAATACCTTCCTTATAGTCATGTTATAAGAAAAAGTCTAAAATGGACAAAAAAGGCCTTTGTGTTTATGTTGAACTGCGCATTATTTAATTCATTTGTGATATACAAGGAATTGAACCCGGCAAAGAAAATAAAATGCACCTCTTATTTACTAGAAACTGCTAGAAGTTGGGTAGATAATCAAGAAAATGTGGGTTTAGAAGCACAAGTTTCAGAAGGCCCATCAAAAAGAGCTACTCCTGAAGATCCACCAAGTAGGCTTTCAGTAGATATAAAAACACATAGGCTTGGAAAACTTAAAAGTTCGGGGAGAAAAAATTCCACAGAAACAGTCCAAAGTTTGCAAAATTCAGGACATAAGGAGAGAAACTTGCTTTATCTGCGGATATTGTGAAATTCCTCTATGTGTTGGAAAATGTTTAAGGACTACCACATTAAAAAAATATTAGGTACTTTTTGTTGTTTGAATTGTTTGTTTTATTTAATTACTATAGTTTTATATGAATAAACGTATATTATTATTTTGTTTATAGCTTTACTCTTGTTTAACACATAAAGAATCAATGGTATTAATTTAAACATAATACAAGATATAAATTTTAGGGGCTCTTGGCTTTGTATCCTGGCGGATAATGCTGACAGGGCCTGGTTCTGCGGCGGTGCGATTAAGAATTTTTCGCGGCCAGTTATGAGTTAAAGCGATAGTCTCTTGGTAAAAAAATCTTGAACACGTGTGAAGTGTATGAGTATGTGTAGGGCTTTAGTTGCTGCTATTGTCAAATTATGTGAACATATTTCTTATTTCGTTAGAAACAATTGTAGTGGATTACGTTTCACTGCATTGAGAACTGCCTCCTCAGTTTCTCTGCAGTCTGCAGATATTTCGTCTTGATAAATTCTAGTTGCTTTTCTTACATTGTGCCTCACTTCACCATAAATTAATAACATATCAATTAATAATGTAATGGCAAAAGAATATTTTAAAGGTGTGTAATTTTTTATATTTCATTCCTCACAACCCAAATCAAAGACCCATATGTTGAGATAAAGAAAATCTTATTTTTACGTAGGGAATTTCCCCATCATCGATTTTGAAACTTTTTTTTTTGAAATCGAGTGTTTCACATAAATTTTAAGAAAAACACTTTATTAAAGTATCTAGTCTAAGTATCTAAGTAGTTTAATACATATTTCTTAAATTTTAACTGCGCCAAAAACTTTTTCCAATATTTTTTTTCGATATTCTGATAAATAACATTCTTATATAAATATATAAACTAAGCAACAAATAAAATATTTTGTGTTTATTAAAAATGAAGGTACCTGTAGAAGTTTTCGATGATGGAATATGATTAATGGGAAAATCTAATAATTGGATCAGGTTTTTCCGTAACCTATACATTTATAAAACGTCAATGAAAATTATTATTATAGGTAATTACGGACCTGATCTCAAACGAGAAACATGAATTTCCGAGAAACTCGATAGAAATGCGAGATAGCTGCAAGTGTTAAAGATTGACCTATCAAAGCGTAAATAGTTGTATAGAATATTATATGCAAATCATATGCAGACCAACTGATTTTCCGCAACATATTCGACCTCCAATATTATTGGCATTTTATAAAAATTCACATTTTCTCCAAGGCATGCTTTTTGCGGACATATTCCATAATTTTTGTTAATTAAAACAGGTCTTCAAAATAAGCGATGAAGATCATCATACCTTCCATTGTTTGAATTATTAGCTTGAAACGTCACTGTGCATTTATTGTCAGGTTCTACTTAGAAAATAAAAGTGAGTTTTCTTTAGCTTTTACAGGTCTTTTGGTCAACTTTGATATCTATATATCTATGTATCTATGTATGCCCTAAAAGGAATATTCCGTATTTTAAAATTCTATTATAAACATAATTAAATTTATAACTTATGTTTCAATCTTTTCCGAATAAAAATTAATTTTAACCAATCTAACCAACTTCTACTATTGCAATGTTACCACTCACTTGTCTAGTTATATGACGCAGAGTGGCAACAAACCTTTTTTGCGACGTCCCAATAACTTGGTAAATACTTATTAAGAATAGTTGTTGTACTTTATTACGTAAGGAAATACATAGCAATCAAAAACGATAGAGACTTATTAAAGTGACATTAGTGACATCGTGACATCTATTATAATCACCGCCAACTGTGTCGGCGAGCATAATACCTGATAGGCTTTTGCATTGCAATTATTATATAATTTAAACGTACGTTTTTGTAGTTATAACATTAAAAATAAATTTTCGTTAGTAAATAACATGTGCATTGATAAATTCGGAATAATACGCAGAGATGATCACTAAGGTGGCCAACTAGCGCATGACCTTGACCTGAGACAAAAGCTAGGTATATAATAAATTTTAATAGGATGTTACTCAAATTTAACAGGGCAAGAGATCTCTTAACCTTGAAAATAAATGGACAAGTCAAAAATCAGAAAACCTCGAAACTTACCAGCCAAAGGACAGCCATTACCCGTTTATGACGAATTACTAACTTATCTCAGGAACTAGAAGATATCCAACAAAAAGTTAAATATAAAAGTTGCTTAGGTTAATTTGAACTTTTAATTTAATATATTTTTATGTATACAGGTGAAACGCCCTGCATTTTAATGCATTTAACTATGTACGGCAATTAAACGCAACAGTATCTAAGTTTTATTTCAAATTCTCTTTTCGTATATTTGTTTTGAAAAACTTGTATTTTTAAATAAAAAATGTTGCCGTGTTGACGTACTTCGTGCATCTCATCAGTTTTCCTTTTTTTTTACTGGAAGCCCCTGTATATTATGCGCTGAAAGGCGAATTCAACTATATATAATATGACGGGTCTACTCAGCACATTTTCGAGTAAGCCCTGTAGAAAAATATGCAATCTATAGAGATGATACGTTTAATTAAAAATTGTGATGAAGTAATAGTGTTATTAAGAAAAAGAAGTGTAAAATAAGATGGAACTTAGAAATACAACAAACGTAATATAAAACAAATTTACTAACATGAATTATCCTAAATAAATCAAATGACCAACCATTATTTAAGATGTTTTATATGGCCTCCATTTTGGGCAATCAATGCAGTATCTAAATGAAGTAACTGAATTTCGAACAAATTCCACTTGATCTTTAAGAGTACGTTATAAAAATGGTTCATTGGAGTTAGGTCTGGGCTGCTTGGATTCAAGGATAATTTCCGCGTTGATCAATTTATTCCCTAATTTCTGAAGACAAGATTGGAGCGTCGTTGACTGTCTTCAAAGTGCAATAAAATATCTAACTACTTTTTTTCACTGAGTATCTGAAGATGCTTTTTGCTGTGTAATGCAGGCTTCGTTCCCTGCTAAACTGATGGTAGATTTTGGAAAACATTTTTTCCCTAGGGCTTGAGTCAACGGAAATTTATTCATGTAGTTTCTAACAGTTATTGTTTAACTTTTACTAATTAATAAATAACATTCTACGATATCAATTTTCTCTTCCATAGTAAACATTATGAACAAAAACAAAAAGTAATATAGACAAAGAGTTTAATAGTGTTAATACTGAATGAAGGAAACTTATGAGAACCATCATTATTGTTAAGGCGTGTTATTGCAGAATTCATGCTTATTGTCAGAATTGACGCTGCATGTTTTAAATATTCTTCATTTCTGATGATGGTGGACGAAGTATGGCAACACCGTAACAAATTTTTTTTATTCCAAAGGGCGAATTTTGCAAAACACATAAATATCTTCTTTTATAAACAAAGAAAATTTGGAACAAGATGGAAATACCTTAGATAAATCAGTTTAAATATTGTTGAACTCCTCTTTCAAATCTACATCCGTATTCATATTCCATTTGAAATAAAAAAATCCAAATTAATGTAAGCAACTTTTGTATTTAACATTTTGTTCAATCTATTCTAGTTCATAAGATAAGTTAGTGATGCCTGATAAACGGGTCAAACTATACATTTAATCACCAGTGGCGAAGACACTTTTCAAAATAACATTCTCCGCTATCTTTTACAGTTTGGTGTATAGCGATTACTAATCAAACCATTAGATTCCGGGGAAACAAATTATATTTTTTGAAGCAACATAAGTGATGAATTTTTCTGAAAATTACTTTTTCTGCCATATCTTGCATCCGTTGTTTAGTCATTTTTGCTAATTCAACCTAAATGTTTTATTAAATTACAGATGAAGTAGAATTTTGTACGCTTATTAAATTATCGTATAATTTGCAAAGTACAACAAACAAAAGTTTGTCTTTGCAGAGGGTCACGACTTGTGCACTACGCCCAGACGAAATAAGGGCGAATGCAAAGTGATAACTTCTTGCGAGGCCTTGTACTCGTTGTTAAGAAATAGACCGATTAGTTCGGGCAGCGCAGACCTGCTGCGCAGATCCCAATGCGGTTTCGAAGGGATGCTGCCGAAAGTGTGTTGCCCATTGGTTAAGGAAGAACCAGAAGTTCCTTCTACTCCGCGATCTCTCGCTCCCCAAGGTGAGTTCAGCGTTTGGATTAAACTTGGGCATGAGCTTGCTATGACTTTGCTTTATTCAAAGGGTTCAGTATTATGGATCGATTTGTAAGGTTAAGCTTTGCGGGTAGTAGTGGTGCATGCTACGTAAAAGTATATATCGTTATTATTTTACCATTTAGTCTTTATTGAGATTACATGTGTTTTAAAATTGCTTCGTTGATTCGTGATTTTAAGTATAAGTTGTGTTTGGTAAGGAATTAATTGAGCTTATTTAAAAATCGATTTATATAGTGGTAAAGGCAAAAAGTCTGAAATAAAAACGCACTAAATGATAAAAAGCTCTTCTGAAAATATACTAGTTAACAACGGAGATTCTTGGTCTCAGACAAATTTTTTTCTCACGGATATTATTAAAGAGGCGCGCGTTACTTTCTATTGATATGTCCTCTCAAAAGAGAAACAGATGTAAGTTGGACAGAACTAGTAAAACTTTAGCTTTATCGGATTGTACTAGTTCAAACAGGATAGAATGCATCTTAAACGACATACTTAAACTTAAAATTAAATCTACCGTTTAAAATAGGTCAAACATAAAAAATCAATAGCGAATTACAACATGAAATCTAATTACTACTACTTTTGGCACTTTTCTAAACAATGATACTCATTTCCAACGACACTTCGGAAAACCAGGGAAAGATTTTTTATAGTGATGTCGCACAACACGCTTTTGCGAAAAATAAACCCGCAATTGCAATTAAATTTAGTGAGTGGGCTAAATTTGGATGAAATATTTGACAACGCAATGAAAAAAATTAAATATACTCATAATAATAATAATAAGAAGAAGAAGAAGAAAAACTCTTCTACGCGTATTTAATGTCCATAAATTTTATTAAGAAGGCAGTGTCTAAGTGTTTACATAAATTGCATTTTACGAGAAATAGCAATTTTTAAGAGGATGCATGAATTCCGTATTTATTTTCTGCGATTCCGAGTATGGGTGAGTCACCACCTGCATGAAAATTACCATAAAATTATTAGTTTCTGCTGTTCCCAGCGTTTTCAATATCAAACAATGTTAGAGATAATATCTTCATAAATTAATCAATTTAAGTATAGGTTGCGGATTATTTGTAAATTTTCCGTGTATAGTCCAGCAGGTCTTGACTTGCTTAGTCTATCATAAATGGAAAGTCCATTATTTGTCATGTTTACCCACCCTTGGTTGAAAAAAATTTGGATGGCGGAATGGACTAGAGCAAGGAACCAAAAAGGATATCTAGTATACCATCAGGACATGACAAGTTAACTTTTTGAAAATTGTGTAAAAAATTTTCTTCTTCCAAATATCTCACCAGGCTAAGGTTAAGTATATTTAGAGCACGTCCAAATACAAAAGAAATGTATACGGTTAGATGAATTGTACAATAAATACTTATAAAAACGTTACATAAAAAAATGGAAGATGTCGGACAATAGGCTTTATCACACGTTTCTATTCATCTAGAGAATGAAAACAATTATCCATAAAAAAATTTTTTTACTTTGGTTTAAAATTTTGAAATGGTAAATTTGTGACCTGATTTGGAATTAGGTTATATAAGCTAGGTCACGCTTCTAGTGTATTTAAACTTCCCAGTTTGGAGCAAATTTGAAGAAGATGATTATTTGAGTAGTAATAGACTTTTAGAGTTATTATGGCAGTGACATAAGTTTCTGAAACAGAAGTAGATCTATATCCCTCGTTGTATAAAATTGCAATCAGCCTTTTTTGCAAAAAAAAATGGATCATTTTCAGTTTCTGCACAGTTTGCAACATATATTCAGAAAAGATTTTTCCCAAAGCTCTTGAAAACATCCAAGAAGACGTAAAGGTGAACGGAAGATTAGTCAACAATATACGGTATTCTGATGACACCGTTATAATAACGAAGAGTCAACAGAGCCCCCAGAATCTTATAAATGGGGTAGAAAGGGGGATGCGTTCGGCCATAAAATAAACACAGAAAAAAGAAAAACGCTGGCGATTTCCAGAAATGCAAATGGAAAGAAACGGAATTTCGATCCAGCATAGAAAGTGCGACAATTCCATTTATTATAATGAAAAGACTTTGTGAAATCTTATTTATATACATTCGATTGTATGGAATTACTTCCTGAAGGCCCAAGGCCCGCTCGATGCAACGACTCGAAATCTTCGAAATGTAATGGTCATGATAATATGTAGAATGCTCAAGATATCGTGTGCGGAACATGTTTCCAACGAGACGTAGTTAGAAGAATGAATGCACACAGGGAAGTTCTTGGAATTATCAACAGATGCAAGACATAGGCGAGGTATACAATTCCTTGAGACTAATGATGGAGGTCAAGACTGAAGGTAGAAGAGGACCAGGCAGGAAACAGTGTTCATGTCCGAAAAAAGTTAGGGACTGGACTGGTCTGGATCCGCAATCACTACTAAGAGTACCGCAGGACAGGGAGAAATTTGCCTAAGTCTTGCCAACTTTCTATAAGAATACAGCACCTTAACCAATATTATCCCAAGCATAAAAAAATAAAAAAAAATACTTTTTTGCTCTGAAATTATTTTTGTTGAACTTGTTGCATTACATGTGTCAAAAAAAAAACTCGAAACATACAAAAAAGTACTCGTGCGTAAACGAACCACCGAGAAAAAACACTAAATAATGTTTTGGCTAGTTTGGTTAGAAAAAACATTAAATAATGTTTTGGGGCACATTAGATGTAACATATAATTTATAGATAAACATACAAAAGAAAGTTCAAATTCGACAGAAAACAACTAAAAGTAGATTGTCTTCCAAATAGAACCTGATTTGACACAAAAAAACGCATAATATTTTATGGTGCGTAAGAGCACCACTGGTAACACCCGGTTCCATTTTTGGCGATATTTTACAAAGCATGAAGTATGTAAATGCGCATCACACTTATTACAAATGTAAATTGTGTGGCTGTGGCAGATTGTACATCTCATTCGAGCTTTATTAGCATGAACAATCATAACGCACTTCATCTATGGCGGAGTTTTTCCAGAAAGTCTATTTTTTAGTTCCTCAAATGATCTAAATTCATCAGATATAGGTGTGTGAGTGTACACAATCTGACCTTTCTTCCATCTGTCGTTTGCAGAAAGCATACGTCTTCTTTTGAATTCCAGGATTTCATCATCTGATAAGTCCCATTGATGAATTACAAGACTGCTGAAGGACAGCTGTATCATTCTGTGTATGTAACTCGAAAGTTCCAACTATATCAGTTAGTTCCCCAAAACTCTTGTAGATTATGTTATCGTTCATATCTTCTTCGTCAGTCAAGGTATCCACGTCGGGTGGAATATAGACCGCGTCAATATGTTCTGTAAATATTTTTTTACGTTATATAAATATATAAATTTACAAGAAATGGAATGCTACAATACATAACAATACGTAAATCCAAGTGATACTTACGACTTTCGTTGTTATTGTCCTCATCCATCACGATCTCCTCCATAGACGCCTTTAATTCCTTTTGAGTCAAATACCTCGGAAATGCCATATTTTACGAACTGTAACGTTCACTGTATAAGGCACAAACTAATACTAAAGAACACGCTAATTGTTGGATGTTTATTCTACATGCGCTGACTTGTCTAGACTTGCAATAATAAAGTTTTGTTTCACAGATAAAAAAAAGTGGTGCATTCACGCACCAGTAAATATTTTCAAAAAATAAAGCATAATCAATATCAAAATAAATAAGAACTAAAAGTTCAGATTTTCACGAAATTCGTAAAAATCTGAGCCTTTAGTTCTTATTTATTTTGATAAATGGATTTTAATCAAGTAAAAGCCACCTCAGTTCATAACCAATGCATGTTTTCTGCGATGTAATCTACATGCTATAGACTTAACAAAAATGACAATACAAATCCAAAATAATTTTTTTTATCATTTTGGATTTACTTGAAAATGTGATACACATTTAAGTACCGCTTTTGCTAACTTTTGAAGTCATATATAAGATCTTTCCTTTACACATAAATTAGCGATTTATGTCCTTTAGTAGTGATAATAATAACATTTCTAAACGGATGTGCACAAATATTTCCTGGATGTGACAAAAAAAATCATAGAATATGTGGTGCATTAACGCACCACTGTGACAAAATGGGTTAAGAAGAAGAGAATATAACATATATTTAATATAATTCTAATTTCTAATTCTAATACCACTCCGAATAACTTCGCAGTGGTCCATGTGATCAAAGAGACCATTAAGAGACCAAAAGCAATAATGGACCCCCAGTGGAGCCCTGTGCGACTACCATTAGTAAAATTCACATCTCCTTACTGCAAAAAGAACTGGCTTTTTTCTATCGAAAATGTAAGATGATATTACACCTAGTCCAATGGGTTCCAAACCGTGAAAACCTGCCTTTTTCAGTAAAAAATCTACTATCAGCTGCAAAAAAAAAGTTCCTTAATCAGCATGTCCTTTATTTTACTTACTTATTTACTCATACAAAAAAAAAAACAAATAGTTGAAGTTTTAAGAACCAAATCGTAGACAATGTCATAAAAAAATAATAATAATAAACCCCTTAGATGACCACCTTATCACTGCGATTTGAACCCTATAGAAATGATATTGACCTAATTAAAAAAAACAAAGTTAAATGTAATAATATGAACCCAAAAATGTTCGCCCGTGTAATTGATGTAATTAAAACTCAGTGTCAATTAATACAAGAGGGCAGTTAAAAAGAATGTGTTAATCATGCACTTGAAGTGGAGAATTTAATTAATTATAAAAAAAACTTGGGACAACGTAAAAGAATTATCCGTCTACGATATTGATAGGACAGATGCAAACTAGTCTGATGACTAACTTTATTTAATAAGTATTTATTATTAACATAATAATAAACATAACGCAATACAATAGAATATATTCGTGTATTTGGGTGTCAATTTCATTATTATTCCTCTGGACCAGATTGATTTATTGG